ACAAAAAGTTCGATCAATTTTTCCACGTTTATAACATTTCGTCACTTGTGATTTCAGGATTACTGCACGAAATGCTTAGGCCAGAAAAAAATGGGAGCTCGAAATCAACTTGGAAGGTAATTTGTATCCATTTTTGCTAATTAAATTACCTTATAAATCCATTGCTTCCCTGAACATGGAAATGTGTAATTAGGTACTTGTTATGGACAAGTTCACAGTGAAGATAATGTCCTCTGTCTGCAAAATGTCTGAGATCACACAAGAAGGCATTTCTTGTAAGAGTTAGAACTTGAAGCAATCATCAGTATTGTTATTTTTATCTTCTTGGAAATATTTTGATGTTTTGGCTTCGTTTTCCAGTGGTTGAGGTCATAACTAAACATAGACAGCCTATGACTTCTATGGAGGCCATATACTTTATTCAACCGACCGAAGCAAAGTAAATATTGAGGCCAAATACATCAGTTTTTCACTCAATTAACTATAATGAGGTTCTGAAGCTATTGCTCTCTCTTTTCTTTTTTTTTTACAGTGTCAATGCGTTTTTGTCAGATATGACTGGAAAATCACCACTTTACAAGAAGTATGTGAACAAGTCCCTTTCCTATTTCATTAACTTATTACATCTGTGGATTGTCTTTGAAATGGTTAATGGTTTTGTTTAATGTGGTTTTTAGGGCTTTCGTGTTCTTTAGCTCTCCTGTTTCGAGAAGCTTAGTTACTCTCATTAGAAAGGACTTGAGAGCGATGAAACGAATTGGCGCACTGAAAGAGGTTGCTTTTATATGCCACTTTCATATTTTTGTTCTCACTTTCTTTATCTACTTGCAATCTTACAAGATAGCTATAATATGCAGATGAACTTGGAGTACATTAGCATGGACTGTCAGGTATCTTCTACGTTTGAAATCTTGATTCATTTCTGTATATTCCTCAAGATTTGCATAGTTTGAATATTGTGATATCTAATAATGAGTTTGATGCTTGACTTATGAACTTATTTGCATACAGCTATCAAACTTATAACAACTTAGAACTGCCTTTAGCTTGACGTTATCTATTGGAAAAGCATGTGTTTTTTAACTACATTTCCGTTTTGTTTATAAATCGAAAACTGTTTATTTAACTCCTCCTTTGTAATATGCCTTTGCAGAGTTTCATTACGAATAACGAAAATGCTCTTGAAGAACTTTACAGTGACGATGAGAACCATCAGAGAGCAGATGCTTGCTTGAATGTGGTAGCTAAGCGCATTGCTACAGTTTTGGCCTCACTAAGGGTACCGAGGCACAAATCCAAAGCTTGTTTGTTGGTTTTTGGCATGAAGTTGACTACAACGTTTATATCTTTGAACTCTTCTGGTATACAGGAATACCCCGTTGTGCGCTACCGTGGAGCCAAAGCTCTTGACGCCACGACAGTGACAACATACCGAGAGTTGATTCCTACAAAGCTTGCTGCTAGTGTATGGAATTGCCTGGCAAGATACAAACAGACAATCGACGATTTTCCTCAGACTGAAACATGTGAACTACTTATCCTGGATAGATCAATAGACCAGGTATGGATCTTCACTGAGACATTTTTTTTTTTTCAATTACGCTTGATATGTCATAGCCACTTAAAACATAACAACCTTTATTGTGCTTCTTAGATCGCACCTCTCATTCATGAGTGGACATATGATGCGATGTGCCACGATTTGCTTACTATGGAAGGGAATAAATACACACACGAGGTGACATTTTGGTTTTGCATTTCAGAAGCTTTCAAAAGTTGGTTGTAGCTCATCACTACAGGATATGGTAATTTCCCTTTTATTTCTTAGTGTATAGGTTCCGAGTAAAACTGGTGATAATCCTGAGAAGAAAGAGGTTCTTCTGGATGAAGAAGATCCCATTTGGGTGGAGCTTCGTGATGCTCACATTGCAGATGTATGTTTCACCTCATTTTTTTTAAGATTTAACATGGCGACTACGTGGATTTTTGTGAAATAAACTTTTTTCTGTTCAGGCCAGTGAAAGATTGCATGAGAAGATGACAAATTTTGTGTCGAAGAACAAAGCCGCTCAATTGAAACACAGCTCGAAGTAATTTACCGGTCTTTCTTCTTTTTTGTTTCAATTGATCCACTAGAACTTTGTTGATTAGTAAATTGACTTCTTGTATACAGAGAATATGGTGACCTTTCATCAAAAGACTTGCAGAAGATGGTTCACGCTTTGCCTCAGTACAGTGAGCAAATTGACAAGCTTTCTCTTCATGTAGAGGTCAGTTTTTTAATGGAAGAAAGTCTGATCAATTAGTCTTATCTTGCAAGTTGATTAGTTAAATGCGACAAGGTAGATGTTTGTTCTTTATAATAATAGATAAATGGTTAATGTCACTGCAGATTGCTAGAACAATTAACAGAACTATAATGGAACAAGGTCTAAGAGAACTCGGGCAGCTCGAGCAGGACCTTGTTTTTGGGGATGCTGGAAGAAAAGACGTTATCAAGTTCTTGAGCACCAACCATGTAAAATGCTCTACTTTTTAGTTTCAGTGTGAGTTTCAGAGATCAGAAGATTCTTCTGCTGAAAATGATCAACATTTCCAGGTCATAAACCACGAAAGCAAGCTGCGGTTAATGATGATTGTTGCGGCAATTTACCCGAAGAAGTTTGAAGGTGAAAAGGGACGGAAGATGATGGAGGTAAAGAACAAATATTTTATCTCCTAAAAGACTTGAACCTAAGGGTGAATTAGTTATCATTACTTGAGCTTTTTCTACTTCTTGATTAATTTTTTCAGCTAGCAAAATTGTCTGGAGATGATATAGTCGCTGTGAGCAATTTGAGATTACTTGGACCAGTCCATACGGAGTCCAAAAAGAGCACAACAGGATCTTTCCCTCTCAAGTTTGATGTTCTTAATGTGCGTATTCTTCATCATTTTCTTGTGTTTATCATAATTTCTAAGAGTATTATTTCCCTGACAATCTGGAATCTTTTGATCCATGTGATTCAGAAGAAGCGAGCTGCTCGAAGAGACCGGGTTGGTGAAACTCAAACATGGCAGCTGTCTCGTTTTTACCCGATCATAGAGGTCTTTTACCTTTTTCAACTTTTCAACTTTCTTTTATTTATGCATTGTATGTATGTATTCTTAAAGAATCAGTAACAATGTTTGGTTTCTTTGTATTTGTTGCTAATATCTTTTCAGGAACTTGTCGAGAAACTTAACAAAGGCCACTTGCCGAAACAAGACTATCCTTGTATGAATGAACCAAAGCCAACCTTTTATTCTGGCTCTCAATCTCCATCAGCGAGCCCTGTATTGCCTCATTCAAGACGAACACCAACATGGGCAAGACGAAATCTCTCCGACGATGGATATTTCAGGTAATTCAATGTCTTAGTGTATTCTTGAATTGACAAACAACAAAAGTTGGCCAAATTTACACAAAAATAATTAGGATGTTATTTGATGATATGGTGAAATCAACATTGACTTGATTGCACACCAAGATTTAATCTCTCTGTGTGTTTCAGTGACTCGGTTCTAGGACGAGCATCAAGCGGATTCAAGAGAAAGGGACAGCGGATTTTTGTGTTCATAGTAGGAGGAGCAACAAGATCCGAGGTACTGAAATACTTTTATAACCAGTTTGAGAAATAAGTTGGTTGTGACCTGTATGACCTTAACATGTTTGGTTGTTGCAGTTAAGGGCTTGCCACAAACTTACGGAGAAGCTTGACAGAGAAGTTATCTTAGGCTCCTCTAGCTTCCTTGACCCTCAAACTTTCCTCTCTGTATGTAATCTTTTCACTTTGGATTTTTGTTCAGTGAAAAAGCTCTCTTTTTTTGTCACCGTCTCTAATGGCTAAGAATGTGTTCTTATTATTATGTGCAGAAAATGAAACAACTGAATGAAGAAGAGGAGATCTCACTTGATGATATCGACATTTAAATTTTCTTTGTTTTTGTTTTGACTTCGGATGAGATTTTACTGTCGTTTTCAGACAACTTCTTGTGGGTATCGATTTTTGGTTTTGGAAATAAACTGTTGGGATATTGTTCCCTTTGTAAATAAATACCACTTTGGTTTTGCTTCCTTGGTTCGGTTTGACAAAAATATAAGGGATTTGCTTTATTGAGTTTGACAAAAACTTAACTATCTCAGTGTGTGAAAGAAAATTCGAAACAAAAAGTAAACGCCCACCGTGGGGCTCGAACCCACGACCACAAGGTTAAGAGCCTTGCGCTCTACCAACTGAGCTAGACGGGCTTGCTTGTTTGTTACCTTGGTTTAAGTTTACTGAGTTTAAACTTGTTTTACAGTCGCGTGTGTGAGAAAAAATATGAAACAAAAGGTTAATCTAATCGCCCACCGTGGGTCTCGAACCCACGACCACAAGGTTAAGAGCCTTGCGCTCTACCAACTGAGCTAGACGGGCTTGTTGGTTTATTCCCTTGGTTTGTTTAACTTTACTGAGTTTTTACTTGTTTTACAGTCGAGTGTGTGAGAAAAATATGAAACAAAAGGTAAATCGCCCACCGTGGGGCTCGAACCCACGACCACAAGGTTAAGAGCCTTGCGCTCTACCAACTGAGCTAGACGGGCTAATTGTTATAGACAGTTAGCTTTTCCATGTAGAGACTTTATTCTTTACCAAAGGTTCAAGCCTTCAAGGTAATAAAGAAGAACCAGATTCTCAAGCATTTAATAAGAAGAACAAACACGGCTTTTACGAAACAAAATATTAGTAGTAAAAAAAAAGGAAGCTAGAAAGAGCAAAACTAGTCCCGACAACACTTATACATCATGGACCCACAAATGTCGGAAGCAGCATGAAGAATTTAAACAAATACTATAAGCTACTTCGTAACAACTTTGACGACGTAAGACACACCCAACTACTACAACTCTTGTCTTTTTCGTGAAAGCTGACTAGATTTGCCTACAACTTAGCATTTCTTTCACCAGTTAAAAAACTTCTTTAACCAGGTTTTTTTACCTAATCGGATTTGATTTCTCCGTTATGCTTGTTGCCCTTCTTGTTCGATTCCTTGATCTGCAAATTCGTGAAGCAGCATACATGAAAATCATGGTTATATAGAAACATTTCGAAGTCTATAGCATTTTCTTCTTTAGATCAGCAAAGGTCCAAATGGTATTTATGACTACATTTATCCATAAATTGAGAATTCACCTGCTCAAGAAGCTTCTTTTGGAATCGGTAACCCTGGCGAATGAAATCAAGATAACCACATGGTTAACGTTTTCATCTAGAATTGGTGGATCAATTAATGAATTTTGATTAAACTTTGATAAACATTTTTACCTTGTCAGTTCCATATATGTAATCACAATAAGTGAAAACTGATGCGAAGTTGCTTTGGCTTTGTCCTCCAACGTAATGATGATAGTCATGGTACTCAGCGCCACCGTAGAAAGGGATATATTTTGCTGGACTCCATGGAAATTCATATCTTACAATACAACAAAGTTGAGTATATGTTTTATCAGTAACAAACGCACGCAAGATAAACAATTGAGCCAGAGTTTCCTGTTTGCCCACTTGTTTTTTTTAAGTTTAAGAGAAAAATATTAGCCTATCTGTTTTTCACAAAAAGGTATCTCTAGTCTAATCAAACCAGTTCCAAAACAATCCACAATAGCTTAAAAAAGCCTAGAAAGCATCAGAAAAAGCCTAAATACCTAACTTAGCCCCAGTTGTAAAAAAGGTGGACCACTATTCAATCTTCACACCTTGAGCTCTTTATACACTAATATATACATTTTCAGACACTAACTAACGAAAGATGTAAGAAAAACAATTCAAAAATCTGGTATGATGCAGAAAAAAGTGTAAAATACTATAAAGGCAACCAAAATAAAATAAAATAAAATAAAAGCAAAATATTTGTTATATGAAACTTAAAAAACCACGCCTTACTTTTACTTACCCACTGTGAGTCTCAATGGCCTCGACCTGCCTTAAAGCAATCCACAACCAAAAGGTGATCATGTGACCAGGAGCAATCGCTGGTCCCATAAAAGTTGGGATTCCAAGAACCAACACTTCAGCCCAATGCGCATATGGTGCTGCGTAACCAATCGGAGCCGTGTACTCGTGATGCACACGATGGATCTTCTCATATCCCCATTTACTATGGAAGAATCTGTGGACCCAATAGTTCGTGTAGTCTTCTATCAACAAGTACACTAACAACTGTGCCACAATCTCTGTTATCGTTGGCAATGGTATACCAGATCTTATCCCTATCATCTGATTTATCATTAAAATTCCAACCACAAAGATCATTAAATCAATCACATCACAATCAGCTTCAACATTCTTTCATATATTTGACAAATTAGATGCGGAATATTCAAGAATATTATTCATACAAAAAAAAAAAGAATATTCAAATTTGAAAAGAAAAGATTATTCATACAAATTAGATGCGAATATTCAAGATTTTTTTGGGGAAATTTACCTGAATCGAAGGATAAGAAACGAGCTGTAATGGACCAACGACGAGGATGAACATCTTCATGACGACTTTGTAGCATCCGAACATGTCGGAGAAGGAGTACTTGACCTTTGGTTGGATCTTATACCAATCGAACCATCCGGAAGCGGATCGAGCCAGCTCGACGAAGACGAGAGGGAGAGGAGCGAGGGAGAAGACGAGGAAGAGGAAGAGAATGTTGTGGCAGTAGAGATAGTAGTCGGACTTTGTGGCGGAGTAATCGAACCACGCGGTCTCCAGCCACGTCAGGTTTCGTCCGAGCGCGACGGAAGCTTCCTCGACCGTGGCGTAAGGGATCATGGTGTCCAACGGAGGTTGTTAGACGTTTCTTTCTCCGGCGATTTGCTGATGTGGAGATCTGAAGATTTTTGAGATGGAGAGAGAAGAGACGAGAAGAGAGTGTTTGTTTGTTATGTAGTTGGCGAATATTTTGGACTGGAGACGTTGTTGTGGCTCCAGTGTGAATCAGTATATTCATATATATACTTATAATTAAATAATTGATAAATCCTACAAATATTCCTTATCACTCACGTTTAATAATTAGTGTGTAATTTCTGTATAAAACTAAATATATATTGTGTAATGTTAGAAACTAAAGTGTCATACTGTCATAACATCAAATATAAATAGCATGCAATTTGTAAAATAAAAAGTGCACCGCAAAATTTTATATCCTATTTATAAAAGGTGTAGTCATCAATTTTGGCGAATGGCGATTTTTGTGTGTTGTATAGTTATTTAGTAGTATTATTATCCTACTTTCTTATGCTGAAACTGAAGAGATATAAACAAAAATTTTGGTGTACATTAACATAGCTATTAACAAAACTAAAAGGGGGGGGGGGGGGGGTAGATATTAGATAACATCAAAAAGTAACCAAAAATAATTTTCTTCTGTAGTTTCTTGTTCATAGCAGTAAGTCACTGACTTTTTCAAAAATATGAATCTTTATAAAATTCCAGAATTGTTCCATTTTTATAAAAAAAAATTAATGTTTATCTTTTGTGAAAAGTTTCTTTTAAATTAGGAAACAGATAAAGATGATTCAAATAGTCAGACTAAGTGATGATTATTTGTGGCATGGAAAATTCTATTGTTAAAGAGTCTTTAGAATTTAAAGTAAAAACTCTATTTGCCACAACTTTGATTTAGAACAGAAAAGCATAAAAAAAATTACAAAAATAGATTCAGGAGATGATAAGGATTAAGAAGTCTTTATTATGGACAGGTGTGCCTGAAAAGGACAAAACGAAATGAAAATGATTTTCTAAATATCAACCCAAAGATACCAAAACAAGAAAAACCAATTCAGAATTTGCTGCTATATATCTTAGAATGTTCTAGATATAATAATCCTCATTAGATCAACAAAACTATTTCCATTCATTAGTTTAAATAACAATGTTTCTTATTCGGATTTGAGTAGGCTACATTAATATGTTAGGTGTTTAATTATATCAACGGATATCCTTTAAGAATTATAATTTCTTCAATTAATATCAATAGATATCCATTACTATATACTTTTGGTCCCAAAAAAAATCCATTAGATTATATTCATAACATTTCCAGAAAGGCAAAAAGTGAGGGGGCAATTTTAAATATTAGTTCCACTTTTTAGTTTTCTTCAAAAAAAATTGTAACCTTTTAAATTTTTCAAAAATTCCAAATACAATTGTAAGCCGGATCCTTCGAGTTTTCATAGAGACACAGGTTATAAATTAGTTGTAGAGAGTTCTAAAGTGTTTTTTTGTGGTAAAGGAAAAAAAAAACAAAAACAAAGTTTAAATATCCATGCAGTCTTTTTTTTTTGTATGAACATCCATGCAGTCTTGCGTCCATGATAATAAGTTTAAGTTTTTATTTGTCTAAAGATAAAAGTATTAAGTTTTTCTGTTGTTAAATTGAGATAACTATTGTTCAAAAAAAAGTTGAGATAACTATTAAATTCGACGAAAACTCCCTTTTAATGATTAATTTGTCGTCACGCTTATTTGCAATTTCAAGTTTTCAACCCAACCAAGCAAATCATTAGTCGGTCTAAAAGTGTTGATTAACGTAATAATCCATATTTATCTTTGCGGCTAAAAAGATTCTCTATTACGACGCATGCAAAACTATAATTTTACTCTACTCATAATTAAGAGTCAAATGAGGCCACAATTAGAATGTCAATGTGACGTTTGTAACGATAAACTAACTAATGTACTGCCAAAATTTGAGTTTGCATTATCATGGAGAAGGGAGGGAAAACTCATCATGGCGAAGCTTCTTTACCTAATTTTTGAAAACTTAGTAGATGATAAAAAAGAAATTGAATTCTATATGTTTATTCAATCTAAAACGTTTTCCATCTCTTATTTTTGGTTTTATTGAGATGAGGATTGATGAGGATAAATAGTTTTATCTATGTATATGCCAAGTAAAACATTTTACAAGTATTCATTGGATGGCTTGTAAAAACTATTTGGTGCTAGAGATAAATAAGGCGAGCCAAGTTATATAATGATTTAGATTTGACAGAGATCAAATATTGGTAGACCTACGAACTATGATATGATTCGACGCTTTCAAATCATTGGTGCGTCACTATTGCATTTCACCTCTGCTTTATCCCAATTCACTCAACTATATATGATTAAAATTAAAGAAAAAGGTAAAGTAAAGATTGACATTATAACAGAAAAAAAAAAGTCTACATTGGAACTGTTTTAATTTTTAATAAAAAGATAGAAAACGAGGGATAATCTGAGAAGAAATATTCTCATTTTCTATTCAAGCTTTGTATATTTGGATTTAAAGGGGTTGCTAGAGTTTGTATTCATTGGGGAAAAAAAATATTTAAAAAACCTTAAACAAGGTATTTTACCTCCATTCATTTTTTTTTTTTTTTTGCTTTAAATTGATCATCTGAATTCACATCAAATTTCTTATTCAAATGTAGTTCGTCTTTACTCGGACACTGATGTAACCCAACATTTGATAAAAGTAGATATGCATGATTGTTAATTTGACTTATGAATTAATGTATGCATCGGCAATGGCATAATACCATATAGCTTCTTTTTATGAACTCTTCTATACCTTTTTTTTTCTCTTAAAACGTTATAAAGGTAACCCAACTTTATTCACGGGAAAATGGTTTATTATTTACGTACATGATCCGGAAAGCAAAATGAACTACATTGAGGAACCATGTCTTGTCCAATTGCTTTTCTCTAATGATCTGATAACTTGTTGGAAATCCAAAACGTTTTGAGCCTTCGACTGTTGGAAATCCATCACTCTAGAATGGTTCTAGGATCCACTTATGCTAAAACTCGCAAAAATCATTAATTATTCTTCTACTATATGGCGTCCCCTACATGAGCTCCAGAAAAAAACGAGATTCGATCGTTTTCCTACAAGATGCCCAATGATTGTTTTTTTAAAACCTGTCGAACTATTATAAGAGCAAGACTTCTTCAGTCAGGTTTCTCGATCCGACTTCAGTCCAATTTGCATATATTGCATATTTTGTTTCATATGGACATGACACTCATTAATGGTGTTGCAAATTACATGTATATATGTAACCAAGAGAATGTTGTCTAATAGTTGTTCGAGTGAGTTGATGGTTTGAGATGTTGATCAAGGCTAGATATCAAATTTCACCTTTAAAAAAAATAACTTTGGTATCTTCGAGATATAAAAACTTTAAATGACAAAAAAAATGATCAGTGTGGGTTTCTACATGTTTTGAGATTAGTCTTTCCGACTAGTCGAGTTTCTGGTCCATGATCTGCTCCAAATTATTAAAAACGAAAAAAAAAGACATGTAAACATTTTATTATATAAAACTCTCTTTACAAAGAGTACATGTTCAGTTGGTGTCTTGTTTTCTTTTATACTGTAGTATTTTGTACGATCTAATCCAGTTTAAATAGACTCTAAACAATGTACTCGGATTTAGTTTTGAAATATAAGTTCTTTTAGAAAGAAAGAAAAAATCCATCAATTAACAATGTACTCGTACATAATTAAAACCGTTAACGAGAGAAATAACAAAGTATGGCAAATTAATATTTATACGGTTAAGACTTGGGAGAAAAAGAAAAGAAAGAAGAAGCACGCGAAATGAGAGTGCAACTAGTGTTACTGATGGGACTCTTTGCAACTGTTCCCTACTCATTCCTAAGTTTATTGATTTCACGCATTATTATGCACAGTACTACAAATAAATAGAAATAAACCTGAACTTTTTGAAATTCCAATATTTTTTGCTTTCAGTTTCAGATGAAAATTACTTCCATACATGTGAACCGTTGTTCTATCATCAATCATCGCTTAATCTACTGGTCTAGCCGTTTAGTCTAGTAAGAGACACCCACGACTCACGTCCTAGCCAACCTCGTTCTATGAGAACTGATACCATGCATGAACAAGAAAATAGAATTGATCGTCTCAGACTTAGGCTCTAACTAGTAACCCCAATTAAGGAATGGAATGAGAGGGAATATGGTATTCCTCTTCATTCCTAAAAAAATTTACCATTTGGAAGGAATTCTTATTCATTGTGGAACCCACATAATTCCCCCTTGTTCCCTAAGTTATAGTACAAATATATTCCACCCCAAATTTGTCAAGGAATGAAATGGAAAAAAATAAAAAATGGCAATAACATATTTTAATATACATATTGGAAACAAAATTCTTCTCGTCGGTTATAGTTAGGTTCGTATTTTTTTTGTTATTAATTTATTATAAGAGCTCAATGTTAGAAAAGCAAGCTTCACGTTCAATTGTTTTTTTGTGTTGTTGTTGGGAGATGCATTATTACTGAAGAACATTGAACGTCAAAAAAACAAGTGTTTGAACGTCAAGAAATAACCGACGAGAAGAACATTGAACGTCAAGTGGAGCTTTACGTTAGGAGAGACAAGTGTTTTGCAATTTTTTGATATTACATACTTTTAGAATATCTTATAATTTATTTGTGAATATTTTTATTTTCAAAATATTTATTCCTTTTTTTGGTTACCATTCTAGTGGTATTTTGTTCCATTCCTTCTCTACAATCTATTCCTTACAATTTGTTTCTTATTGTTCCTTTTGTTTCTATTCCTCATTATTCCTTTTATTTCAATTGTGGTTACCAGTTAGAGCCGTAATGTAAAAAAATGTTTTATTATGGCGTGATAATATTAAACCATGAATATATTCTAACTGGTAAATGTATATATAGATGATTAGATCTTTAACTACATGAAGTTACAATTTACAACGTTTTAGGTAAGGTGTTGCTTGTAATCCCGGAACTATACAAATCGAATCAGCAGCTTTAAATGGTCGCCAAAAAAAACTATATATAAATCTAACATTTGAAAAGAAATATCTCAAATTAAACTACTATTCCTTAACAGAGAAAAAAAGAAGAAAACTATATTACTAGTAATTGAATAATCAAATAAAATAATTAACGAATGGTTGGCTAGATGCACCGTGCACGTGACGTTTGCTTTGCACAATAGTACAAAGATGTACACGTTGTTTCAGCATTAGAAGAGATTTATTAGTTGGTCTCTTTTGTTCTGTCCTATCCCTAATATATTAAAAGAGAAAACACTTTAAAAATAACTTTAGTTGATGTGTTATTAACAAGAATGCATGCTGATGTGTCATCATTAGAGAGCTTCTCATGTTATTTATAAAATAAGGATTAGTTTACTAGACTAATTACAAACATTGTCATTCATATTTTTGGTTAGAGAATCAAATATGTATAGTTAGATTAATCATATATGAAATTATTAATAAAAAATCATCATTCTCTTTCCTTAATTGACAATTACGAAAATTAGTAAATAAGGAAAATATGAGATTCAATTTAATGCTATTATATTTTTTTTAAATCATTCTATATCTCCTTTCATCTTTGTTTAACTTTATTTTATAAAATAAAAAATTGACACAATACAAAAAATCTAAATTTTTTTCTATATATGCTATGATTTGAATTTTTAAAAACAAAATAATCACTAAAACTATTAAAATTCCCAATATGTTGTTGTGTGTAGGTATAAAAATATATTATAAAAAATAGATGATATGCAACTGTAAGTAGGAGAGTAGGTATCTAAATATAAATTATTTTATTTTTAATATTTTATATGATTTTTTAAGTTAAACTGTATAATGAAATCAAATAAAATAATATTTTTATAAATGTATTTAATTTTGATCAAAAATTTGAATATTGCTCCATTTGTTTCAATTTTTCGGTACAAAATTACTTATACTTTTGTTATTTTGACAATTTGGATTTTGCAAGATTATCTTTTATTGGTTGGATTGTTTTGGAATTATAATAAAACATGTTTTAGTTTTAAAAGAAATAAAAAAAGTTAGTTCTAATCCGTGTAAACACCTAAAACTTTTTATCTTCTTATCTTATAAAATATACTCATTTGATTTTTATGTATCTTGCTGAAGTCTAGCATATTTAATCTATAGTGTAGCATATTTAATCTATGTCTATGATCAATGTTTATAATTTTAAAAAATGTTTAATTTCCACATTATAAACGAAGATAAAAACCTTAACAAGGTAAAAAAATCTGTCACATAAAATTTTGAAATAGTTAAATATACATTTTTAATTAAAAAATACAAATTCAGAAACCATCTCCCCGTGCAGGGCGCGGGTCAAACTCTAGTAGATTTTAATTTTAAAAAAAAAAAGTTAAACTTCACACACATGCATATGTTTGATAATTATTTTTTTATTTTGTTTGCACTAACCAACAAATTATTATGAATTTCTTGGAAAGTGTCTATGAAAGTTCAGTTTTTAGATTAATATGAAAGGGATCAGTAGTCTACTGTCTACACTCTACACCGTGTAGATAATGAGAGAAGATCAAAATTGACATGTAATAACAAGTGTAGTGATAGTGATAGTGAAAAAAACATACAAGTGATCGTGAAAGGGGAGTTTATGTACTATGATGGTGGGAAGATATTTATCCAAATCTAATATTATTTTCTTTACTATAAATCTGTTCATCAGAGCAATTTCTAACACGGCGTCGTATTCGATTGACTAAGTTAAAGCTGGATATCATTTGGGCTTCAATCATATTCCTATAGTCCACAAGCCCAGTAAACACCCAAAGCTACCATATAAATATTCAATTTAAATAACATCCTGCGCATTATATTTTTAATTAATTCTTAATTGCACAAAAAATAATAAGATATATATTTAAGAAATGCTGGCCGGTCTGAAAATTGAGTGCTGTGTAGTGTGAAATTTATATGATTAATATTGCGGTGAATTATTTTTTGAGGAAAATGTATTTTTTACTTCTTTTTTTTTCAAAAAAGTAAAGAATAGAAAAACGGAAAGCACAGAGAATCTCTCCAATTCGCGTTTTCTCGAAGCAAACCAACAAAACTTTCCTCTACTTCTTCTTCTTCCTTCTTCCTCCTAAAGTAAACCAACTACAACATGTCAGAATCAATTCACCGGATAAGAAAGACGTCACCGGACGCAAGCCGTGGCCGGAGCTCCAGAACCAGACGTCCGAGGAAGCACCAACTCTCCCGTCGTATTCCTACTAAGATTCGTTCAAAATCTACTAAGATCTTCAATCGAAGCTTCTCGGAGCCGAATCTCCACCAAAACATCGCTGTTAATGATGATGATGATCGACGTTGCTCTACGCCGGTGATAGATCTCCCGGCGGAAGAACCCGAGCAGATCGTTTACCTGTCTAAGATCCGCTCGGAGGTTTTCGCTTCAGCTCCGTCGTTATCTGGATTCTCTTCGCCGTCTTCTTCTTCTTCTCCGATTAACCAACAGGTAAATTGGTATAAAGTATTACATGAAATTCCTTATTTAGTCCTTCACAAAAGCTTAAAATGTTACAAATGAAACCATCGATTTCAATCAAGTTCCTTAGAAGTATAACTGAATATATCACTCAGTCCTTAAGGTCTCAACGTTTTTAGTATTGGAGCCAAATATTTTAAAATGCCACAAATTAACCCACGGATTCGAAAATCAGGTTTACAAGAGAGAAGCAGCAAAAGTTGTGATCAATGTATCAGTAGAAGGAAGTCCAGGACCAATAAGGACCTTGGTTAAGCTTAGCTGCAATGTCGAAGAGACGATCAGGATGGTGGTGGACAAGTATTGTAAAGAAGGACGAACACCGAAACTCGACAAAGATCTTGCCTTTGAGCTGCATCAGTCTCACTTCAGCATCCAATGTAAGCTCCAACAACTCTGTTTGGTCCGGTTTAATCAGTTGAGAAACAGAACAAGACATTTGTCTCTTAGATATGTCAATCTTCACACCCTTAACACGAAATTTTAATTCTTGATTTTGGATTAGGTCTGGAGAAAACCGAAGTAATTGGTGAGATAGGGAGTAGAAGCTTTTACATGAGAAAGAGAGAACCGGAGAACCGGATTCCGGTTGGAAGGAGCATACCGTCGTCGAATTTGATTGGATCGTTCATTGCTCAGACGATTGGGAGAATCGTGAGGAGGACAAAGAAGATTTGGAACATTTTGGTATGTGTACAATGAAATATATAACCGAGTATTACACATTGAGCGGCACATAATATTTACTTGTGCTAGCTCAAAATTTGATAGAAGAAATTTCACTTATTTGTATTAAATTATTTTATTTGTTAACTTACATCACAAGTATACCTAAACGCTATTTGTCAATGTACTCTAAATCCGATTCGAGTTTTCTTCATTTTTATAAGAAATCCGAATTGTAAACAGAAAAGCGTTTCATTTCATTAGTAGTCGTTTGACAGCAAAATGTCAAGTTTTGGGTTTTGGTTTAGTTTGGTTTTGGAGAAAACCAATTAACTGTGGTTAATTTGGTTCAGTTTGGTATCTGTTTGATTAGCCAATCTTATACCTAATTGGCTAATTGCAATCTAGCTTATTCAGTTTGGTATCTGTTTACTTCCCAAGCTTACCCTATTTAAATACAAGTATAGTACAGTATATGCTTTTGCAATCTATTATTTGGGGGGAAATTTCAAAACTACACCTCTTGAGGTGCAAATTTTCAAAAATACACCTCTATGGTGTTTATTTTCAAAACTACACTTTTTTCATGGAGTAAAAGAACTCTAAACCCTAAAATATAAATCTAAAACCCTAAAATCTAACATTGAATCCTTAAATCTAAACCCTAAAACCCAAAATCTAAACCCTAATCTAGGATTAGTGAACCCAAACATATATATTAAAATTAGAAAAAGGTGTATTTTTGAAAATTTTCACACTATAGATGTAGTTTTGAAAATTTGCACCCCAAAAAGTGTATTTCATAAAATTTCTCATTTGGGTGCATATTAAATTCTCCCAAAATTATCTACAGGACTTTAAGTAAATCCCATTAATTTAAGAAAAAGGATATGCTTTTTGAATTGAGGATATTCTTAGACATCCAACTTGTAGAAGGGTTGACTCAGTCACCGTCCAAACAAATTTAAAGAGTAATATTATTTTTATTTTTATTGACAGAAAAAAAAATACATATTGTATGAACTCAAACCATTGACATATTAAATTTAGAGAGTTGCAGACAAAAAATTGGCAGTTATTTGAATTTGCGTAGGATTCACATTACTATGTTGACAAAATAAACTATGTCAAGAAAGATGTAGTTTTATTTCCCAAATTTACGTTAATCTTTGCGATTGTACAACAATGGATTCAAATGAAATTAGTTTATGGATAGAAAAAGAGTAATTTCCTTCGACTGATATGTATTTGAAGCACGTAATAGGCACGATCATTGGCTTGCATACAAATGGATTTTATTGTAACGGAAGAAAATAAAGATAGTTTTTCGTCAACCAATATCAAATCAAATTGGGAGTTGAGGGGCTAATGTCAAACTTCCATATATGCTTAAATTGGGAATATCATATAGTATAGGTAATTTTTATCCAACCAGATCCAGTGGGATTTATAATAGTTTTTATAAAACAATTTCTTATATATTCCGAGTAAATATCAGAAACTCGACCTGCAACAATTCTCAAAGCTTTGACCAAAAACACCGTTTTGTGTTACGGCGATAGAGAGACAGAGCAAGGCGGCGGAAACAGAACGTCGCGACACGGCGGAGGATGGGCGATCTACTAGATTGGATCATCTCCTTCTTATTCCTCGTTACACTTCTCATCATCGTTATTTACCAGGTTTTTCTCCTGATAATTTGCTTTTGGTTAAATCAGTTAAAAATTAATCCTCAGTTTCAACAAGAGAACCAACAAATTTCTTGGAAGTTGGAAGTTTTATTGAATTTTGGTTTCAGTTTTTCTGGGTTTTGTTTATAATTTGAGGTAAACATAAATTTGTAACAAAAGCAATGATGTTTCTTAATTATTTTATGCATGCAGCTGACATGTTTTGCGGATCTAGAGGCTGATCACATAAACCCTTACGATTCATCTACCAAAATAAACCGAGTGGTTCTACCGGAATTCGGTTTGCAAGCACTTCTTTGTGTATACTATGTCTTCACCGGACATTGGTTCATGGCGGTTTTGTCTCTTCCCTACCTTTTCTACAACATAAGACTGTGAGTTATTAGTTATTACTCAGTTATCCGGTTTTGAATTCGGTCACGAACCCTTCACACCGGTTCCGGTTGAAACTATCTGATGTCTCTATGGGTTTTTTTCTTTCCGGTTAAAGATTCATGAAGAAGGAACATTTGGCAGACGTGACAGAGATGTACAATATAAACAAATGGGAGCAAAAGAAACGTATTTACAAGATTGGTCATATCGCTCTCTCAATCTTTATCACATCCTACTGGTACATTTCTTTATCTCTAATCACTATCGATTGATTCATATCTGCATACACGAATATAAACAAAACAAGTTTTCTTGTTTCTTTTCTTGTTGGGTTTAAGGTTGATCCATTCGGCATTGGGAGACATCTAGCTAAGGCCTAAGGCTTGAGATATCAGTGGACTAATGGACTTCACCATAAAATTTTACATTTTCAGAACGTATTCTATGGATTTTGTTGACCATGACAAATGTATATGCAGTTCTTCATTTTTATGACTTTTGTTGTTTTTTCTTCCTTTTGGCATTCCTTTTTTAGTTCATTACACAAATCGTAATGATAAATGATCTACTTTTTTGGTTTAATCGAAAATTTGTGCACTATAATTTGTGCACTATGTTCTGTTTTTTTCCATGAACTGGTTGCGTTGAGAATATCCCAGAAAATCGTTATGCATACTCTTCTGTAATTTCTGCAAATATTTTCGTTACTTGTTGGTTCCCTAGATTGTGTGAAATAATCCGTGTAAGATTTAGGCTAAGCCACAGTTGTGGAATTATTTGTCGTTTGGTTAATCACAATTTGATGATAATTATTTTAACAAATAAGATGGTAATTGTTCTTTAACCAATTAATCTGCAGTTGTTAATGGCTTCAAAGAATCCAATAGTATAATTTTGCTGGATTACTTAGAAATCCCAGTTAAGTCCAATTAGAACACGCCAACAACTAATGAGAAATGATTAACTGCATCATCTTTTTGTGTCGACTATTCAAAACAGAGCATAGATCTAGCAATCTGTGATAAGCTAGCTTAATTTTTGCTCTTAAGTTGGTGCTCGAACCTCTCGTGTGCATTTCTAGGATGTCCAATCTCGAGATCTCTTTCATTTAGTATTGTAGACAAGAGCTTCTGCAACAATGACTCTAATCCATTTCGTCCGGAATTTTTTCGGACATTTGTTAGAAAGCAGCTCTGTACCTCACATTTGGCCATACAAGCAATCAGTAAGAGTAGTTTTACCAATCCCACCCATTCCAATAGTGCTTGTTATGTGAACAAATCCAACTAGTTGAAAGATCAAAACTTTTGAAGAATCTCTAGACGCGATTATAACTTATAAGTGTTTCCTCTTCAAGATTATAACTTGGCACAAATTGAAATTGGGGTTATGCCACATTGTGTTAATAATACATTGAAATTGAATTTAGATTTGTAATAAATTGGTATAGTAGTTATATCGATGATGGTTTGATCTGTTCTTGACCTGTGAATGATACTTTTGAAACATTTTTGGGAACTCTTGATCCTTAGATTTTAAGGTTCTAGGCTAAGATTCTTCCTTAATGATCTTGTTTAAGGTTAGTCATGTATTTTAACTGCTTTAACCACAGAGCGATTTAGAGAGCTAGGTTACATTGACCCGATTAATGGATTATCTTTTGCCTTTTGGATAGAATAATAACCTACAAGACCGGTTTGAACAAAATTTAAGGAAACAAGATGATTATCAAATATCAATCCAAATTAAAAATATGAAAATAAGCCTACATGCAACCACCATGAAACCAAAACACAATACCCTAAAGCTCTAAACAAGAAGCTACAAGTTTCGCACAACCCTAATGTGGAGTAACCGAAACTAACTCGCTAACGAAAAAAAAATACAGAGGAAGATTGGATTATTCAAGTTAAACTGACGTTAATATCGGAAGACTTGTTTCTTGGATCAGAAGTTAATGAAGTCTGCCACGTATTATTGATCGGAAGAGACGACGCAGAATGAATTATCCGGTGATCAGCTGCACTAGAGATAGGTACCGCAGCGGTTGGACTCGACAACATGAAATCGTGTTTGTTCTTCTTCGGTTTCTGATCTTGCTGATCAGTGCCGGCTAAGAAACTTCCCACAACCACCTGTGAATTCAAACACAAGGAAAGTTTCCGGTTTTAGAATGTTGCGCTTTCTTGGACCGGAAATGGTTAATGAGAAACAAGAAGAAACCTGAACCGGACTCGCGGCTACTAGTAAACCAGCAACGCCACCGCCTAGTACACGTCCGTCGGGGCTTGATAACGATACACTCATTCCTCCGGTTCTACTCCGAGTTCCACCTATGTCGTTAGGCATGAATGATCCGGACAATGATAATATCTCAAACCGGCCCTGAAAAAACACTATAAGTCATCAAGATTGATCTTAAACCATCAACAATGTTTTGATTGATGAGATCTAATTTATATACTTCGTATGTCAATGTGCCTCCGGATGAATCGGGCTGACGAAGTGTAACGCTTGAAATAACACCGTTTGCTGATAAAACGCAAATCGCACGAGGTCCTTGTTGCGAAAATGAGATTATCTTATTTGTTACATCCTAATCAAACCAAACACACATGAGTCAAAACTCGGTGCAAGTTTTTAAAAAAGAAAAAGAGACATGATAAATAAACAAAACATTCCGATGAACTTACCTCGCCGGCGTTGACCGTTATTATATGAGGCGTGAAGTTACCACCGACGGAACAAGGAACCCATTCACCTACACATACACACACAAAAAGCAAAAGCTTATTAGTATCTAATAAAGGTCTTAATACAATTTTCCAATTTTTTTTTGGTAATGGAGACAATTGATCATGGAATTTGCTCTAGTCTCGACCTTAACGTCTAATATTGTTACTAAATTAAAGATTAATGTTGCATTTAAGAAGTGACAATTAAGAACATACTTATATGTGTAGATACTTAAGCCATAGTACACATCTAAAAGCATAGACAAATTAACACATGGATACAAAGTAGAGATCGTATGTATTTATAAGTTAAAGGTCCCACTTAAATAAAAGCATGCATGAAATGAAATCTCTAAAGATTAAAACTCCAGAAAAATCCAAGAAAATTTCTTAGTCACGAGAGTCAGATTGGTCTACGAAACTAGATTCCGACAAGAAATTCATAAAAAAAAACAAAAAAAAATCTGATGAAATTTAATAGAAACAGAGAAGAAAAGAAAAAAAAAAAGAGCAAAGAAGATTTACCCAAATTCTCGACTTGGTGATGATACTTCGTTCTGTTAAAAGAGTTTGTTGTTGGTTTCACTTTGCCGCGTTTTTCAGAGGCGGAGAAATCGATGACGTGTGAAGTCGCCGGTGGATGATGCGGTGGCGCCGGCGCCGTTGAAATCGGTTTCGGAGATAACGCCACAACTGCACCGTCTGGTCCGTACTTCCTAGGCCGTCCACGCTTCTTCTTCATCGGGCCGCCGGAGATACCTTCCATCGTAGTCGTCGCCGTCGAAGATAGCGGCGGCGGAGGTACTCCGACGAGCTGGCTCGTGAGATGAGACAAAGGTTGTTGTGGAGGAGAAGCGACGGAAGTAAGAGATGGATTTGAGCTTTCTGATCTTGGAGCTATGTGAAAATCCGACGGTGCGTCAGATCCAACCACAGTGATACCGCCGCCGTTGCCGGTGGTTGACCTAACAACTTCTCCGGTAGACTCCATATCCGAAACCATTTCGCTTTTCTTTTTTTATCTTCTATTTTTCAGTTTTGATTAGGAATTAACAAAGACGAGATTAAGAACTCAAAAAGGAAGAAAATTAACAAAGAAATAGAATTAAGATCTATAGCAAGAAAATCAAACAGAAAATATAAAGGACTAAGGTGTTATTTTCTGAAGAAAAAAAAATATTTGCTAAGAACAGAGCTTATAAATTAAGAAAATGTCGAAGAGGAAATGAGGGAAATTAGATTTATTTATGCTTTGTGATTTTGGAAATATTGATATTAAAAAATGGTTTTTTATCTTTTAATAATGGGTTTATTTATATTGTAAGATCTGTTTCATGCTTTCAGCTAATTTCCATCGTAACTTTTTCCATGTCTGTCCATTTTATTTTTATATTGAATAAATTTAATAATGGCGAAAAGGAAATGTTTAATAGCGTGTTATGATATAACTCGAAATGGATTTATATAATAACTTTTTTTTGGAATATATAGATATTCGTGTTTATAGCTGGAATCCGATGGGAGGGGATTAATAAATAAAAAAGGTAGTAAATAAGTAAATTGTATAGTAGACGAAAATAAAGTGCAATATAAAAGTCGTTCATTTTTAAAAAGCACTATTTGTAAAAGACAACATGGCCGGCGTATTAAACTTGCCGTGTTTTATTTTTTTAAAAATATTCCTAAATATGCATTTTTCCAATTCAAAAATATTGTAAAGGACAATTTATTTTTCTAATTTATTTATTCTTTAATTAACATCTGGGCTTTTGAGTAAAGGACAAGTAAAACTAGGCTACTAAAATGATGAATGAATAAATTATACTGGAAATAATTTTTAATTCTCTAACTCTCACAAGTCACAACTAAACAAGGCCACAGGCAAGAATGACAATTACATGGTGCCAGAAGTTATCAAATCTCATAACAGTGTTATGTATTATAGTAATAATTTTCCCCAAAATCAAATACAATAAGAAATTAAATGATGCCAAACCAATAATATTAAAATTTCTCAACATTTACATGCTTTTTTTTTTTTTTTACTTGTATTAATCAAATGGGAATGAACAAAACAGAGTTCTCAGGTTGCCTATACATGTTTGATTAGTGTAAGTTTAGAGGCAAATGGAGGAATCAAAAGATAGAGAATGGATAGAAAAGAACAGAAAAGTAAAAGTTAGAATAAATGTGTTAAAAAAAAATTACTATATCTGTAAGTCATTTTTATCTTAATGTAGCATTTAAAATTCGGGTCCGATAATTCCGAAGCAACACTCTTCTAACTGGTTAAGCTAAACGGACTTGGGTGTGAATCTCCGATAAAATGTGTGAAGTGTAAGGTAGTAAAACGTTTATATATAGATCATTTATATGGTCCACCTTAAAATGATTAAAATGCACGTATATTGAATTATTTGTCCTAAATAAGGTAACTACCTAGTTGTCCAATTCACTACAGCATTTAAAAAATTTCCACTTCTTTTCCTTCAAAAAATGTATTTTTAATGAAAGATTTTTTTATTAAAAAGAATTTGTGTTTTTCCTTCTTTTTTGGTCGAATATTGTACTCTTAAGACTTCTTAAAGAGATGTGTAATACAAAAATAATAAATTTATGAAGATACATGTCACGGTGACCAAAGATTTCGAATTCTGTTTTTTATTCTTTACAAATTACAACTACTAATATATTTTTTTATAATTTGACTGAAGGCATTATTTTACTCTATTTTATTTTGTTTCGTGTATTTGTGGGAATCCGAAGGTCTTTCTGCTTTTAATTTTATCTTCTCTTTGCAAATTTTTAAAAAATACTAAATACTCTTTTGTTTCTTTCCTTTTACATTTCCCAAAGTCTTCGTCACAATTATAGCTAGCCAACTAATTTATGCCCATTAAAAAACTTGCGTAACAAACTCTAAAATTAATCTCAATATTATATTTTGTATAAAAATGTGAATATATTACAAGGACAAAAGTATAGCTTGTAAGAATGAATGAAAAAATAAAAATCTGTAACGTTATAGTCACCCAAAAATGTCGTAATGTCGTAACAGTTAAGGAGATATTAACAACAGTGAAAACTTGTGTTAAAATTCAGGATGTCGTAACGTTACAGTCACCCGATATATCAACAGACATTAATTGTTTGTTTAGAAGAAAATATCAAAGTTAAAGCTTAGCTGTAGTAACTTAAACTTTGTAAATAAGTAACAATGTAGACCTCTTTTAAACCAATTCTGGCTATTCTTTTCTTTTTACCTTTATAGCTTTGTTGAGCTAATGACAAATACTACAAGATTATTTTAATTTTCTCTCATTCTCTATGAAAGGTTTGATGAAACTGCACAAAGTTAAAATTACAGAAATTGGAAGCAATCATGAACCGGAAAATTATTTTAACACAAATTTATTTGGGACCACGAAGCATTGAGTCACTGACCAATAGAAATGCACATCTTATTCGAAAAAACAATAAAACTAATTAAAAATAACCTGGGGTTTAGATAAGAACGAACCATTTATTAATCGTCTAATGTTTTCTTTATTTTAAATAAGTCTTTTCTGTAAATTAAAAAATTGTAGTGATGTGCTCGATGTGCATTTCCTCCGCGACATTATTTTATTTATCTTCCAATAAAGAAAAATATCACTGTATTTATTATAGAGATTTATTATAACAAAAATAGAGTAAAATATTGGTTTCACATGACTTTTACATACTGATTTTTTTTTTCATTTATAACTGCGGTCGGCATTCTGACCTAACTCTTTTTCCATATTACAGCTCATGGAAAAGATAAATATGTATAATTTAAAATACTTTAAAAAACGGACAATGTGTACTCGTAGAATCCGAGCCACTTATTTATCATTTTTGTTATACGTTACAAGTGTGTACTTTATATATATTTTATTTTTCAGGAAACTAAAGCTCTACTTAGGCCTGGGCATTTTACCCGGACCCGAAAGACCCGAACCGAACCCGACCCGAAAAAGATGGAACCGAACCGGAACCAAGACAAATACCCGATGGGTCCAAAAAATTTATACCCGAAAAACCGAACCCGAACCCGAACCGAACCGAGAACCGAATGGGTACCCGAAATATCCAAAATATAATTATATATCCAAAATATTAGTTATTTTTTAGACTTATAATAGCTTATAATACTAAAAATAACTAAAATTACAATTATAAATCTAATATAATAGTTATATTTAGAACAAAATAACCAAAATATTCGAAAAGTCCAAAAATATTTAGTAGAAGATGGATTATAACAAGATTTTATCGGTTATTTTGTAGGATTTTGGATATTCGGTTAAAAAAACCGATAAAAACCGACCCGAATCAGAACCGAATGAGATCCCAATAAGAACCAAAATTTGTATAAACCCGAACGGGTCCATAAAATTTAGCCCCGAACCGACCCGAACCCGACAGGAACCGAACCGAAACCGAACCGAAATTTTCCTAAACCCGAACGGGTCTAAAATTTAGCAACCCGAAAAGACCCGAACCCGAATAGAACCGACCCGAACCCGAACCGAAACCCGAACGCCCAGGCCTAGCTCTACTCATTACTTTGTGCTTCCGTTTTTCTCAAAATCAGCAAATGAACATACTTTAAACTCATTTTTAGTTTTCTTTTTGGTGGTTTGACAAATTTATATATAATATATGTTGTCTAAAGCTATTATTTTGAGAGTGTGAATGGTAGTCATACCATGAAAAAGAAAATAAAATGTAATATATCATTATTATTAGGTGGTGCTGCTGATATCGCATGTTCATTTCTGGAGAAATTTGATTTGTTATAACTTATAAGTAATCAATATTAAAGTATTTTTTGCCATTATATTTTTTTATTTAAAAAGCTTATCATGGCATATTGACAATATTTGCAATACCCATCATGTGAACCTTTTTTTAATTAATAAATCCCCGGCGTGCTTTATTTTTTTAAAAAACTTGTTGTCACTTCCAGTTACAAGAGTTAATCATCCCTATTTTAGTGCTTTTAAATTTATTTGGTTTTCTAACTAAACACTTGTTTATAAAAATCAAAACCTTCATCGGTAATTACACATTTATACCCTTGTTTCTTTAAAAAAATAATTATAATTTACACTGCTTCGTAAGATTTACATAGGAGTATTAAATTTTCTCAAGGTATGTGATGCTGATTATTTGATTTATTTCGTATGTCTTCACATTGGTTGGAAACAAAATTAAAAAGCAGATCTAAAATAAATAAGCCCACAGTAATGGATTAAGAACATCATTAGGCCATGCATTGTTGTTTTAGCGTTACGTTAATCGACTATCAAGCTCAAGTCATTACTAGCAGTGCTCGTGGTGACTCTAATTATTAGCTTAGCCGAAAGCAATGGATTCTAATTTATTCGAAGACAAATAAATTTAGAACTCTTCTAATGTGTTAGGAGTATTTTTTTGGTTAACCAATAAGTTATGGACCTTTTAATAAGCCCCTAATCTTCTCGGACCTGAGACTAGAAGAAGTTCAAGTAGTGTGCATTAACCATCGCAGAGACTTGAATTCGTGACCTTGAGAAGCTTTCTTTTTATAGTTTTGCTAAATTGAGCTACTATGACTAATGGGTTATTATCTTTTACAATTGACTGCAAAACATCCGTTTTGTAGATTGAAATAATGTTGTGCAGTTGAAAAGAAAACAAAAAGGTTTAGAAAGAAAAGACATAAGCATCAAAACGAACGCAAACTAAATATAACTAACTATCAATCATCAAAAAGTGTTCCAATTATTTACATGCACGTATAAAAACATACCCCCAAAATATAACTCACAAACATATAACAGAAGACGAAACACACACAGAGACTCGATCACAAGTCTTCACAAGGACTCGTTAGTAAAAGGGATCTCTTGGAACTTAAACGAAGCACTACCAGCATTCTCTCTCTCAAACCTTAACACATCCTCATCCGGCAATGGCATTACTTGTCTATCACCGACCTGTCGCGGTGGCAAAACCTCACTTCTCCGCGAAAACTCCGCCGAGTCGAGCGTTTCGTTGCTGAACAACCAGTGGGTTCCACCGCCACTTGCCCTGGGCGGCGAGGAGAAAGCAGCGGTGGCAGAGGAATCCCAGAGGATGACGTGAAGGAAGATGGGAACTTTGGCGTGACGGTGAAGCGACAGTTTCTGGCTGAGAGAAACGGTGTCGTAGCAGCGGATTGCTCCTGTGGAGGAAACCATCCACGGCAATACCTTTTGGTTTCCGACACGTGACACAACCAGACGACGCGAGGCCTTTGCTGCTTCTCTGTACAATGAGCTCAGGCCCGATCTTGCAGCTGGTGCACTCTCGTCTTCGTGGTCCGTCACTGAGGAGACGTAAATGAAACCCTGTCAAAGAAAATGTTCAATTCAAAAATTTTAAAATGTTTTTTTTTTTAACAAGAATGCATCATAATTATGCATATATATCTTGTAGGATGTTTTGATAATCAATGAATGTATTAGAGGAATACCTTAAAATAAGTTTATCTTCAAATAATATAATCATTAAATTCTATTTTTCCAAAAATACTAATAACTTGCTTTTTGAGTATTTTTTCCAAAAACACCAAAAGTCTAAAAATGATTGTAAATTAAATATTTTTTGTTTGAGAATTTACTGTTTAGGGTTTATTGTTTATTTTTAAGGGTTTAGTTTTGAAGGTTTAAAGTTTAGTTTTAGTTTTGTGGTAGTTTTGGAAATACCTCAATTTTAGTGGTATTGTTGGAAAATAAAACTAGTGATGATAAGTTCGAAACAAACTTATTTTCTATTAGATTGTTATATTCTTTCTGTTTTCTACAAATCGGATGTGTTTTGGACTTAACTTTATGTTTCAAGAACTTTGTTTTGTTTACCTCTTCAGTGCGGCTAATGGAGAATCCCAGTTTGGTGTCATCATCTCTAAGTTTGATTTCTAGAGGACACTCAACACCAAGAGGAGCGTACCAAAGCCGAACCGCTCTCACCACACCAATATCAACTCCGTGATAATCCTCAAACCCATAGAGACTCACGTTTGCAAGATTTGATAGATCAGAAAGCGAAGTTGTATTAACTGTCGCCGATGCTGTTTCTCCAGATATCTTTACCATGTAAAATAAAGAAATCAGCATTTTATAAATTATAAACTCTCTATACACTAAAACAATATTACACAAACTATTAATAAAAATCTGACCTTAGTAAGTAAAGATTCAGTCTGAATATTCATAAAGACGATTGGAACTCCATTAGCTTGTGAACAACTTAGCCAAGCATTTGCACGAGCAAGTGTGTCTTCCAAGTCATTGTACCGAGAACCTGCCCTTCCATAAGCTAATGTTGAAAAATATAGTTGTCAATATCCATAAAGAAAGAGTTTAACAATATGTGACTAAATTTTCAATATTGTTCCATTACTAGAAGCTTTGGGAAGAAAAAGAATGGAGAGGAAATTGCTAGAGCCCGGTATTGGTAAAGCTTCTCGCATTCGTTTTTCCCATGGATATGAAACGAAACCATCTTGAAGCTTGGCTCTCCCTAATGCTTCCACCATTCTTGATCCTCTTGAAGCTGCAAATTAACCATTTTAACAGCATTCTTATTTTTTGTAATAATATTTTATTTCAAAATTAATGTTTCATTTCTTGATTTACACATTAATTAAAGAGAAATTCAGAAGAATCTTCGTTAAAATATAAATTCAATTATTATAATTGGTTTTAATACGTGAAAATTCCAAAGCATACAACTTAAAAATACAGAAAAAGCATCTTTCAAGAAAATTCCTAGTCAATAGATAATGATCAAATAATAACAACGGCAATTTCTTATGTATTTTCGCAACACAAAACATTAGTGTATTTTGTATGTCAACAGATTAATTCATTATGAAAGATTTTAAGTTTTAAATTGTGTTTCTTGATCAACACACCAAATGCTTACATACTTTTAGCCGAAAAAGCAAAATTCGTACTTATAATAAACAGCATTAATTGAATTTCACCAACTGAGAAGCACGATATGATGATACAAAGGCAAAAAATTAAACAAGTAGGCCAGAAAAGTCAACAGTACAAAAAAAAGAGAAGAAGATAATTTAACCGACCGAGTTAACTCACCTTGCAAACCGAGGCAATCCGACTCAGTCCGATCCGAGAACCCAACCGTGTAATTCGGGTCATCAATGGATCTAAGCATATACTGTCTCTTACCGGCGGATTCGTTAGGAACAATACAAGCAGACAGGTCGGAGAAATCGTCAGAGCCACGTCTGACTCGGACAACAATCGTGGTTTCTTTGTTCTTGAAAGAATTGTGAAGAACCTTCTGGAGCCAAGCTTTGCCTCCTTTAAACGGAGCTTTGAAGATAGCCGAACCGGGTCCTGACCCGATCCGAATCTCTTCCACTATATCTCCCGTTTGAAGCATATCGCCGCTCCATTCCTCGCTTTTGGAGCTTCCTTTCAGACAGTCGATTGAGAGGACGACTGTGTTTCCCGGTCGGGTCGGGGATTCGGGTTGGTTGCGATCCATGGAGGATTTTATCTGGTCGGGGATATGAAGCTTCTCGCGAGAGAGAGAATGAGAGAGTTTCTAAATTTGTTGAAAAGTGATTTTATTACACGGAATCTTTGAGAGAGAGTAAACAAAGTCGTACTTGGCTGAGATTTTTATTCTCACTAGATATTGGGATAACTAAACTCTTAAACAACGCCACTTGTCATTATATTTGACTTTTAAAATTTAATCTATTTTGTGGAAGCCGGTTGATCAAAAGAAAATGACTGAATGATAAAATTTAATTGTTCTTCTATACAAGATTTTCGATTCCAATTTATTGGAAATTCCGAGATGTAGTAGAGTTGTATGTTATGGATAAAATTGTTCATCGTAAATGTGATGTAAATAAAACCATTTTTAACTAATTTATTTGGGTTATAAGGAGAATCTTTCGTTGTAGAGTTATTTATAAAATGTTTGTTATAATGATCGCATGTAATACAAAAATAGTTAGATTCATCTATTGTATACGATAGATTTTGGTTTATGATACGATAATGTGATATCAAAAGATTTCAAATGATTAGGTAATAGACGCAACAAAATTAAGGTTATCTTTGTTTAAATTCATTTTTTAAAATATTCTCCTTTTGATATTTCAATGTAAACATCTTAAGATAGCGATTTTCTTCTCTCTATTCACACTACCAACTCATGTATGAAATCAAAGTCTATATCCTCACGTGACATAGAAAAAGAGAAGACGAACTTCTCTCATGCTATGTCTCTCTACACATTGACTTGTTAAAAAATGAAGAGAAGAATTTTACAAGGAAGAAGAAACACATGAAAACATTTGTATTTGAAATATAGGAGAAAGGAGAAAAGAAATTAGGTTTTAGCATTCACTTTCTGTTAAAATAAAGACTTTTATATCCACATTTGAATCTTCTTTTTGCGATATAAACTTTTCACATGTTTGTAATTGCTCAAACCTCTTGGTTGACGAATAATGTAATTAGAAAAAGAATTGTTGTCCTTAAATGTGCCATGCTGGGTTATATCCACCTTTAAGCCCAAATAGAATTGTTGGGCTTTTCATTTTCAAACGTCATTAAATTTAAATTATAAAATGATATCCCGAAACGACACCGTTTCCACCGTCTTCATCTTCCCCAATTTGACGTTCTTTCATTTTCATTTTCCCGTTATCCAAACAAAAATGGCTGCTCAATCTTGTTGCAAATTTACTCTGGCGAATCCGATGATCTCGCAAATCGATTCTTTCTCTAAACAGAAACTATCTTCTCCATTATACTTCTCCCCTTCGAGAAACCATGTAAAAGCAATGAATCTGATGAATCCATGGTTAGGCGCTGATTCTCCCCTCTCTCTCGATTCTTCCGCCTCCGTCCTACGAACCAATTCAAAAACTCACCGGAAAATCCCAATCTCCGTCGTTTCCAGCTTACCCACCGCGTAGGTTTCTCTGATTTTTGATTGATTCTGTAATCGATTTCAGTTCTCGGCTAAATTAGAAGATTCTGCGCTCGATTTTGATTACAGGAATCCGGAATCTGTGGTTTCTGATGCGAAAAATCCCAAGTAAGCGTTGTTCTTAAACCTTTTAGTAGCGTGTATTGAAGTGATTGAAGTTCCTGGGTTTATTTTTAGGGCTTTTAAGAAATTTGAGGGCAAAATGTAAAAATGTAGATGGTCATGGAGAGGAATTAAATCGTTTGCAATGGGAGAGCTTGAAGCTAGGAAGCTCAAGTATCCAAATACTGGCACTGAAGCTCTTCTCATGGGTATTTTGATTGAAGGTACTCACTTTCTTACTTGTAGTTTTGTTGCAATCAAACGTAGCTCTTGATTTCTCATCAAGATGATACAAAGAACTCATTAGGATCTTGGTAGGGATATCTGGAATGAGAATAGTGTTAATCTGATGGGAAGAAACTAGTTCTCTGTTTCTTTATATTGCTTGAGGATCTTGAACAATTCTTGTTAGTGATAATTGGATTAAGATAGTGTGAATCTGATGGGCAGGAACTAGTTTTACTTGCAAATCTCTGTGTTTCTTTACATTGCTTGAGGATCTTGAACAATTCTTGTTAGTGATATTGGATTAAGATGGTGTTTGATCTGATGTTGCAGGAACTAGTTTTACATCGAAGTTCTTGCGTGCGAATAAGATAATGCTTTACAAAGTTCGTGAAGAAACAATCAAGTTACTAGGAAAAGCAGACTTGTATTTCTTCAGCCCTGAACATCCTCCTTTAACCGAAGATGCTCAGAGAGCACTTGACTCGGCTGTGAATCTGAATCTAAAAGCAGGTTTGTTCTCTTTCTAGCTCAACTTGTCTCTGTTAGCTCTGTGAATCTCATCTTCTTCGAGCTGGTTTATGGTGATACGTTATTTGGAGAAAACTTGGAAGTATACTTCAGTTATAAGCAGAGCCTTAAGCAGCATTGTTTCACTTGTATATTGTTGCAGGTGGTGTTGGAGAAATAATGCCGGCACATATACTGCTAGGGATCTGGTATGAAGTTGAATCTCCAGGTCACAAGATACTGGAAACGCTTGGTTTCACTGATGAAAAATCTAAAGAGTTGGAGTCCTATGTCTCTGAAGCTGGATTTCTAGATGAATAGTACATTACATTTAACATTCTTCATTAATGCCATATTATTGTTTGTAATTTTGTATCAAATTCTCTGAATTCATAGCTGCAGTTTGCAATAATAATGTTCTTTATGTGTTCATTGTCCTACTGAATCTTATCTTCAGTTCTTTGCTTTTTGCCTGAAGACTTTAAACCTCTTATACAGAAATTTACAAATATACCTGTTCGACTTCAATCATTGTCTAGACGAGAAACGATTCCACAATCTAGTGTGACTAAACCCTGAACACTAAATCCCGGTTTACGTACCCTTCATCATAAGACTTTGTCTACTTTAAATCCCAAACTTGCATACATTCCGAGCAATGGTGATCATCAAAATCATCTTCGTTACACCGATCAAGATTACATTGTGGTTGGTTATTTGGTTATATATAAATCCAAGCAAGTGAAGTGGACGATGCCACGTTCCTTAGAATGGTCCGAACCTGGCTTAACATATGCGAAACTTGAAGCAAATAGCACATGGTTAAAGATCGAAATGGTCTTGCACCGGGGTTTGACGATTTTCCTGGTTTACAATATCAAGAACTCATAGCCCACTCATGATATTATTTTATTATATGATGTTAGTACTAACCACACACATTACTACGTGCATTAAGCCATTAACTTACTCATCTGAGAAGTCCAAGACTAGCTGGAACTTAATATCTATAAAAAAAATTATCATATAAACTAAGAACAATTGTTTTGTGATCTCCACGGATGAACATAAAAACATATTATAGTAGAACCTCTATAAAATAATACTCGACAAAATAATAAACAGATAATATATTTATCTGTCTCAATTCGGACTAGTGTAAAAAATAGCAAAATGCGATAAGATGATAAGATAATAATAATTTTGAAACTCCAATGTAAAAATATAGTCCCAACAATAAGCTAAAATAATAATTATAAAACTTAGGCATAAATATCTAAGGCAATTTAGTAAAATATGACTCCAATGTAGTTTGTCTTTTTTGAAAGTTAGATTCTAGTTGGAACTCATCTCAAATTTTTCTTATTGCATTAAAAAAAAGGATAATTACATAATATGAAATATATAAATAAAAAATTATAAAAAAATTTTGAATAAGAGAAAACTGAAAAATATCTTTCTATAAATTTTATTGTTTTTATAGAATATTTCGATAAAATAATAATTTTACTTTATCAAGAAAATAATAACTCTATAAGTTAATAAATTTTCAAAGTTACACCATTATTATTTTATAGAGGTTTTACTATACAATATCTATTTATGTTTTTATTTATCTATTCGGCTATCTACTTAAATAGTAGTTTTTTGTTTTTCTAGAGTATATAATTAAGGAACAAAAAGTTGCACCAATACAGCACCATATCAACGACAATCGACAAAGATTTTTGATTTGTAGTTCTTGGCAACGAAAATCCACAAAGATTCTGAATCATGAACTTAGAGCAAAAATATCAACTATATATTAGTTTGAACCTCGAGAGCTCCTGAAAGTTTGGACGATTAAACTTATAAGTATTGGTACAGATTCAACTTATAATTAAAGTTAGATGTCTATGTTGTGTTGGATATATAAAGAACCAGGGAGGAAAAAATCAATAAATGTAAATTTTTCTATGTATAAATATAAATCATCAAGTACAAAAGAGCAAATTGAGCTTGAAAAGATATGTGTACCTCTGACCATATGTCATGAGTGAGAACTGAAAAACACTCTTTTGTTTTCTCTTTTTCTACCAAATTCCCAAGTATACCGAAGAATTGTTAACAACAGGCGTTCTTATTGTTTATAATGTCTCAATACGAGATTGATATTTAATCAATTGTGATTATATACTAGATATTGTTTTAGAACTGAATTCTTGTTTCGAATATCGTTTCATATTTTTAATATAGAATTTTGATAAATTTTTACTTTTGTCCTTATTTCTTTAACATATCAATTAGTGAGATTATATTATTAATAACCTATGACAAATTATTAGTTTATATCCACATGATGACGTTGAATAGCTTTAAGACAAGCTACACAGAACACGTTGAATCATGTTTAAAAGAAAAAAAAACACGCTAAAACATATTCCCTTGGTTTTTTTTAATGAATTTTGTAGTTTCATAAAAATAAATGTTTTAACTTTTTGATACACTTTTTCAATCAATATTTATTATGCTTTTTGAATTCTTATTGGTTTGAAATTTATAATAAATTGTTTAATTAGAAAAATCTATGCATCTATGATTAAAAAGCAACTTTTCTTTAATATATATGTATGAAAATTGAAAAAATTAATTAAAGAAACGAAGGGAGTATGGGAGACTGTTTCTTTTTACTTCTATACTTTTTTTCTTTTTATTTTTGTGCAATTTTTTTTTTTTTTTACTTCTATACATATGAAGTTTACAATGAATACTTGTAACTTATATATAAACTGCTCCATAATAATTAAAAAAAAAATTTACACTCTATAAAATTTATTTGAAAACCCAAGGGGCTGTGAATATATTAATGATTGTATGTAATATTATGAGATTAAGAAGACATAAGTAATTACTAATCACGAGATTCCTCAAGGATAAAAGAACTATTGATATATTATCATGTCATGCGATGTTTTTTTAATAGCTTTAGCTTTGTCGTTAGCTCAATTTTGTCTGGACTCTCAAACAATGCCGTATTAATGCTCCACTAACTGTCGCTTAATCATTATTTAACTCACATGCCCCCACCACTTTGACATCAATCTCATATTATCACGACCACTTACGAATAGTAGTGTCCAGTCCAGATTTTGATTAGTTTTTAGTTTCAAATGATTAGTTCTAATTCGAATACTTGTGTAAAGAGGGATCAAATGTATTTACCTGTTTAGAAACAGAAAATAGACTAAACTTTAACTAATGCGCTTTGGTTAGCACTGTTCAAAATTAGGTTTGGGCTGGTAATTTGTGTTTTCAGTTTACAAAGACTTTCAAAACTATCAAGGATCTAACTAGTATGCAAGATGAACATATCGATTAGACATTCTTTGCAAAAAATTTAGTAACTGATTGATGAATTTAGATGGTCTAAATCTAAGGTTATAGTTTATTGCGTATATAGATATTTAAAATTAACAACATACTTGTTTACTTCAAAGTTTGTAATTTGGTATAAACCACATTTACATTTGGCTGGGGACCATAAATTGAATCTGTTAATCGTGAGGAAAGCAGAAGCACAATAAGATTCGAGGCAATTAGGTGCCTTCCACATGGGGACTTAATTTTGAATTATTTAATTAAGCAGCTTAATCCACCAACTTCTTTCTTTATTTAATTTATTTTATCACACAATTATAACAAACTGTATACAGTTCTCGTAGACTTTTTTTCTTCTAAGGCGATAGGTTCAATTTTTGCTTACTTTAGTTTAAAAGATTAGTCTAAAAGATTAGTCTTAATTTAACTAGTCGCAGTTTTTTATGCTTTACAAGCTTGTATTTCTGTGGCCTTTTACCAATGTATAGTATGTACTTTGCCTTTACTCTTCTCTTGTCTTCAGCACAAATTTAACTTTGACAACGCATAAATATATATATATATATATATTTTTTTTTAATTTCCTATCTGAAATGCATTACCGATATCAAAACCTCCTCTTAATGTTTTCCCATAAACCTTACAGTTAATTATACCAGATTATTTCACTTATACCTATTAGTATCAATCTCGTGTATTATTGAAGAACAAGTGAACCTCATAAAAATAGATAAGAGTGGTTTCATTAGATACCAGAACTTTTAAAATTATTAAGAAAAATATCAAACTGACAAATTCATAAATTAGAGGATGCCAGCATTTGACGATTTTTGTTTCTCCAACGTGTCGATCTGTTCGTATACCATGATATATATTATTGTGGCTGATGTTTTGAAAAGCCAAAAAATAATTAAATAAGTTTCCAACGTTTCTATAGTTTCAGTAAATATTGTAAGCTTTTATAGACTGGTGAAAATTATCAAGAATTTCTATGCAAGTTTCTTATGACACATCACAAAAATCATATGTGATGAACAAGCCTTCGAAATGATGAATAATTCGTGTGTTATACTTATATATAATTTTTAACCCAAAAAACTAACTATATTGTTAATGAATAGTTGAGAATATAATATCTTTTCTTTTATGTATGTGCATGCTCCTTTAATCTATGCAAGTTATAAGAACATGTCATATAATAAAAATGTTTAACCGAGCTGGGGGTAGTGACATACTAGATGATTAGAACATCATATCTATACAAAGTATAAATGTTTTTATTAATACTCTTCACACTTTGATACCCCGTAATTAAATAATTAAAAACCTAGTGAAATTAGTAAACTAATCAAATAATAATCCGTAAAATTCGGGACTGAAAGCAAGCTGTCCTCTCTTTTTGCGAGCTTCTGAACAAAAAAAACGCTGGTCTGATAAAATTCATGCCTTTTGAGGACAACTCTTAGATTATACAAATGACCTCATTTCCCAAAAACTTTATTGATTTGTTATTCATAAGGTACTAATCACATTTCAAATGACGGAAGGTAATCGTTAGTATTGGGATCAATAATCGTTATCAAAACCTACTAATTGTTGGAATTTTTAATGAGAACAAATTTTGGCATCTCTTCTGAGAATATTAATAATCGTTGCTAATAATATACGAGTAGGCTTGACAAAAAAAATCATTAAAAATCATTATATAGTAGTGATGATGGTAATAAAATGATGGAATATATGGTAAACAATAAAGAATGCTTTCGATGATAATCAGAATTCGTTAATTTCATCGTTGTAACGAATGACACTTCAGTTGTATAGATATTAGTATTCTTAATTAACAAAGTGTAAGAAAGTGATAAATGCTATACATGGGTAGTAGAACAAGGGAATCATATTCTAAGTATTAAAAAAGTGAATAAATGGAAAACCATTTACTATCAACTATCACTTTATGTGGTTGTTTGGATTAAACTATAGGGAAGCTGCTGATTGAATGCATAAGTTTTTGATTTTTACATAACCAAATGTTCTAACATTTAATTACGAATAGGACTTATGAGTCTATGTCATATTTGAGAATATATATCAATCTATTAAAGTCAAACGAACAGCAACTTCCTCGTTTGGTGGAACTGTGTTCTCGTAATTTTTTGTCAACCAACTATGTTCTCATATAGCTGGTCCAGATCATCAATAAATTAAAGTTTAAATATAAAAAGAGAAAATACAGCACAATGTATTTATATCGATCAACAATACTGTATGATTAAAACTTTAAAGTTTCAATTATATTTTATGAAATAATCCATTTTCGTTGTTTTTTTGTTCGTTTTGATGGGTAATTAAAAACATATTTAATAACCCACTTATAAGATATACAAAGTCTAGATGCCAATGAAAACTTACTAATGAGCAAATGTACAAAGTATGATACCTTAACATAATAGTGGAATCTCTCTTAGTGTATAGATCAGAATTCATGGCCATGCCGCTAACAATATGGCCCATAAAACTTTGTTAAAAATAAATCAGAATTCAGATTTGTTCTACGTCCAAAAGAATTATTATAGATTTAGTCATTTTGAAAAAAAAAAACAAAAAAAAACATATAACTAGTTGGTTTTTGGTACTAATTTAACTTATGGATCTATTTAACTAAACATACTTTTTTGGTCAGGAACAAACAACTAACCACACACTAAACGAAGCGATCATATAACCTTTACCTTACTAGTTACATTCAACATATTCTTTAGCCCGTAAAATAGCCACATATTAACCTAAAACGGAGATCCTACTAATCAGTGGCCGTTCAGTGGCTAATCCAAAATGCAAAACAAGAGGAAGGAGAAGTGCACGTGGGGAAGGGAAGAGCATGAGAGCCGACAAAGAGCATCTTTAAGACATGGGTTTGCGTCCACAAGAGTCATGCCATTGCTCTCTCTCTCTCTTTGCACATTCAATTCAACAATCTATTCTCTCTCTCTCTCGTGCTTTCTCCCTTTGGGTTTGAGATTTGTCAGCGCCTTCGTCGCGTCTTCTTATTACTTCACTCTCTCCAATGCCATATCCACACATCGCATCTTCTATTTCTTTCTTTAATAATCATGCCTAGTATTCTTTACTATTAACTACTCTACTTTAACTATATATCTCACTACTTAGCACTTTGCGATGACCATCCTGCATTGCCCTAGAAATAAGAAGATTCTTATTGTTATGGAGAGAACCACTTACATTCGCATAGTAAACTGAAAAAAGGAAGTTGAATATCTATTTAACTGAACTAAGAAAACATAATGAAGAAAAAAGTCACATATGGTGACTCTATCGAATTAGCCACTAAATCTTTCGAGAATCTAGAAATTGTAAATCATGAACCAACCCTTACGTAAAACAGTAAAAGTCATATTTTTACCCAAAAAAATCGCCCTCGTGTAAAAGTAAAACCTACTATAATTGAAAATGACACGAAATTATACATATAAGATCTTAAACGCAAACGAGAGCGACCGAAATTGGAAATGTTATAGAAACAAATTAAAGGATGGCGTAGAGGTGGGGACCAAAGCACCGCCTAAGACATGAGAATGATGTCATTGTCATAAGCACAAGAACAGAACAAAAAGCTACATGTCTCTCTTCTCTTCTCCATCTCTTTCTCTCTCTCCTCCTAACCCTAATTTACCAATCACCAACCAAAACAAATTAAGCAGACCACCCCCACAAACTCCTCAAAACCCCAACACATCTCATATAAACTAAAAAGGAAATTAGAAAAGAAATAAAAGAGGAAGAAATAAAAACCCCACCAAAAGCCCTTTTCATTTCCTCCAAAGTAAAACTCAAATCAAAAGAAGAATAGAAGACAAAGAGAAAGAGAGAGAGAGAAAGAGAACCTTACCAAATCAATCAAAGAAAGAATAAGATGAAGATGAATAATTCCAGCTTGATATTTGTTGTGAATCATTATTAATTATCCTCCTCTTCTTCTCCATCTAAAGCCTCTCCTAGGTCAAAAACATCATAATCGATTCTCATCTCTCCCTCACCAATCATTAATCTTAAAAAATGGATCCAGTTCAATCTCATGGATCACAAAGCTCTCTCCCTCCTCCTTTCCACGCAAGAGACTTCCAGTTACATCTTCAACAACAACAACAACACCAACAACAACAACAACAGCAACAACAATTCTTTCTCCATCATCATCAGCAGCAAAGAAACCCTGATCAAGATCACGAGCAGCAAGGAGGGTCAATGAATAGATCCATCAAGATGGATCGCGAAGAGACAAGCGATAACATGGAAAACATCGCTAACAATAGCGGGAGCGAAGGCAAAGAGATGAGTTTACACGGTGTAGAAGGAGGAAGTGGCGGAGGAGGAAGCGGAGAACAGATGACAAGAAGGCCAAGAGGAAGACCAGCAGGATCCAAGAACAAACCTAAAGCTCCAATAATCATTACTCGAGACAGCGCAAACGCGCTTCGAACTCACGTCATGGAGATCGGAGACGGATGTGACATAGTTGACTGTATGGCCACGTTTGCAAGACGCCGTCAGAGAGGCGTTTGCGTTATGAGCGGCACAGGAAACGTTACTAACGTCACTATACGTCAGCCCGGATCGCCACCTGGCTCGGTGGTCAGCCTCCACGGCCGGTTTGAAATCCTTTCCCTCTCAGGATCTTTCTTGCCACCGCCTGCGCCGCCTGCAGCCACGGGACTTAGCGTTTACCTAGCCGGAGGACAAGGGCAGGTCGTTGGAGGCAGTGTGGTGGGACCCTTGTTATGTTCAGGTCCTGTGGTGGTTATGGCGGCGTCTTTTAGCAATGCGGCGTACGAGAGGTTGCCCTTGGAGGAAGATGAGATGCAAACGCCGGTTCATGGCGGAGGAGGAGTAGGAGGAGGTGGTGGAATGGGATCTCCGCCGATGATGGGTCAGCAACAAGCTATGGCTGCGATGGCGGCTGCTCAAGGGCTGCCACCGAATCTTCTTGGTTCGGTTCAGTTGCCGCCGCAACAGCAGAATGATCAGCAGTATTGGTCTACTGGCCGGCCACCGTATTGATTAGATTTCTATTAATACATATATTACACATATGAATCGAATATATATAGCTATGTGTTTATATATATGTAGCTATTTACTAATAGATTTTACATATATATAAAGCAAGCTAACATGGAATGATTAAAGGGGTGTAAACGAATTATGATGAGATGATGAAGACGGCGATATGATGAAGAAGCTTTCCGATGTATTTGTGGATCAACAATTCAGTAGATGTTTTCAGGTTTTTTTTTCTTTCGTTCTTGGGTTCGTTTCTAGTTCGTATATCTTTTCATTTTTGATTATGTAAGGTCAAGTTGTTTTTACTTTATTGAGGTTTCTTTGATGAATATGATTCTTATGTTTGGTTTGTTGTTGTTATTCACAAGAATTACTTTCCCAAATTAAACTATTTTCGGTACGAGTTATTCCATTAGTTATGATAATTCAACTCCCATGGATTGTTTCGTTATAAAAAATTTATGGCATTCTAGAAAAGGTCATGTTCATTAGGTTTCAATTGAAATATCTATACACACGTGTGGATCTTTTATCTTATTTTTTACAAGCCTTATCTAGAAACCTTCATTTACAAAGATAAAAAATGGATATGCTAGAAGTTTTTGTGAAACGGGAACAAAACCGTGGCGTAAAACACCGTTTAGCTATATATAATATGACCATGCATACATTAAAATGCATAATCCATAATTCAATATGATTCATTTCTTTTGTCTATCTCAACGTGAAGGAGATTATATAGGTTGACGGATAGTAAATGTGTTGCTTTAGGATTTTGGGATGAGAAATGTTACGTACGAAAAAATATAAATACAAACGTGATTTGAGTAAATAGTTTCTGGTTATAATCATGTTTTGCGCAGAAATTCATGTTAGATTTGTAAGAATCTGTTCTCTTTCCAATTGCTATATATTATTCATGTTTTTTTATTTATAAAACTGTTTTAAAAAAGAAGTTACTGTTCAAAGTGGTCAAATATACACATATTCATCATCATAGCCATAGGCTTCAAGAGATGCATAAACAAATATGTTATGAGTTATATATCAGTTAGGCGAGAGACACATATCACGTCGACCAAACCATACATGCTCTTGAAGAAAATTTCATAGACTTTTTGTTACAATAAAAAAATGAATATCTCTTGTAAACTTTCTACAATTGGAAATGTATCAAAAAACTCAAATATACCCCTTGTACTCCCTCCGTTTCAAATTAGTTGTTGTTTTGACAAAATGTATCCATAAATATTTAGACGTATCTGGACGTATTTTGCATTGCAGATACATCCAAATATTTACAAATACATTTTGCCAAAACGACAACTAATTTAAAACCGCTTGTTTAACCAACCAAAATATATCTTGGCAAGTCATTTGAGCCCAGTTTCAGGCCCAATTATAGCGCTTACCAACCAATATCTTAGCCCTTAGTTGGGCCCGTAATGCTCATATTCTTGTGCCAAATTGCCAACGAAATGAGAATTATCTGAGAACTTATTTCCCATTTTCCATAAATTGTCGTAAAATTGTCATTTTCCAACACAGTTTCACAGGTGTTATCTGATGACACGACTCGACCACAACACATCAAACTGACAGAGACCACGGATTTAACGTATATGATCCGGAGAAACAAAGGCACTCCTCTTGAACCATCATCATTCTCAAACTCTTTTAAGCTTGACTCAAAACAGACAACCAAGAAGCAACCATAGATTCAATCTTGAAGGAAGGCGTCTACTTATACTAAAGATTCACGAAGAAGAAAGAAACAAACCCAGAGCAGCAAATTTTTCATTTTGGATATTCATGGAAACCCAACATCGAACATGATCACATCACATCACATCAACATTCCACCGGAAATAAACTGATCAAATACAGAAGACAGAAACCACCAAAACACATTAAAACAAAAAAAGACGGAAACGTTTTTGTATTTTCTTCAAATCCTCTGGACTTTATCCGCCTTAATCACCGGATTCGCCTTTGCGATCGCGTCACGCCCGACTTCTTTGAAATCGAAGCTACACTCGTGCTTCTCCGGGTACCTATGGCTCCCGCAAAACGTGCTTCCGCATTTGCACTTAAACCCCATTACCCCAACCTTCTTGTTACAGCTCAAACACCTGTTGTTCGGTCTCGCAGGTTTCGACGGCTCTCCATCGTCGGCGGCTACAGGAACAGGAACAGGAGACGGCTCAGCGGTTAAAACAACAACTGTTTCCACAGATGCTTCTGGTTTCGGTACCGGAGGCAGAGGCTGTTTTGTTTCTGGTGTTGTGATGAGACTGCAAGATGGAAGCTTCAGTGATTTCTCGACGGCAGCTTTGGCTACTGCTGTTTGGTCTTCCTCTGCTCGGAGACTTCTGTAACATTTCGAACAGAGGTTCATGTTCGATGGTGACCCGAAGAATCCACATCCGTTGTCGCAGAGCTTTGGCTCTGTTGGTGGGAAGCTTGTGCTGTTGTTTTGCTCGGAGCCCATTCTTCTTCGATCGACTTTCACCTTCAAATATTCAAATAAACAAAGAAGATAACCAAAATCATTAAGACAAAAACAGAAGAATGTTTTTTAAGGTTGTCGTCGAATCTACAAGGAGGATAAGATCAATATGCCTCAATTCGATTTAATCTATAATCAAAAGTGATTCAATTCTATTCAATCCAGCTTCGATAACATGAAAATTATTCAATTCGATACAAACCTAGCTTGGAATAAGATCAAATTCATTCAATTCGATCAAACCCAGAGTCAATTATATGAAATTGATTCGATTTCGAAATAAGCCTAGCTTTGAATTAGATCTGTCTCGGAATCAATTACCCCCAAATTCAAAATACTAAGAAACATTTCTACATGACTTAAAGACAATTTAGACCCACAAAATGTTCAGATCCGTCGAAGAACAAGCAAATCAAATCTATTCGAAGGAGGATTTACCAGAAACGGGTCAGATCAAAATCGATTTTTTTGTTCTCAGATTTCAAAAAGCTTCTCTTTATCTACGAAATTTTCACGAAAAGGGAATCTTCCAACGAAGACGAAGCAGAAGGATGGGTTTCTACGAACAGATACTAGGGATTTGTTATTTTCTGTTCAAGATTGATCAGAACAAATCCCTTGATTTAGGTGAGAGAGAGAGAAGGAGATTAGAGAGATAACCAAACACGCAACAATGGTTGATCAGCAAAAATGGTCTCTTTATATAATTTCGGTTTAGGAAGACGAAAGACACGGTTTCCCTTTTTTTTTTTATTGTCGGTCTTTGGTTTTCATTTTTACGTCAGTGTTGGCGTGCAATTCAATTGCTTTTAGCCGTTGGATCTTTATCGCCGACGTTAATGTGACGTTACTGTTTTTATGATCGAACGGCGACTTGGTAAAAGGGTATTTCCGTAATTTTATACAGTCCCACTGTTTCCTTGTTTATTTTATTGTTTGCTTTCCAAAGTCCATTTTCCATTGTTTACTACTTGGTTAAGACGAAGTTAACATTTTCTAGTGAAATATGAAAAAGTCAGAATTTTCCATTTTTTCTAACTCCAAATTTTTTTTATGGTCTGACTTTGGTTTTCTCAAATAAAATTATACTCATTGATTTGGTTTGTTTAAGCAACAATTAAAGTGGAATTATTGTTGCAAATTTGTCTTTGGGCTTAGGGGTTGTTTACTTGTTTTACTTTGGTCTTAAAAGAGGGACCCTTTTTCTTATAAAAATGAACAATTCTCTCTTATTTCTTTTCTAAAAAAAACGAAAGAAGAAGAATACATGCAATTGTATGATAACTCTGCCAAAACAGATGAGGCAATCATAAAAATATTTATAATATACAAAAATAATTGATGTAGTCAGACATGACATTCCTCTTTTAAGCAAAACCACGAATAATTTGAGAGATAATGCTTAGATCATCTTCCACAATGATTCATAACCATTCTGATTAGAAACCCTTTTAAAAAGATTTAGAGTTTTAATTAGGTTAACTTCAAATGGAAGAATCATGAGTCTTGTAAAATTATGAGTGGCTTACACATCCCTACGCCTACCCAATACCAATCTAATGGTCAAGAAAAAATCATGCTGTTCTGACTCTGAAGAATCAAACTTCTTGCTGTTTCCTTTCCCTGAAAAGAATCATACTTTTCTGAACAAAAACGCTAAAGCATAAACCACAATTAGATAGTGCCAAAAAGATTTTACCTCATAGGTTCTTGTTTTACTTTACCTAAATTACTGAGTATTTAATAGAAAACAGTCGTGAAGTCAGAAGTTAACTCAAGTATACATATAGAACTTGAAGTAGTTGTGGATGAAAAAGAAAACTTGAGTCTTTTCATTCTTTATTGGTTATAACCAAACACAGAGAATCTTTCTGTGAGTAAATATCAAAAATAATCAAAGCATTTAATGGAAAGTTGTTCAAAAAAAAAAAAATCAAAGCATTTAGCTTTTCATGATGAAGCAAAGGATCAAGAGATAGCCTAAAGACCTGAAAGAATGATTCCAATACTATTGAAAAGATTGCAGACGATAGATGCTCAGAATATAGAAGAATGCTCGAATCATAGCTACTGGGAGATTTGGGAAAAAACTTACAAGTCTTAACATGAATAGCATATAAATAATCGTATTGTTCTCTCGTTTATCGACTCTGTTTTGGTATACTTAAACCGGGTGTTGAATATGTACCGTTAGTGTTTGCGTTTTGGCATATCACAACATATCTCATTGACTTGAGATGATGTGTGTCTCACCGGTTTAGAAGTAGTCCTGCGGCAATAGGTGTAACCACGACCTGGAGAATGCTCGAGATCAAACCAATCAAGTCAACGGGAAGCTTTTTACCAATGAGTAAGAGAGAAAGCATGGGAGTAACGAGGACCGCCGTAGCGGTTGAGAGCGATGTCATGACGATGCTAAGCGGCACGAGCGAAGGATCGGTCAAGAAAGTTGTGTAGTTCGATAGCTGAGCTCCACTAACGCATGAGACCAACATGATTCCAGCACCTATAGGAGTAGGTAGTTTGAAAAGAGAGACCAGCTATACGCCGGAAATGTAACCTAAGAGAGGTTTTATCAAGTATTGTCCGATGTAACCGGCCAAAATAGCGTCTGGTCTTTTAAGAGCTTCAAGAAAGTCTTGTTCATTAGAGTTGATTGCAACTGCAAACATCATGAAACCTAAGCCAGGAAAAAAATACCTAAAGAAGGAGAAATTGTAGTTAGAGATTCTAATGTCGAGTTAAGTTTTTTGATCAAATTATTATATAGGTTGATCCGAACCTTGGCTTGAACCATGTCAAAGAAGGTGGATGGAGAAGAGCTAAAATTGTAGTTGAGAGAACCACATGTGGAATAAAAGTGTTGGCTTGCTTTAATAAATCCATTATAGAATTAGAAACCTTCTTATTGTAGATCTGAAACCAAACATAGGTGTTACTTGCCAAGAAAGCGAATAAAAAAAAAGTGATTTTGTTTTACCTCGTTTGAGTCAGATTCGGAGACATATCTTCGCAAACGATAATTTCCCCTACCATCTTTGGATAGTAGAACACGTAACAAACTTTTTTTTAAAAAAAATACAAAGAATAAAAACAGAGTTGCTCTATGTTTACTTACTTTGGGAAATTGGGAAATCAGGCTACTACGTAATGGAAAATCTAAAGAGTTTGATCCTGCAAGAGAACTTAACTTATCAAAAACAACACTTTAAGACTTGTTTATATCCTAAAATTTCGTTAATTCTTCTAGATAACAGCTTTAAAAGAATTATTAATACATAGGATAGGTGAAAGAAGGGAAACTTGGTGAAGAAAATGATAAGCTATTGCGCGGGAAATTTGTAACTCGTCGAGTGTTGTGAAAAACCACAGGACAGGTATAGTCTCGAGGTTGAAGAAGACGATGTTGAGACTTTAAGAACAGAGTCTCAATCGGAGAGATCACACCCATTTTATTGTTTCAGGAATAACCAGAACGACGATCGTGCATGTCTGCATGAGAGCGAGAGACGTGAAAAACAAAACGCAGCGTTTTATCGGACCATTTATCTTTGTTTAGGTGAAAGTAAGCAGGAAGTACCAAATTACCAACCTAACAAAAGAAACATTTCATTAGGTTGCGAGCGCCAAACCAACCTGTCGTCTCAAAAGCACTAGACGTTTTAATTTTATTTTTAAATTGGATTTCGATTACAATTCTCATTTTGTGAGCAAACAATCAAGAAACAACTTCATAGGATTAAGGGAAACTGTATCAGCCCTTGTTTGTGTAAAAGCGTATAATCGTGTTTAGTGTTAAACTATAGCTTTGGCGATCGGTGTCATCACGTTATTAAATGGGCAATATCCTATAGTTAATTTTTACAAAATAAATAAATATATATCCTATAATTAAGTGAAATATTTAAAAATCTATAAATTGGCATAAGATCTACTTACAATCATTTTTTTTATCCAATGAAAAATGAATGTTATCCTTTTCAAATCCGTTACTATATATGTGCCTCTAAACTTATTAGTATGAAGTCCAATATGCAGCTTGATATATAAAGTATTGAAATGTTTGCTCTTCTTCACCTCTTATACCAATGTCATACTCTTTTGTCCTTGCATTTGTAATCTCAACGTAAGTAGAATTTATGTATAAATTGTTCTTGTTTCACTCTAGTATTAAACTTTAGAGATGGACCAGTTTAAAGTTTCTTTTGTCAAAATTAGAATCATAAGTTTTTTTACCCAAATATAGACTAAAAATCTGTTTATAACTGAATTTTTTAATGTCTAGAAATCTTATGAATATATTAAAAAATAACAAAATTAATTTTATATTGTTAATATAAATAACTATAGGGTGATACATATAATCTGATATGTTTAATGAATATATTATTTTGACATTTGTCAACATCTAGTTATTTATTTATTTATTTTATAATCAGTTGAACCTCAAGCCAAATTCCAAGCTGACCAGCCAGCTGACACTTGTCACTCTCTAATTTTATTTTGACGTTTGTCACTTCACTTGCTAGTGCAACTATAAAACCTACGAATCTTTGGCTCTTCTTCACTTTTTGATTTTGTTTTGGTTTTATGGCTCTTCTTCACTTCTTACCAATGTCACACTCTTCTGTTTTTGCGCCTGTATTCTCAAAGTAAGAAGAGTTAAGGCATACTGTAGATTGTTCTTGTTTCATTAACGTGATGTAAAAATATATTAGTATGTGTGTAAAAGAAATATATGTTTAGGTTTGTTGTTATTTTATGAGATTAGATAAAATCGAGGGTTGTTAGATGTGATATGGTACACGGAGAATCAAAGATAACGAGATCGAGTTGAACATACTTATTCCCGTATTAGAAAATTAGCATTTGTTTATATGTCTTCATTATTAATTAGATTGATTGATATTCTCATATTTTTGTATAACTATACGCTTAGGTTAAGATTTTGTATAGATAAAACAAAATAATATACACTGTACTATCATTGTTTTCTGACAAATGGATCATAATAATTAGATTATTGTTTTCGATTCTTGGTGACACTAGGTTGAAAGAAATCTTGGCGAAGAAGAATGAGACTGCAAATAAAGAGATTTATCTTCCCATGGAACTTTTAGTTCTCATACTATATCGCCTTCCTATAAAAGATAATATTCATGCTTCTTTGGTTTGCAAAACATGGCATGAAGCTGCTGTTTCTGTTCGGGATCGTTATCCTTGGCTTGTGTATTTCAATATCGATCAAAGTGGCGTCTCTTGTGGATTTTTTGATCCAAGAAAGAAGAAAAAAACGAAGGCGATGAAACTAAATGATTTATTCATTAATGCAAGTATTTGTTACTCCAAAGATGGGTGGTTACTCATGGAAGATCACCATGATGATACCAAAGTATTATTCTTCTTCAATCCGTTTACTCGAGAGTGCATAAAGCTGCCAAGTTTGATAACAACTGAAACCGAATTCGCGTTCTCTTGTGCACCTACAAACAAAAGTTGTGTGGTGTGTGGCATAAGTCATCGCACACCAGATCATTTTCTCATCCACACTTGGTACCTCGGTGCATTTGGATGGGTAACTGACAAATTCGATAAACCAACACCACCTTCAAAAGGTTTTAGGGAAAAAAACATTGTGTTCTTGGATGGTTTTTTTTGGTTTCCCTATCCAGATGGGCTCGGAGTATTCAATCCAACGGCACGTACATGGAATACTCTTCATGTGCCACTTGAGGATATATCGTTGTCTCGATTGTGGATAACCGAATACAAAGGAAACATATTTCTTTTAGATGTAATCACCTCTAATGGGAGAATACTCGTGTTTAGGTTAAACCGGTTCCTGTCGGTTTGGGAAAGGGAGAACACATGTGATGGTTTTTCCATCTTTATCAGTGATGCATCAAGCATTGTGACACATGAGCTCGGAGAGGATATTGATAACATTGTGTATATGTGGTTTTTTCATTTAAACCAGGGTCGTCCGTGCAAATACTCTTTATGTGGAAGAGTTTTTTGGAAGGACCCTGAAGGCGATTCTGTTGATGAATCTTCTTCAACCAACAATGAGATGCATCATGGTGCATGGATCGAGCCGCCCAAGACCAGCTCTATCTATCACTTTCCCATTATAGATCCCTCATTCATAGATATGCAAAATAAGTCGTCTATATTTCTGAAGTTTCAGCGTAGTCTTTTGACCAAAAAAACAGCTTAGTCTCGAAAATACAATATTTTGAATAATGCATACTCTAGAATTTTATGGTTAATTTTTTTTTTTTTTTTTTTTTTTTTGGATAAAGAATTTTATGATTAAGTTTGAAAGAAATATTTTTATCTTATTAATTCTGATCGCTGTGTATTGTGATAACAAGAGTTGGACAACTCTGTTGTCTTATGCAAAAGAAGAAACAAGAGACAACAAAGAAAACACAAAAACAATTTTGGTAGATATCAAATTCTTGAATAGAGAAACAAACTGCCATACAATAATTTTTTTAAAACAAATTTCAAATGACGAAAGCATATATGTATATGGTCATGTCAGAGATGTCACTGTTAAGTATGGAATAGAAGATTCAAATGACTTATTGTAAAGCATGTGTGTTTCATCAGATATATCATATATGCAAGTTATTGACAGTACTGAGGAAATCATGATACAAATCATAAAACCAACACAAAAATAAAAAAAGATGGTGAATCATTCCTTTCCTCCAAAACAATTTGCACGTACCGGTGAGTTTAACTGGGCTTTGGATTGGAAATAAATCTCCAACACAAGTGAATTCTAACCCGCAATCAATGAACAGCACATGATTGCAAACTTATAACCAAAAATACCCATAATTCAATAACAAATTATACACCTTGTAAAATTAATCAACACACTAATATTCTTTGTGTTGCTCCAGGAGTCGACACATCAGCTTTTTTAAGCAGGGAAAAGATGATACGTCGTTTAAAAGGTTTGGCCAATCAAAACATTCTAAATAATACCAGTCAACTTTTGTCTTGGTTTATTTGGCAACATATTAATCCGGTTTGGTTTATTTTTAAATTATTCGGTTAACTCGCAAAATCACCCCAAATCTCGTCCAATCCTTTTTCTTCTTTCTCGAAATTTTCCTTCTTCTTCGTCAACGAAATCACCAGAATAAAGCTCCTCCAATCCTTTATCTTCTTTCTCAAAAATTTCTTCGACTACGAAATTTACCCGAAATTCCCCATGAGAAATCTCGGTTCTTCTTCTTATTTTATTCTTTCCTTTTGTTTGCGAATTTTTATATCGAATTTTTATTCTTCATTCTTCATTCTTCTTCAAAGGGACAGTGTTGGAGATCCAGTTTTCATGGCCCCGTTCTCGAGCATCTCGCCCGCAAAGTAATGTTTTTGTGACGATTGCAACTGTGAGAGAGAGAAAATGGCGTTATCATCATCGAGAATGGAGATGACGAAATAAGGCCCATTTAGTGGAGCTAGATCCAGTGACGAAATCTGGCTCATTTACCCCAGTATTTACGCCCATGTAGGTCCATTAGGAAATTTGGTTTTTGGCTAATCTCGCACATCATGTCTGTAGAATTTAAAAATCTGAGGCTCTATAATGTTTTTTTCTGAAACTATTTGATCGTACATTTAATACGGAATAGAGCTGGTAGAGTGAGGTAAATGAGAGGCCATCAAGTCTTATATGTGTCGGTCCAAAATGGAAAATGTGTGTGTGCTGTATTTATATGCCAACGGCCAACCTATTAAAATTGTTTTCCAAAAATAAGAAGTGGGACCATAACAACTATTGTGATGCGGTCATTTAGTTTATACTACATTTTTTTGTTAAAGAATAGTCATTTATTTTTCATTTTTTTTTAATAAAGGATTAAGGATTAGTCATTTAGTTTATATAAGTCGACAATAAAAGGTACGGGTGTTTTTAATACGAGTTGATTACGAAGATCCCCACATATAATTATTTGCACTTTATTTTCTAGCTAAGTATTAATTAAGCAACAAAAAACACAATCTTTTAGTTAAGATCATTAATGGATTCTTATATTATGGCAAATTTTGTTTGATTTGTTGATTAGTTAGTATCACCTAAGAAACCCATCACTTTAACAGTTTTTACTAAATCTAATTGTGCAAATTTTTCTTACTAAATCAAAAAATTTCGGATAATCAAAAGTTCTTGGATAATAAAAAAAATCTCGGGTAATTTGAATATGAAAAAAGTAGTATTAGCTAGCATTCTCTGAGTAAATAATATAAAAGAGAACTAATTTTCTATAACAACTCATTAAACTGAATTAAAAAAAAATCTTAAGAAGAAGAACAACAATGGTAGGGTGACAAATGACGAAGAATACACAAAATGCAAAAAAAAACTAATAAGCGGAATTCAGCTTCCTTGGAAGAGAAAGTGTTGTAGTTGTTTTGGTTGTTGTAACTGGGTTGGTGTGTAACACCGAAGTTTTATTTTATAAAATTTTAGACGACAAAAAAAAAAGGAAGAGAAAGTGTTGATAACTCCAGTTCAAAAGTTCAAAAGTTTACCGAGAAGGGTTTAGATTTGTCCGAATTTGAAAGCTGAGATAAGGTTTTCCAAAACATAAAAACCTAAGAAGTTGAGATAAGTGATGATAGACTTCTGCGGAAAGTCGATAAAGCTATGTAAAAAATAAAAACAAAAATAAGAATCCCGCAGCATAGCGCGGGTCTAAATCTAGTTAAAGATAAAGGAACCAAATTACTTACCACATATATGATTCCTTATATTCCAAATTTTAATTTATCAAAATCATTTAATAACTGAAATCTTGTAAAAGACTCTATAAATTTGGAATGAAATCTATATACTAAAAAAATGTCAATACGAAGTTAATCTTACTAATAAAATGAGTAATAATATATAACCTGATATGCTAATGAATATATAATTTGTAAATGTCACTAGGTAGTTTTTCTTATAACCGGGGCAATCCCAAGCCTAAGCCTAAACATTTTGACATTTGTCCCTCTCTCGTTTATATTTGATACTTGTCAGTTGTCACTAGTTCGTGCAACTAGAAAACCTACAAAGTTTTGGCTCTTCTTCACTTCTTACCAATGTCACACTCATCTGTCTTTGTCCCTGCAATCTCAAAGTAAGAAGAATTAAGGCATATTGTAGATTGTTCTTGTTTCACTAGAATATATAAAAAGTTATGTAGAAATTAGTATGCAGAATAAAGATACGTTTAGGTTTGTTGGTTTTTTACGAGATTAGACAGAATATAGCGTTTGTAAGATGCGATATATATGCATGGTATTAAGATTTTGTATAGATAAAAAAAAACATTACACAGTATTATCATTGTTTCCTGACAAATGGATCGTAATTATTGTTTTTAAGATATTATTGATTTTAAGATTTCCAGTATTATCATTACACAATTATTGTTTTGGATTCTTCGTGTCACTAGGTTGAAAGCAATCTTGGAAAACTTTGGAAACTCAGTGAAGAAGAATGAGGATGCAAAGAAAGAGATTTATCTTCCCATGGACCTTGTAGCTCTCATAATGTCTCGCCTTTCTCTGAAAGAAAACATTCGTTCTTCTGCGGTTTGCAAAACATGGCATGAAGCTGCTGTTTCTGTTCGGGATCCTTGTCCTTGGCTTGTGTATTTCGATATCGATCTAAGTGGCGTCACTTATGGATTTTTCGATCCAAGAGAGAAGGAAAAAACGAAAGCAATGAAACTAACTAGTGACCTATCCATTTATGCAATTATTTCTTACTCCAAAGATGGGTGGTTACTCATGGAAGATTACCATGAAGACACTAAAGTATTAGTCTTCTTCAATCCGTTTACTCAAGAGTGCATAAAGCTGCAAAGTTTAAACGCAATTGGAGCCATTGGAACGGAGTTCGCGTTCTCTTGTGCACCTACAAACAAAAGTTGTGTAGTGTGTGGCATAAGTGATCGCACACCAGATCATTTTCTCATCCACACTTGGTACGTCGGTGCATGTGAATGGGAAACCAACTCATTCGCTAGACCAAAACCATTAAAGTATTATGGGAAGAAAAACATAATATTTTCGGATGATGTCTTTTGGTTTCCGGATCGAGGTGGACTAGGAGTATTCGATCCAACAGCACGTACATGGAATACTATTCATGCGCCACTTCCAGACCTAAGCCCGTTTCTCAGGTGGATAACCGAACATCAAGGAAACATATTTCTTGTAGATGTTCTCTCCAACAGGAGGGGACCAGGACAACTCGTGGTCGTGTTTAAATTTAATCCGTTGCGGTTGGTTTGGGAAAGGAAGAAAACATTTGATGGTTTGTCCATCTTTATTAGTGATGAATCAAGCATTATGACATATGGGCTCAAAGGGGATATAAATAACATAGTGTATATGTGGGATTCTCATTTAAACTCGGATCGTCCATGCAAATACTCATTGTATACAAATAGTTTTTGTACGGACCTTGAAGGCTATTGTGTTGAATCTTCTTCAACCAATAATGAGATGCATTATGGCGCATGGATCGAGCCGCCCCATAATAGCTCTATCTATGGCTTTCCCATTACAGAGTCCAAATAGATACATGAACTCATCTATATTAGTCTTAAGAGTTTTATGATGAAGTTTAAGAGAATTTTGTATTTTTTGTTTTATCTTATCACTTCTCATTGCTGTGTGTTGTTATAAGTTATAACAAGAGTTAGGTATAATCTTGGGGTTACGTGAGGGATAATGAAATGAAACAGAGAAAATAAAAGGGTTAGATTATTTTACCTCACCCGGTGCATTTAAATTGGTTATATTCGTCTAAGTAAATTCTGAGCAACAATCAAGAAACAGTTTGCATGTTCCGGTGCCACACCAAACAACTCCTTCGTCTTCAAACTGTAACATTAAATCCTCCAAGAAGCTCAAATTATCCCTCACGTAACCCCAAGATCCTAAGTAACAAAAAGAAGGATTGAAAAGAACTTAGTCTCATTACCTGATAATATCTAATTAAATACATATCAGACTCTCTGCATTTAGATACATAATCAGACTTTGGCAGATTCAGCCATTGGTTCGCCTCAGTTAAAAACACTATATGTTGTGGTCATTCCACAGGAGTAGAAGTAGAAAACTGAGAGATTTGAACTTTTTTTAGCCATCCAAATCTATTCCATAGTCTTGAAAACTTCTCTGTGTCAATCTGGCGAAATTCAACCTTGAATCTTAAGCTCCACACGTTTTCAGGCAATCTTACGAGATTCATGCAGTTCACAAATCTCAGTTCTTCAAGAGCTGTCAGGTAAGATATGGAGGAGGGTATCTCTCTGATGGCTGTCCTGCTTAAATCAAGAAACCTTAAGCATTTCATTTTTCTTGATAAGTCGGGAAACCGCTCCAGGCTTGTGCAGCCTGACAAATTCAATGTTTCAAGATGCTTCAGCTTGCAGATGCTCGTTGGAAGATTAACGAGGTGTATACTGTTTTCCAGGTCCAGCTTCTCAAGAAATACCAGGTTCTTGATCGATGACGGGATTTCTTGTATCATAGTCCCACCTAAGTACAATTCTTTAACATTTGGTGAGATCTCCTGGAAATTCTCTAGCTTTGAGCAGCCAGAAAGATTTAAAACCTCAAGAGATTCTAAATCAACCGTAGATGGAACACTCTCCAGCTTTGAGCAGTTCTTAAGGTTCAGAAAAACAAGCTTCTTAAGAGAAGAAATTGACTGGCTAATACTCGCTAAACTGCTACAGCCTTCAAGATCAATATGCTCAAGATTTGGCGCATTTGAAAGTCTTGGGATTTGAGTTAACTGGTCGGAGTAGCTAAGTCTCATCTTTCTAAGCTTCTCCAGGCTCTGCAAAAGACAGATATAGTCATGAGAAAAACACTTCATGTTTACCATATTTGACTGAACTGGTAGTATATGACCCTAACCTTTTTTCCTTTCCAAAGTTTCTTTGCACAACTATTTGGCAAGTTTAGCTCTACAAGGTTCTTTGGATCAAAACTTCGCGGCAAGGAGCTCAAAGGATAACATTCCCAGTGGAGAAGCCGTAGCTTGCTTGGCAAATATTCAAGACCTTGAGGTAAAGACACTCTGTGGTTCTCTATCACTTCCGAGAAATAAAACTTTAATAGTCTAAGGTTACACAATTTCTCGAACACATTGGGATTTGCATCGAATTTCAGCTTCGACATGTTCAGGAAAATCCCTTCAATGGCTGATGTGCCCTGGAAAACAAGAGGAAAATGTCAAAGTCCAAAAAACAATTTAAGCCAGAACAAACCTAAGGGACAACACATTAAATAGACCAAACATTTTCCTGATGACTTAACTTACAGTGTTATCTATGAATATTTCCATGATCTCGTCCGTAGTCCACAACCTGCTGCGGTCTCCTGGCCTGTCAGGTGATTCTTGGCGAACAATTTCTCGACCTGTTGCCCGGAGAAAGCTGAGCATGTCCACCATGTTGTGTGATATGGTTAACAATGATTTGTCAACAAGGCTTCTTAATCCAACATGTGCAGAGAAACCACAACCATCAAGCAACATTGCAACGTTGTCTTTATCCATTCTTCCAAAGAAACATGCAATGTCCAAAAATATACCCCTCTCGTTGTCATCAAGCCCATAACAACTTCTTTCAAATATAACTGGAATGTAGATTGGAGAGGTTTTCTCAATTCGTTGTGATAACTGCTTCCATTCTTTGTAGATACGAAAGGCTTTGTAAACGTGTTCAAATGACTGATCCCATGCTGGGTTTGACTTGCTACAGAATTGAAGAACTTGCGGATTTCCATTTGAAAATTTGACCATCTCAAGTGTCCATGTCCTAAATACCTCAGATGACGTAACACTCTGAAATGTATCACCACCGAGTAGTAGTAGAGACTTGGAAACATCTAATGGCTTGACATCATAAACATGATCAACTTTACAATGTACGAAAACACGCCTGTTTCTCGAGGTTAAGATAATTCTGCTTCCTGGACCAACATAGCTAAGCTTCTCTAGAAAGGTTTCAACATCTTGTAAATCATTCACATCGTCAAGAACAACGAGGACCCTTTTACACTGAAGCCTACTCCTCAAGAAACTTGTTTTCATGTCCGAAATCCCAATAACATGTGGTTCCACCTCTAAGAGTTTACACAAAATATCCTCTCTCACAGCATCATGCCCTTTTAGCTCTACCTCCTTATGAAGGTCCTTGACGAAGACACAAGTCTCATACTGAACAGAGATTCTAGCTACGATCTCTCCAGCAATGGCTGTTTTTCCTATACCAACCGTACCCCATATACCTATGCTCCGAATATCTGGTGACTCAATGCATAGCAGTGACAAAATCTCCTCTACTTGCATATCCATCCCAATCATCTTCTCGTTATCCTTAGTACGTAGCACCTTCAAAGCATCTCTAACAATCTCATCTATAAGTTCAGACTCGGACCTGCAAGATTTCAAGAATAAAGTAGATGAGACAATCATCAAAGAGGAGGAAAGACAATGATGATGATGAGATATCAAAGTTATATAAACATTTCTCAGTCTTTTCATGAGAAAACCTTCAACACTAACATGAAATACTTAACTGCTTAATCAAACACTTTCTTTCTACAATTAGAACTTGGAGATCACGTACTTATCTGTCAAGATGTAGCCAGGCATCTGAGCAATTTCCTTCAAAGCAACTTGCCACTCGTCTTGGATAAAAGAACTCTCATACTTCTTCTTGTTATTGATCAAATCAGATGGCGATATTTTGTAAAACAAGGGATAAACAACTAGAGAAGGATCTTCTCGTTGACGTTCAAGAATGGTTACGAGGTTGCAAGGGACGTATGTGCTCGTTAAGATTATGATCAAAACCCTACATTCCGGAACTGCATCCACGTCATCGTCGTCAGGGTCTCCATTGACAGAAACACCTCTCCGGCAGAGAGCAGCACGGAGATGGCTGATGAAATCATCGCTGCTTACGTCCCCTTTCCCGTATCTGATTACAACATCATAAGTCGCAGAGCTATGAAACCCTGTGAGTCGCTGAACTACGTTCATGAAATCCGATACGGTGGCGTGTATAATCTTGGGCTCGTTGCTCACGTACTTAACCACCCGCACTTGGCCGTACTTAGGAGGTTTGTTAATCTTGTGGGAGTGTTTGTGGACGCTGAGAGGTGGAGGACGAGGATCACGGCCGGTGAAACGCGATTCTGTAACGCTGTTTTTGGCGGTGTTGTCTAGCTTCCAGGCCTCATAATCGGGATATGGAGAGTAGTGTTTCCGAGAAGCTGCATAACCACAAACCGGAGATAAAAAAAAAATATGATTTATACGAATTGGTGAAATGAAACTAGTCTCTGCAAGTTACGAGTTGACTCACATTTTCCGAGTCCTGGATGATCTTTGCACGCGAAGGCTTTACTTATCGCCTCCACAACTCCTCCGTGGATCGCTCTAGCCCCTAATCGGAACTTACCGCTCCTCAACCAGGACGAATTATCCGTGAAAGCGACGTCGTCGCCAATCACCCCGGACCCGAATACAAGCGGCACGGTCAGATCTCCGACGAGCAACGGTCGTTTCCGGTCACGTGACTGGACTATATTCCGGTTGAACTCCTCCGTGGTCCAGCTATCTTCGCTGATATCGGCGTCCAGCACTACGATCTCGAGCAGCAAGAACGAACTCGAGTCGGACTCGACTCGAGTGTTTGTGGCGGCGTCAACAAGCTCGATTTCTATTGGAGACCCGTTCTCGGCCTCGATCTCTGACGCCGTGAATATCATCGGGGGCGGGGAGTTTCTGAAACGCAACTTCAGTAACCGTGCTGGATTTGGTATACTTAACGGTGGTACGGGCCATAACCAGTTGGTGTCGTCGTGAGCGCTGAGAAAATGCGGTTGACTCCTGATTTGACCCAAAATTTCCCGATAGAACCAATTTCCACTGGCGTGATATTCTGACGGTTCCATTGTACGGATTTTTTTTTCACTTTTGAAGAAGCTCACATGTTAACAATTTTTTTTGGGAATCGAATAATCGAACCCAAAAATGGTGTTCTCACCAAGTTTGACTTTTCTGTCAAGACTACGTTCTCTAATATCCACCACACAAATTGGGGTTTTGGTGTTATCTGATCAATAGACAAATAAATCAAGAAACCAGAGACTCCAGCTTTGAATACCAAAATGGGAAATGTATGTACCAAACAGAATTGAAGTTACTGCTCATATCTACAACTTTGAGACAGCCTTTTCTGCTGCCTTTTCAGTCTAGCCCTTGGTTTTGTTATCTTTATCTTTTAATGGATTTTTACCGCCGGCGATTACCTCATTCACCATCTGACAAAAGTCTTCGAAAGTTTGTAATTTTTACACGGGACGAAAAGACTTATCTATCTTTAAAAAAATATCAACGGTGACGTGTAAGTACTAACGTATATGTGAAGGAGATTAACTCATACTAGTCTGATCTGCCGATCCAAAACTTTTTTGCTTGCCGTTGACTCAAGAGCTCTCTTCCATGGAGTCTTCTCCTGCTTCCTCTGCAGAGCTCGATGTGTTTCTCAGTTTCAGAGGCTTTGACACACGCAACAACTTCACCGGTCATCTCCAAAAAGCACTCCGCCTTAGAGGAATTGACTCCTTCATCGACGACAAACTCCGTCGAGGAGACGATCTCACTGCGCTTTTCGACAGAATCGAGCAATCCAAGATTGCAATCATCGTCTTCTCAAAGAACTACGGGAATTCTGCTTGGTGCCTCCGCGAGCTTGTCAAGATCCTCCAGTGTAGAGACAGAAACAATCAGCTGGTGATACCAATCTTCTACAAAATCGAAAAATCAGATTTGAAGAAAGTGCAGAGAAAGATTTTTACCAACGTTACGGAAGACGAGATCTCATCGTGGGAAGCTGCACTGGCCACCGCATCCAACATCTCCGGCTATGTAGTCAATGAAACTAGGTGAACACTACTCACTTTTCTCTCTTGTACACTCTATGATGGTTCTTGTTTGATGTCAACGTCACCAAAGAAAATAATATCGTCTATGTTTTTTATAATCTTGGTTTGATTCATTTGTTTTTTTTTTTAATCACCTAAATAAGCTTCATTTCATATTTTTGATAGCACGCCTGAGGCCAAACTTGTGGATGATATTGCTATTGACACGTTCAAGAAGCTGAATGATTTGGCTCCTATTGGGAACGAAGGTCTAGTGGGAGTAGAATGGCGTCTTGAGATGCTTGAAAAGCTTTTATCTTGCGACGAGTTGGATTCTGTTCAAATCATAGGCATTATTGGAATGGGTGGGATTGGTAAAACTACTCTTGCTGATTGCTTGTATGGACGGATGCGAGGTCAATTCGACGGTAGTTGCTTCCTTACAAATGTTTGTGAAAATTCCAAACGAAACGGATTAGAGTCATTGCTGCATAAACTCTTCTCTACACTGCTAAACGATAGAGATCTTGAGATTGGACCTCCTGGAAATGCACATGAGAGATTTGAGCGCCGACTTAAGAACAAGAAGCTGCTTATTGTGCTTGATGATGTGAATGATGAAAAACAGATAAAGTATCTTATGGGGCATTGCAAATGGTATCAAGGAGGAAGTAGAATTATCATAACTAGTAGAGACAGTAAATTGATCGAGACGATCAAAGGCCGAAAATATTTACTCCCACCGTTGAATTATAGAGAAGCCTTGAAGCTCTTTAGCTTGAATGCGTTTAATGATTCCTGCCCTTCGAAAGAGTTTGAGAGTTTGACAAATATGGTTCTTGATTATGCAAAAGGCCACCCTTTGGCTCTTAAGGTGTTAGGATCTGATCTTTGTGAGAGGGATAATCTGTATTGGGAAGATAAACTGGATAGTCTGAGAAGTCGATCACATGGAGATATCTACGAGGTTCTTGAAACGAGCTATGAGGAACTTAGCATTGAACAGAAGAATGTTTTTCTTGATATTGCATGCTTCTTCAGATCAGAGAAAGTGGATTACGTGAAATGTCTTCTCAACAGTCATGGTGTGGATGTTTCTAGCGTGATAGATGATCTCATTGACAAATGTTTGATTACTCTTTCTGATGATCGCATCGAGATGCATGACATGTTCCAAACGATGGGAAAGGAAATTAGCTTAAAAGCAGAAACCATGGCAATGAGAGACGTGATGTGGCTATCACGACATGGCACACAATGCCAATCGTATATCAGACTATGGGATAGTGAAGATATTTGTGACATGTTGACCATAGGCATGGTAAGGGCATCATATATTTTGTGATATTATCATATTCATATAAAAGTTTTGTGTTAATAGTTTCGTCTCCTGGTTTGAATTAACCATTGTGTATCTACCTTTTGATCTTAGGGAGCTGACAAGGTACGAGGGATTTTCCTAGACACATCAAAACTAAGAGCAATGCGTTTAAGTGCCAAAGCCTTTAAAGAGATGCACAATCTCAAATACCTGAAAATTTATGATTCTCGATGTTCTCGTGGATGTGTAGCCGAGCTTAAAGTAAACTTGAGGAAGGGACTTGATTTTCTTCCTAATGAGCTTACATATCTACACTGGCATGGATACCCACTACAAAGTATCCCTCTGGAGTTTGATCCCAAGAACCTTGTAGACCTTAAATTGCCACATAGTGAATTAGAAGAAATTTGGGATGATGACAAGGTATATTTTTTTAAATGTAGTTTTTTTTTTTAATTAGTCATAAGCTAAACTCTTTGAATGCTGATTTGTGTTTGATGGATTTAACCTTTGGTTGGATCTTTTGTCACAGGATGCTGGAATGCTCAAATGGGTCGACCTCAGTCACTCGGTGAATTTACGCAATTGTTTGGGTTTGGCTAAGACTCCAAATCTTGAAAGATTAAGTCTAGAAGGATGTACAAGTTTAAGAAAGTTGCCATCATCCTTGAATTGTTTGGAGAAGCTTGTTTACCTCAATCTAAGGGAATGCACAAGCCTTAAGAGTCTTCCGAAAGAAGTCAAATCTCAATCTTTGCAAACTCTTATTCTCAGTGGCTGCTCCAGCTTAAAGAAATTCCCTCTGTTCCCAGAAAACGTTGAAGTTCTGCTTTTAGATGGCATTGCTATAAAGAGCCTCCCCGAATCCATTGAAAGCTTTAAGAAACTTGCTTTGTTGAATCTCAAGAACTGCAAAAAGCTGAAGCGTCTTTCTTCTGATCTTTATAAGCTGAAATGTCTACAAGAGCTAATACTCTCAGGCTGCTCGCAACTAGAGGTTTTTCCAGAGATCAAAGAAAACATGGAGTCTTTGGAGATTTTACTCCTAGATGATACATCTATCACTGAGATGCCAAACATGATGCATTTGAGCAATATCAAGACATTTTCGTTGTGTGGAACAAACAGTCAAGTTTCTGTTAGTATGTTCTTCTTGCCACCTTCATCATCGGTCTGCTCTCGGTTAACGGATCTTTACCTCTCAAGATGCAATCTCTACAAACTCCCATATAATAGTGGTGGCCTGTCCTCATTGCAGTCTTTATGCTTAAGCGGAAACAACATAGAGAATTTGCCAGAGAGCTTCAGCCACCTTCACAATCTCAAATGGTTTGACTTGAAGTATTGCAAAATGCTCAAGTCTCTACCAGCCCTTCCACAAAATCTGCAATATCTTGATGCACACGAGTGTGAATCACTTGAAACTTTGGCAAATCCATTGACGCCTTTGACGGTAGGAGAGAGGATCCATTCAATGTTCATCTTTAGTAATTGTTACAAACTGAACCAAGACGCACAAGAGAGTCTCGTTGGTCATGCTCGAATCAAAAGTCAGTTGATGGCTAATGCATCTGTAAAACGTTATTATCGGGTATTGTATTTTCATCTTTCCTTCTACTCTTCACCATTGAAACTAGACCAGATTCTTATTGTATGTCTTGTGCAGGGATTCGTCCCACAGCCTCTGGTTGGAATATGTTACCCTGCGACTGAAATACCGAGCTGGTTCCACCACCAAAGACTAGGAAGTTCCCTAGAAATCCCACTACCTCCGCATTGGTGTGACACTGATTTTGTTGGACTTGCTTTATCTGTAGTTGTCTCATTCAAGGACTACAAAGACTGTACAAAACGTTTCTCGGTAAAGTGTTTTGGCAAATTCGAGAACCAAGATGGTTCCTTCACAAGATTTGATTTCACTCTGGCAGGCTGGAACGAACCGTGTGGATCACTTAGTCATGAACCAAGAAAGCTTACTTCTGACCATGTTTTCATGGGATACAACAGTTGCTTCCATGTCAAGAAACTCCATGGAGAGAGTAACAGTTGTTGTTACACAACGGCTTCGTTCGAATTCTATGCAACAGATGATGAGACGAAGAAGAAGCTTGAGACTTGTGAGGTGATAAAATGTGGAATGAGTTTAGTGTATGTTCCTGATGATGATGATTGCATGTTGTTGAAGAAGACAAATCTGGTTCAGTTGAGTGTGATGACCGAACCAAGTTGTTCCTATAGTATTGATGATGTCGTTGTCATGGATGATGTAAGACCCAAGAGAGGACGATGCCAATTAGGTGGTGGTGGTGAAGAAGAATCAGATTGTAAAAGAACAAAGGAGGAGAAGATTATGGCGTGACAAAAATTTATACATTTTAAATTTTCAATGTTTTTTTGTTGTTGGCCTAATAAACACTGTATTCTTGGTGTCCAAGGCAAATACCAAAATGAAGTTTAAGATACTTGTTACACAAACTAGGGTTTTCTTACTCGCTTGTCCAAGAAAGCACTGAAGGGACGACCTTGAAGCTTCTTATTCTTCCAGAATATAAAACAGAACCTCACAAGAGGATAATGGTCACAAACTCGAACAGTAAAAACCAAATTATCCGCTCTTTCGTTACCTAAGAAAAAAAAGAGTTTCTTGAGATATGGATATCCAAGAAAATGATTTGAAAGACATTGGAGTTTTTAGAGCTTTTCAAATTCTAATTTTAAGTTTACCAATGTAGATATCAAGATGCTCTGGCTCTAACGAATAGGTAGATGATAGCTAGTCGTGTTTTGAACGACATCGAAATGGGTTTCCAGAATTAGAGGCTGCAACAAACGTAATAACAATCCTCTCGTCCAACACAAAAAGTTGCAGATCTTCGTCTAATAGCAATGTCGGAATTTGATCTGACATCCTAACCGGTAACTGAAACGTTCGGTTTTGGGCACTGCGATCCAGAGTTGCTGCCGAAGCATGTTATACGCGTAGAGACCGTGATTCTTGACCGTGACGTAAACCGAGGAACTCTATATGCTAACCGCGAAACCGAGAATCGTTTCTCCCGGATCGAAGAACAGTTCCAGTTTAGATTTGGTTCCATTTCTCGGGAAATTAACTCTCGGAATCCGATTATCTGCAAGAACAAGCATCTGAAAACGAACCGTCACTTTGACAAAACAGAGGATGTAGTCGGTTGTGGAGATTGGAATGTAAAATGTATGTACCTGGTCTAAACCGGAATAAACCGGGGTTAAATCGGTGTTACATCATCGAGAGAGTTCGAACAGATTTCTTCATCGTGATTTGGTCTGTAACGTGTTGAGAAAGAAAAGAAAAAATTTATTATTTATTCGCGGGAAAATAGTAATGTAAAAAGTTGGAGAGGATAAAAATGAACCTGGTAACTGAGAAACTGCAGAGAAGACGAAGAAGAAGAAGAACACTAAGGAGATGAGCAAGAATCTCAAAGCCACCATTGTTTCTGAATTTTTGCCGTAAAGGTTTATTAATAAAAAAGAAATCGCTGGATGATAGAGAAAACTCACCGCTTAAAAATATCGAAAGCCATGGTTGGATGATGAAGTGAACTGCGTGACACGGTAGTAGGAATAAGAATAATCCTAAGATACTATATGGTATGGTTAGAGAGTTACTTGTTAGAATTTAAGAGATGAGAAGTTCGTGGTTAATCCATAACTATAACTACGTACCAAAATATGATTTGTAGTAGTGATTTTGAATAACTGAATTTGTAATTCGATGAGAAGAATTAGGGATTTTTAGAATGAGAATTTGATTTTTTTTTATTAACTTTTTTTAACCGATTTTTGTTTAACTGTTTTTATAAAAGGATCTTGGTAGTGGAATAGAAATTTATCTAGAATTACAAAGGGAATAAGAGCCTTGATATGATTTGGGAAGTCATCAAACTTGGAAAGATACCATCTTCTTGTAGCATAACTCCAACCGATAAGAAAGAAAGTTATTCCCATGGCGAAAGAAAGTGAATAGATAGTCGGAGAAATCATAAACCCAAAACACAAGTATCTCAAACAGATAACGAGGATATATGATTGTATCAAAAGAACTCCTTTTGGTAGAGACCGGGATGTAAAACAAAGAGCTGGATATGCTTTGAAGCCATTAACAACCGCATATTTAATTGGTTAAAGAACAATTATATACCATCATTATTTGTCCAAAAAATTATCATCAAGCGGTGATTATTCGTCTCATTTTATATTTGTACAATCCTCCACAAAAATATTAACGAAACCCAGATGGTAAGGAAATAGAAAAGGTTTGTTATGGATAAAAAGTTAAAAACTCCGACTAGTTGTGGATTTATATGTGAGAACGAATATTTGTTAAAGACAAAGTAAAATAGTTTATTTCAATTATGTACTAAGAAGGGTCCACACGGAGTATGTCGACCAAAGTAGATTATGCGCCGTGGAGAGATATGTGTGGTCTCAAACTCTCTGAATGCATGGAGTCACGTAACTCGCGACAAACTGAAAAAAAGCAACGGCCTCCCTTTTTCCGCCACGTGTATGTTTGACGCCAAACAACTAAACAAGCCACAGAAGGCACAGATTGTTGAGTCCCTTCTTAAACAACTGGTCGATAGTGACATGCTTGTTGCAAACACGGAATAAATAATTGTTCTTCTTCTCCTAAAAGGCTCCTAGTTAATTTTAAATGAGAAACTCCTCAGTCAAATACTGTCTTAACTTGTTAATTGGTGAATTTAGTATATATAAATCACTGAATTAATATTTTCTTTTTGGTAAAGTAAAATCATTGAATTTTTGCTTTTTTTTTTCTTTTGTTCCAACTTATATGAAATCCTTAAATTATCGAAAATGAACGATCCTAGTACATTTCAGGCTAAATATTTTATTATTTTTAGTCAACTGGTGGATTAAAATATTTCATTTATATTTTTTGCAAAGGTAATTAATTTTTTTTTTCTAAAGTAAGAAGCGACCAAAGAAAATGTTTAAATAAAATAAAGAAATGGAACAAGCGTCAAGCTAACAAGTAAACAAACCAAAAGAGAGCATTACCAAAAAAAAACAAACCAAAAGAGAAAACTTCCAATCTGTTTCTCTTTCTCCAAATTCACACTTTAATCAAATCTTCTCTGTTTTTGTTTTTCCATTTCTTCCTTCATGCTCAGGTCTCTTTCGATTCGTTGAGTGATTCGATCGGAGAAATAAACGATCGGATAATCCAGTCGATTAGTAATCTTAGGGTTTTGTTTTTTAATCTTTTTACACAACCGATGACTTATCTCGAGGAAGACGATGCGGTTTCTGAGGTGCGAGTGAGAGTTGAAGAAGAAGAAGACAGAATCAAGAAATTAGGGACTTATGTTAAACTTAATGACTAATTAAGATTTTTGATTAAATTAGTAATTCTGTTCTGTTTTTGGTTGCTGATTATGGATATATATGTCTTGCTGTATTTTTTAGTTTTTGGTTGTTGATTTCAGGTCAAATTTCAAAGAGTTGGTGTTCTTTGGTTTCAAATGTTTAGAAGAATCGGTGATTGATGTTAAAGTTAGCGTGATTCTTTGTTAGGTGACTCACTGTTGAATTCGAGATAACACTCGTTAAGACGGGCTATCTTAGATGTGAGTTTAGGAAACTGGACGCTTAATTCGACTCTTAGATTATCAAGAAGTTACAAGAGAGCAATCTCGCTAACAAGCCTAGCGAGATTTGATGGTGAACAAGAGGATAGAGTAAAAGCTAATGTGAAAGCCTAGTGATTCTAGATGATTTCGGATCCCTTCCCCAATGGGGGGTCTTCAATATATAGTGTTGATAAGTCGGCCGAATGATGAATATTCTCCTTCAGGCGAGATGGAAAACTTCCTCTTTTGCGATATGGAAAATCCCTCTTGTTTTTGGATCTTTCTCCATTCTTTAAGTCGGCATGAAGATTTATTTACATTTCTCCATGGATTGTGCCTTTCTCTTCAAGTCTTGCCTTTTTCTTGAAGATGTTAGGCCTAAAATCGGATTGGGCTTTGTACTTTACTAATGATGACGGGCTCAGGGAAATGTGCTAATTTCTCCTCTAACAATAAGTCCCCCCGCCAGCTCGGCAGGTCAAATGTAGTTTGATCTCGGCGAGCTTCATGAATAGAGGACGAGCTTGAGAATCATTAGTAAAATACATCACTTCAATCGGATCTTAGTGCCTAGGTGCATGCTGAATGTAGATTCGTGCCGCCTCATTAAAACCTTGGTACGGAAAAACCCAATTGGGACAAAAACCATAAAAAGGAAAAAGAGTACGTTGACGTCATCTAATTCATGAGTAATTGCTTCGAATGATTTTTGCCGCGACCAAAAATGCTTTCTTTCGTAGAAATCAGTAATGGGTTTTAATCGGCCCATGATCTGGTTCGAGTTTTGGGTGAAATCGTTTGGGCGGGAACAGGAAAAAGTCTCGGAGAAGCCTTCTCTTCTAAGAATCGTGGAATTCTTATTTAAGGAAACGATTAGGATTTCCTAGGGTGCTTATTCCTTTTTCGTGATACCGATTTCACCAAGTGCCCTTCGAGGGAGAGCGAATATCTCTTGCTGCCCTGCCTGCATTTCCTTCCTTCTACCTTATTCTTCGCGCTTTCGATGGTACAAATCGAGATTAGTTCATCGATGTCGACGTCGGCCCTTGAGCATAATGCTGTCCCAAGGAGATTTGCGAGACGGTGGGTTTGGCGAAGGCGATGAACTCATCCGTTAAAGGGGAATCCGAGGTTCTAAACGGGGAATGCGGCGACCGTTCTTGCGAGGGATTCCGCACGAGGATACGGGATCCGATCCTGAGCTCGGTGAGGAGAAAGTCCCTGATTGCGCTAGGCTCGATGGTATCCCTCAAAAGATTGAGATGCCGTGGAGATCATCGTCAAGATCTCTGGCTCGGGATGGTCAATCGGGGATGACCGAAGATATAGTCATCGCTTTGCGGGAGAGGGTGGGAATCAGTGACGCGGTCAAGATTCTCGTTCCCTTACCTGACCAAAGGCCGATGGACGCTCCACCTGGATGGTTTTGCCTCTACGAATGCTTCCTCACGGAGTTTGGAATACGTTTTCCGGTCCTCCCGTTACTTCTCGAGTATGCGTATGAGCGGGGTGTAGCGTTGAGTCAGCTGACCCATGGTGTAGTGCGGCATATGGTCTTCTCGGCCGCTCTGGCGAAGGCAGCCGGGATGAAGCTAGACAGGGAGCTCTTTGAGCGTATAACTGATCTTCGTGCTGGGGTTAAGGAAGGAGGTTTCAAGCGTTTCCACACATCGATGAAACATGACATCGTTTTTGGTGATCATCGAACGAAGATTCATCACTGGACGCGCTACTACTTTTTTGTCAAGGTCGACCGTGCTTCGGTCGGGGATTTCGATCCTAGTCACGTCTTAACAAATGGGTCCAGGAGCCAGGGTAAAGTGGTTGTGAATTCTTCCTTATTTTTACGGTTGCTTCGTATGCTAACTTACGCCCCATTATCTGATATGCAGGAAGGATTGTCCCAAGGAAAGTAAATACTACTTTAAAGGAGAAGTTTAGAACTTTACGCGACTTGAGTAGAGAGACTTGGGCGGATGCGTTTGCCGAGACCGAAAGGAAGAAGAAGGAAAAGAAAGGAAAGGCTATTGCTATAGCGATTCCTCTCCCTGGTGAGTGTTTGATCATCGCCTTTGAATTTTTACGCCTGGTCCGGCTCTTAAATCGCGCTCCCTGATGTCTTCCAGATAAGTTGCCGGGTGTTGCTAGGAAGACAGGCTTAAGGAAAAGGGCTCCGGCTTTGGTGGATGATGATATCCTGATTTCTGATCCTCTATCCAAGCGGATGAGGTCAGATTCCTGCGAGCTAGGTGATCTTCCTCAGTCACTGGGGTCTCTTGGGGGTGTCACCAGTGGCGATTTCTCTTCTCGGACTGTCGTGGCTTCTACTGGTCAGGGCGGGGATATGAGTATCCTGGAGTCTGGAGGTGACGGGGTGACGGTTCCGTCGGGATAGACTCCGATGCTGTCTCCTTTAAGTGGAAAGGTGGTGCTCCTTTAATGGATAATGGCGACTTTAGTGGAGAGATGGTTTGGGGTTGCAAACCTAAGCCATGCTGGGGGGTTCCGCGTGGTGAGCTTGAGTTCAAGGGTGCTTTCGATGAGGCTTCTAATAATCTTATTAGAGCCGGAGGGAAGTTTGCTGCGTTGATTCAACTTTATGACGGGCGCTCAAGGGTGCTCGGAGCGGAGTTGATCAAATTAAAGCCGATTTGTTTGATAACTTTGATGGTGATGCGGCTGCAGTTAGGTTTCGAGAAGAAAAGATGCTTTTGAAAAGAAGATAGAAGCTCTCAAAGGTGAGGTTGCGAAGGTGTCTGGCCTTGAGGTTGAAAATAATCAACTTCGGGACAAAATTACGCAACTGGAGGATAAAGCCTGTCGGGACATGGAAAACTCGATTGCCGAGATGGCTCGTCTTCGCAAGTCTCGGACGAAGTGGGCTGAGTTGACGGCTGCTCAGGTGTACGAATCAATGCATAATTGGTATACTCCGAGGTTGGACCGTATAGGTAGATACGTCAGTCAGCGGGATGCAGTGGAGAAGGCGGTGATTAGGATTCAAGTCGACGAGGCTCTTCTTTCCTATGTCAGGAAAATAAAGGGGGTCGAGCAGGACTTTGATGCGGTGGAGAAGATGCTTGCGGCCCGGTTGCGGGAGAGTAAGGCCGCCGGAGATTTGGTTGAGGATGACGAAGTTGAAGCTGATGACTATGCTCCGCCCTTAAGGTTAGATCTTCGTTTTCGTCTTGCTGAATTTTGCTTTGATAGCGCATGGATTGTTCCACGGAATTTTGATCAATATGGGTCAATATATCGAACTTTCAGGCCTACCCTAGCTGAGCTGGCGTTTCCGGGATCCCCATCGCGTCATCAATCGAAGTAGGCGGAGAGGAAGTCGAAATTGTCTTTCTTTTTTTTCTTTTGATAGTTTCCCAGTTGCTTTTATCGCGACAATTGCCCGGGAGGGCTTTTATCCTTAAACTTTGGGTTTAGTTTTGGACGTTATGTGGTGTTTTATTTGCTGCTTTGTTGGCGAAACAAATTGGCTTAGACATAGTTGATAATTTCACAGCGCGATGAAAGAACCCAGCTTTAGGCCATGTCTTTTAATGAGAAACAATGCGCCTTCAATCGGTTGGGGTAGGCTAGTTTATTCGATCGTCATCGGGTAAACGGCTTACCTATGCCGAGATGGCTTGTTAATCTCAAGTGTGTCGAACAAGTGCTTTCGTTTGACGGTGCGGATGCGTCGTGATGTTCTTCGAAGCTTTCGTAGTCTGTCACGACTCTCATTCGAGACACCGACCGATGCGTATTAGGTCTGAGGTGCTGTGATTCGGTAGATCACATGTTTTGGCGACGAGGTCTAGGGGCTCGATTTATGCCTACGACTTTTAAGTCCGATACGCGTGACAGATAGCGGTTTTTTCTTGCCCGTATGGCTTAGAGCCGTGCGAGGTGCTTGCTCTCGTCTTTTGTGGGTGATCAGTCCACGGGTGCTGCGTTTAAGTGCATCCGAGCGTTGGGCCAGAACGTCGGTGTGTTGCGTTATTTCGGAATTATGCTTTGCGTGCGGTGCTTGCGTTGCCGATGTCTTCGGTAGGAAACTCAGTTACCGGTTGAGGGCAGAAGTCGTTTACTTCTGGGTCCTTGCCGAGACGGGAACCCTTCCGAAGAGGTTCGATAAGAAGTGCTTGCATAAAAATAAAAGAGCTATTTATTTTTATTAATTTATAGCTGTGCCTTTATCGAGAAAGACTGCCTACGTACCCATGCCGGGATCAAGCCAATCGTAGTTCATTACAAATGTTCATGTCATGGACATGTCTTTTTTTTTTTTTTTTTTTTGGTGCGGTGCGACGCGTCTAGGTGTAGAACCTGCGTAGGTTCATGGAGTTCCATGGACGAGGCAGTGGGTTTCCGTGACAATCGTCCAGCTCGTAGACCCCGGGTTTGATGATCTTGGTGATGCGAAACGGTCCTTCCCAATGGAACCCGAATTTGCCTGCGTGCTCGGGTTTGGTAAAGTCGTGGACCTTCTTAGATACAAGGTCGTAGAGCTCGAAGCGCCGGTTTCGCACCTTCCTGTCGTAATATCTGGTTGCTTGTTGTTGGTAGTTTTGCATACGCAGGACGCGATCCCGTAGTCATCATTCAATGCCGGGTTGAGGGGCATTAACGATCGTCGTAAGCTGGCTACGTGCAGTTCTGCCGGTGCTAGTGCTTCGCAACCGTGCGACAAAGAGAATGGGGTTTCCCCGGATGCGGTTCTGGGAGTGGTTCGATGCGACCAGAGCACTCCATCCAATTCGTCCGCCCAAGCTCCTTGGTAGCCTTCAAGCCTTTTTTTCAATCCATCAACAATAGTTTTGTTTGTGGACTCGGCTTGTCCATTAGCTTGAGGATATCTTGGCGTGGAGTAAGTGATCTTGATGTTCCACGATGCGCAAAATTCTCGGAAAGTTGCTGCGACGAATTGTCCTCCGTTGTCCGTGACGATCTCATAAGGAAGACCGTGACGGCATATGATATACTGCCACACAAAGTTTCTTACGTCATGAGCCGTTGGGTTTTTGTACGCTTTTGCTTCTACCCACTTAGTAAAGTAGTCGGTGACGACCAAGAGGTAAGCGCATTGCCGTGAGCGTGGCATGGGGCCGACGATATCCATTCCCCAGCGCATAAAGGGATATGCCGGGATCGCAGCTTGAAGTGCTTGCGTTGGGGCGTTGATCGCCGGTGCGTATCTTTGGCAGGGGACGCATTTGGCGGCGACGTTTATGCAATCGCCGATCATCGTTGGCCAGAAGTATCCGATCTTCTTAATTTTTAAAGCGAGTGATCTTCCGCCGGCGTGGTTTCCTGATGCTCCCTCGTGGGTCTCGACCATGATGCTCTTAGCTTGTGCTTCGTCGCAGCATCGCAGGATGACTTTGTTTGCGCTCCAGCGAAAAAGCTCGTTGTTGCGTAAGAAGTAGTAAGCTGCTTTTCGTCGGAGGCGGCGGGCCGCCCATCGCTCCTCTGGCACGGCGTCGTTGATGAGGTAATTTCTGATTTCATCCTGCCATGATTTGTGTTCTGCTGACTCGTCATCAGTGAGGTTTTCGTCTTCTTCTTCTTCTTGCGAGATTGCCATGACGGTTCCCTTGGGGAGTTTGATGCTTGGTTCGTCGATGGTTTCGACCGGGATGACCCGTCGCAGTGCTGATTCGGTTTTTGACGCCAAGGCTGCGAGTGCGTCGGCTTCGGAATTCTCGGAACGGGGGATCTTTGTCAACTCGAACGTCTTGAATGCTTTGGCAAGTCTTTGCGTTTGTTTGAGATACGCATCCATGCGATCGTCTTTCGTGTCGTAGTCACCGCTGAATTGTTTAGCGACGAGCTGAGAGTCACAGAACGCACGAACGTGTTCTGCTCCGACTGCTTCGGCGAGACGAAGTCCGGCAATAATCGCTTCGTATTCGGCTTCGTTGTTGGACGCTGGGAAACCGAGTTTGATCGATTGCTCGAGAATCTCGCCTGTCGGGGAGACGAGGCGGATGCCGACGCCTGCTCCTTGCCTGGAGGACGATCCGTCGACATGCAGTGTCCATTTGAGGATTTGCTCGTCCTCTTGAGTTGCGAGCTCTGGTGGGATTTCTACGATGAAGTCGGCTAGGACTTGTGACTTGGCGCTCGTCCGGCTTTTGAACTCAATATCGTATTCCGATAGTTCGATTGCCCATCTTGCCATTCTTCCGGATTGGTTGGGGCCGTGAAGGATTTGGCGTAGTGGTTGGCTGGTAAAGACGACGATGGAGTGTGATTGAAAATATGGCCTGAGTTTTCGTGCCGATATGACTACTGCGAGTGCCAACTTTTCTAGGGTTGGGTATCGCGTCTCGGCATCATTGAGGGTTTTGCTGACATAGAAGACTGGCTGCTGCTCTCCTCGATCTTCTCGGACAAGGACTCCGCTTACCGCCGTGCTTGATATTGCGATATATAAGAGTAGGGTCTCGCCTTCTTCGGGTTTGCGTTGTGGTGAACATGTTCCGAGTGATTCGGGTCATGTGCATGGAGTAATGCTTCAGAAAAGCATTGGTTAGGTCGTCGAAGTTATCGATCGACTCGGCGGGGAGGTTAGAGAACCAGGTCAAGGCATCTTTCGCCATGTGCTCGACGAATACTTGACAGTAGTTGGCCTCCCTTTCATCGTAAGATTTGTATTTCTCCCTCCTCATGGCGAGGTTGAACGCGGTTAGCCACTTCTTGGGGTCTTCTTCGCCGGTGTAAGAGTCGATTTTGAGTCGAACTCTTTCGTGTAGCTCAATCTGGCGGAGCCTGCGGGTGAGCGGGCTTCTTCGGGTGTCGGCGAGTGCTTTCGTCAATTCCGGAGCTGAGCTGGTGGCGCGATGAACTTTCGAATCGACCTCGTCGAGGCGACGATTCACCCGTTCGAGCTTCTTGGTGGTAAGTCGCCTGAAGTGCGCGGGACGGGGTTGTTCCGTCAGGGGACTTGACGGATCTTCATCGTCTTCTCGTGCTAGGGCTTCCACCTGTTCCTGAGTCTTTTTCTGCTGTGCTCGCATTGACTCGAAACCGTCGGCGAGTGGCTTGACGAGATTCTCCATGAGTTTGAGGATCTTCTCGCTCGAGGAGGATTTCTTCGAGCTGCGGGGTTTGTCGCTCGAGGAAGATTTTCTCGAGCGGCGTGGTGCGGACGGAGGGGGGCTCTCGTCCTTTCTTGGCGGAGGAGATCGTTGCGGCGAAGTCGATCTTCGCGGCGAGACGGATCTCTGTGGCGAGAAAGATGGGTTTCTTGTAGGGACAGGCTTGTCCCTACCTTCAGCGGGTAGCGACTTGTCTATCGTGCTGGTAGACTGTCGCTTAAGTTTTCTTCTGAGGGAGACGGGCTCCCGGTGGGAGTGTTCTCTTTCGAGTTCCATCGTTGCTAGTTCGTGAAAATCTAGATATCTTCGAGATGAATAGCGAGAAGCGTTTCCAGCCCCACGGTGGGCGCCAATTGTTGAATCCGAGATAGCACTCGTCAAGACGGGCTATCTAAGATGTGAGTTTAGGAAACTGGAACGCTTAATTCGACTCTTAGATTATCAAGAAGATTACAAGAGAGCAATCTCGCTAACAAGCCTAGCGAGATTTGATGGTGAACAAGAGGATAGAGTAAAAGCTAATGTGAAAGCCTAGTGATTCTAGATGATTTCGGATCCTTTCCCCAATGGGGGGTCTTCAATATATAGGTTGATAAGTCGGCCGAATGATGAATATTCTCCTTCAGGCGAGATGGAAAACTTCCTCTTTTGCGATATGGAAAATTCCCTCTTGTTTTTGGATCTTTCTCCATTCTTTAAGTCGGCATGAAGATTTATTTACATTTCTCCATGGATTGTGCCTTTCTCTTCAAGTCTTGCCTTTTTCTTGAAGATGTTAGGCCTAAAATCGGATTGGGCTTTGTACTTTACTAATGATGACGGGCTCAGGGAAATGTGCTAATTTCTCCTCTAACACTCACGTCATGCAATGATAAGTTACTTTGTTTGAGTTCAACAATAAAACTACGAAATTAATAATGCGAGAACAACCAACCAAATTCATTAACAATGAGCACGAGCTCTTGAATCAATTTTACAAAATCTAATGATGAAAGCATATTCAGCCATTAGGTAACTACTGAAAGGAGATGTCAGATAAAACAAGAACAAAAACAAAAACGAAAAAGGTAACTAAAGAAAAAAAAAGAGTAACTATTTATAGGCAGTGATCAGACTTGGGCATTTACTTCACATTTAGTGAAGCTTCGAGCATCCAGCAATATTCAAAACCTCTAACCTCAACGTAGATGGAATATGCTTCAGATTCGAGCAGTCCTTCAGATTCAGAAACACTAGCTTTTTAAGACGACAGATAGACTGGCTGATGCTCACCAAACTATTGCAACCTTCAAGATCAATGTACTCCAGATTTGGTGCACTTGAAATTCTTGGGAGTTCTGTTAGGTTGTAGGAGAAGCTAAGTCTCAACTTCTTCAGCTTTTCCAGACTCTGCAAAAGAGAAAAGCAAACATTCAGTAACAATTCATGGTTTATCAATCAAAGTACAGTAATCTTAAAAATTACCTTTTCTCCTTTCCAAAGTTGTTTTACACAGCTATTGGGTAAGTTGATCTCTACGAGGTTCTTTGGGTCGAAGCTTTGCGGTAATGAGTCTAAAGGGTAATGTTCCCAGTGCAGAAGACTTAGCTTGCTAGGCAAACTATCAAGACCTTGAGGCAGAGACAGTCCATTGTTCTCTACAGCTTCAGAAAAAAAATAAACTTTAACAGCCTCATGTTGCACATTTTCTCGAAAACCTTTGGATTTGCCTCGAATTTGAGCTTCGACATGTCCAGGAAAATGCCTTCGACAGCTGATGTGCCCTGAAAATCAAAAGCAAAGAAGTCAGCCTCCAAAAATAGTTTAACCTGAAGAAACCTAAGGGACAACAAAATACAGAGACCAAGTACTTACAATGTCATCTATGAACATTTTGATGATTTCCTCTTTAATCCACAGTCTGCTGCGATCTCCCGGCATGTCAGGAGACTCTTGACGAACCATCTCTCGACCACTTGCCTGAATAAATCTTTGCATCTCCAACAAGTTGTTTGAAATGGTTAATAGAGACTTATACATAGTTCATATTTGTAAAATCAATTAAGTATTATTTTCTTATAAAGTAAAATCACTGAATTATTGCTTCTTTTCTTGTCATCCAACTTATATGAAAACCTTAAATTATCGAAAATAACTTACTGGAATGGGTGAGATTGTTAAAACTACTCTTGCTGATTGCTTGTATGGACGAATGCAAGGTCTTTCGACGGTAGCTGCTTTATTTCAAATGTGTGAAAATTTGGGACAAAACGGATTAGAGTTTTTGCTGCATAAACTCTTCTTTACATTGCTAAACGATAGATATCTTGAGATTGGACCTCTTGGAAATGCACATGAGAGATTCAAACGCTGACTTAAGAGCAAGAAGCTACATATTGTACTTGATGGCGTGAATGATGAAAAGCAGATAAAGTATCTAATGGGGGCACTGCAAATGGTATCAATGAGGAAGTAGAATTATCATAACTACTTGAGATAGTAAATTGATCGAGACGATCAAAAGCCGAAAATATCTACTCCCACAATTGAATTATAGAGAAGCGTTGAAGCATTGGAAGAATCCTATGAATGAGCAAGAAACTTCCCCTTTTGCTTACTGTTCAAGTTATCTTCATCATGTTCACCATCAGCTACATCATCATCGTGAAATAGAAATTCATCTAGAATACAAAGGGAATAAGAGCCTTGATATGCTTTGGGAAGTCATAAAACGTGGAAAGATACCATCTTCTTGTAGCATAACTCCAACCGATAAGATAGAAAGTCATTCCCATGGAGAAAGAAAGTGAATAAATAGTCGGAGAAATCATAAACAAGCCCCAAAACACAAGTATCTCAAACAGATAACGAGGGCATATGATTGTATCAAAAGAACTCCTTTTGGTAGAGACCGTGATGTAAAACAAAGAGCTGGATATGCTTTGAAGCCATTAACAACCGCATATTTAATTGGTTAAAGAACAACTACCATCTTTATTTGTCCAAAAAATTATCATCAAGCTGTGATTTTTCGTCTCATTCTATAAAAATATTAATGAAACCCAGATGATAAGGAAATAGAAAAGGTTTTTTATGGATAAAAACTCCGACTAGTTGTTAAAACTTGAAAGTAAAATAGTTTATTTCGATTATGTACTAAGTAGGGTCCACACGGAGTATGTCGACCAAAGTAGATTATGCGCCGTGGAGGGATATGTATGGTCTCAAACCCTCTCAATGCATGGAATCACGTAACTCGCGACAAACTAACAAAAAGGCAACGGCCTCCCTTTTTCCGCCACGTGTATGTTTGACGCCAAACAAGCCACAGATTGTTGAGTCCCTTCTTAAACAACTGGTCGATAGTGACATGCTTGTTGCAAATTCGGAATATTTTAATATTGTCTCAGTCAAATATTGTGAATACTTGTAATTGTGAATATATGTCCAATCTCAAACAAAAAAATGAATTTCAATTGGCCATATTGGATGCAAATTGAAGCGAAAACTCAGGTTATGTAAAATCATTGAATTATTACTTCTTCTTTTTGCTTTTTTATCCAACTTTAGTATATGAAAACCTTAAATTAGTTTTAGTCAACCGGTCGGTTAAAATATTTTATTTATATTTTTTTGGAAAGGTATTTTATTTTATATTATTTTAAACTAAGAAGCGACGAAAAATAATGTTTAAATAAAATAAAAGAATGGGAACAAGCGTCAAGCTAACAAGTAACAACCAAAAGAGAAAACTTCCAATCTGTTTCTCTTTCTCCAAATTCACACTTTAAACAAATTCTTCTCTGTTTTTGTTTTTCCATTTCTTCCTTCATGCTCAGGTCTCTTTCGATTCGTTAATTGATTCGATTGGAGAAATAAACGATCGTTTATCCAGTCGATTAGTAATCTTAGGGTTTTGTTTCTGGGTCACAACCGATGACTTATCTCGAGGAAGACGATGCTGTTTCTGAGGTGCGAGTGAGAGTTGAAGAAGAAGACAGAATCAAGAAATTAGGGAATTATGTTAAACTCAGTGACAAGCTCGAAGAACATCGACAAGAAGATGAAGAAGATTCATCACCATCTTCTTCTACTTCTTCTTCGTCTTCTTCTTCGTCTTCTTCTTGTGTACGGAAGCGATCTCTCTGGTTCTGGATCAAGCTTTCTCTTCTCCTCACACTTCTAGCTGCTTTAGGTCTCGCTGCTTACAAATGGCTCGGTCCTTTAATCATGGACAAGGTTCGATTTTTCCCCTCCATTTTCAAGTTAAATCAATCCCAAAAATTTCACTGTTGGATTTGCGATTCTTGTTGGTCTGTTCTTGCAAAAAGTTTACTTCCTTATCAATTGGGTTTGATTAGGGTTTATCAATTGTTGTCTTTTAGGTCATAAAGTTGTTTCCTTTATAAGAGTGGTTTATGTGAATTAGATCTCTGTGTAGCTGCAATTGCTTATAGAATACAAATTAAGCAGAATTGAGATTTGTAGATCTTTAGCTCTGTTTCTGCTCGTGGCGTTGTTGCAGGAGCTAATCCCACTCATAAAATGGGAGATGAGGACACTAACATACCCTATGTGCGGTCTTCTTGTATTCTTAACCGTCGCGCTATTCCCTATCATACTTCTACCGTCGACGCCGTCAATGTGGGTCGCCGGAATCACATTTGGTTACGTCTACGGCTTCCTCCTTACGTTTCCAGCTATAGCCATTGGTGTCTCTCTTCCTTACTTCATCAGCTACCTCTTCTGCCACAAGATCCAAGTATGTTGATGTGTTTTGAAAATCTGAGCAAGAACTTCTTCTTCTTTCGTATTGATGAGATTTGAATCTTGTTTTTGCAGGGTTGGTTAGAGAGATATCCGGATCAAGCTGCGATTTTGAGAGCTGCTGGTGGAGGCAACTGGTTTCGCCAGTTTCGTGCGGTGACGTTAATCCGGATCTCGCCGTTCCCTTTCGTTGTTTATAACTACTGCGCGGTTGCGACTCGTGTGAAGTACGGTCCTTACATTGCTGGTTCTCTCTTAGGGATGGTGCCTGAGAACTTTGTTGCACTTTATACGTAAGTCTTTTGCAATTTTGATGATAAGTTTATGATTTAGTTTAAGCGTTTTCTGATAGTTTTTTTGGTTGTGTGTGTGTGTTGTTTGCAGAGGGATTGTTATTAGGAAATTGGCAGATGCATCTACAGAGGAACAAAAGGGGATGTCGATTTTTCAGATTGTTCTTAATGTTTTTGGACTTGTAGCAGCTGTTGTGACAACTGTTCTCATCATGAAGTATGCGAAAAGACAGCTTCAGGGTATGAAGAAAGAGGAGGAAACTTTGTTGCTGCAGTGATCATTTTGTGTCTGCTTCTTCTCCAAAGTACAGGTTTGGTCCAAAGATGTGGAAGAGCTCTGGTTTTTGGTTTTTGTTCTCTGAGTTCTTTCACTTCTGTTTTTGCTTTTTTCAGATGAGAAAAGGGTAAAAGAGAAGAATATAGTTTACTACTAACAGACAATACTCTAGCTTCTAACACGATTTGATGTTATATATTTTTATTGGTTTCTTGTTTTTGGGTTCTCTTTTGAAAATATAGTGATAAAACTCATATATTGTTGTTACTGGAATATTTGAAAACTTTAAACATACACTATCCTTTTTTTTGCTATATTAATATTTTTCTTTAATATTTCCTAAATATGAATTATGAAAATATTGAAAACTGGTTAAAAACTTTATATCCGTAATTATTTGATTGTAAAAAAAATTGTTTTGTAAGTAATCAGTTATCTTATCACCATCAAATAATGTATTTGCTCATTCATGTTGACACCTGGTACTTTGAAGATTGTGGGCTGAGTAGAGAAGAAGCCCATATTTAACCAAATGAAATACTATTAATCAGACTACGAAATTATTCTTTTTAAATGCTTTCGACATATTAAATGGTGGCGAAAAAGAAAACTTATTGGAATTGAATGGGGACCCGGAATTGAAGAAAAAATCTTAACAGTTGTGAAGGAGATGTCCCATGCTGCGCATGGGAGCCCAATTCAGTGAACTATGTTATTGTCATTTTGTCAACTACCAAACAACATAAGCAGAGCAATCAATATTTAATAAAATTTGTTTTTTGTTCATATGAAAATGATAGTGGGTGAGCACTGCATGGCTCAAAATTAAATTTGGATTCTGACTCTAGTCTATTGGTTAACATTTTTAATTTTGGTGCATTTAGACCACCCCCAACACACTAAACCGAGCAACAAATATGTTCAACAACCCTCATCCCCAAATAAATGTTGTCTTTGTACCCTTCAAAAAGTGCCTTTTGGTCCAAAACCCAAAACCTTTTAGACTGGTTTGTCTAAAAGTGTATACTTAAATTTAATTATGTCTTAACTATGAACAACCAAAATTAAATATTTGTCCTACCCTCTGAAATCTTCTTGTCGGTCTTGTGGTATAACTTAATTAGAAAAAAAATATTTACGTTCTTATCAGTTAGCTCTTGAGAAATTTGGCTCTTTCAACTTAGGACTAAAAATTATACTCTAATGACGAAAGAAATTGCATGCCGACTGAATAAAGTTTAATTTTTGTAAAATCCTGTTTTGAAGTAAAAACAAATACTCCTTCAAATCCAATTAATAAGAAATATGTATGCTTCTGACTTTGGTACCACTGTCAACGCTGTATCTATGTGTCTTTCATGCGAATAAAAATCCATTAGTCTTTAATGGCAATCAATGTCAGCTTGTCATCTGGTGAAACACATGCTCTCATATCAGTTACTACAAAAATTCAAAAGATTTTAAATACTGTAAACCGTAACGAGCTGTTCGTGTGAATTTTCGAATATTCTTCAATCATAGCTCAAATTTGTAAAAGTTTTGTATTCTTGTAGGTGAAACGACTTCTACTGAACACAATCTTACATATCCTAAAAAGCATTTTATTGGTGAAAAAGTTGAAAATTATCTTACCACTATAATTTTATTTTTAATAATGCGTTAGATATTACTACAAAATATGAAAGAAAATATTTGTAAAAGAAAATATACCAAAATATGAAAGGAAATATTTGTAAAAGATAAAATCACATTAAATGTGATGACCAAATATTTTTCAGGTAGTATTTATTAAAACTGGAAATTATCATTAAATTGATAAGTTTTGCACTATTTTTTAATTCTCAAATGGTAAATTTATCCAACAGTCACACTGAAAAGATACACTGAACAAAGGTGACATGGCACAAAAGAGCATATTATTATTACCATAGTAAATGGTAAATCAAAATACGGATTTATTTACATAAAAAGATGGAGACAAGTCAAACTGGACAAACGAATACAACCGTTGATGACCAAATCGAAATTATCCACACAAAAAAAAAATTCTCTCGATTCCCCGCCGAAAATCTCAGAAAAACGACAGCCAATAAAGCTCCTCAAATTACACGACACTCGACGCCTTACGTCATGTCCTAGTTTACGTAAACACCCCTACAGTCTCTGTCAGTCTGCCTCTCAGACAAGGTCACTGTAGTCTTTTCAAGTATCTTTCTCATTAGTCCAATCAAATTCAATTTTTGGTCACATAAGAAACGCTGCACGCTTACGCGACGATGTCGTTTTGTGCTTACGGAATAAAAAGGGGACAAAATAATAAATTAAATATTTGCCGTTTTGTCGCTTTTATAATTTACAAAAACAGTGAGAGAAAAAATTGTGACGTTTATTTCCTTTCTCTGCATTCTTCTTCAATCTTTGCTTACTCATCAAAACCGATGATGAATCAGAGATTTTATTAGGGCTTCCTCTTGCACTGATTCGTGTGGTGAGAGGCTTCACGTGACGTGGAATCCGCCACTGCTTTTGCTTGTTCACAAGAGAGAGACAAATACAGAGACAGAGAGAGAGTGACTGGAGGTTTCAGAGAGAGATAATGGAGACGGATACGGAGTCGGAGAGTGATGAAGATATGGAGATGGAAGAGCCGTTGGTGTTCGAGGTGAGTGAAATCGATTTGGAGTACGAGTTTGAAGCTGCTCGGTGGCACGATTTCACTCGGGAGGAGCTGGAGACTGAGTCTCGTGTCGCCGAGCTCTGGTTCGAGTCCGCTCAATCTTACCCACCTTCTCGTGAGTACTCATCGATTGTTTTTCGTCAAGTGTTGGGCTAAAAATTTGATTTTTGCGTTACGTCATCATTAAAAATCATGACTTTAATTTTGTTTAGTAGTCCAATTCTACGATTTGATTTCGATGAGAGGATGCAAAAGCTTTTCAATTTTGCTGCGTTTGTTCAATTTTGTCCTTCACGCCTCCAAAGAAGCTTCCTTTTTGTCTTTTTAGCACTAATTTGACTATTTTTCATTAGAAATGCAGAGCACTAATGTCCTGTAATTATGTTGATTAAAAATTTGTTTTTTTTCAGCTTTTACAAGGAAGCTGTTGATGATAGAGGAGGTTTCTGATGATAAGACAGAGCCTTCTTCTTTGAAATCAGAAGATGGGGAAGTTACTGCAGATGTCATCATGGAGAGTGACAGAGAAATTAAGGAGCAACCAGATGATGTGAATGAAACAGGTGAATAATACATTGGATTAGATTCCAAATTGACCAGACAAGTTTATGTTTGGATGTAAAATGTTTTCTTGTCTTCTTTCAGGAAATGTAGTGAGGTCTGAGGTTTTTACCTTCATACATGGTGGTAGTAGTTTGAAGAAAGATCCAAATCAGTCCTTACATAAAGGTGATCACTTTACTATATCAACTCATGTAATTTTCTCTTCTTATTTGGTATTTGACTTCATCATTGGTCAGACTCATTTTCTGTTAAAGCTTGCTACTTTTGAATTGTTTAGTTTTGCTTTCTGTTTCAAAGTCTCAATTTTTTTAACTTCTTGCCAGGACCAACATTTAGCAATCGCATACATAGTGATAAACTAAGATCCCAAACAAAGTCAAGCACAAGGCCAACACCTAGAAGCTCAACATTGATGAAACCTACTGCTAGCCAATTGGCAAAACAGGATAGTGTCAGGTTATTGATTATGAGAATCAAATAGTTCTTGGTGTCTTTCTTCTTTCAACTTAATTCAGTGAGCTTTAATACTTTGTTGCTTTTTTCTTGATCTCATAGACACCGTATGCAAGTTAAGGAGAAAAGCTTGTTTCCTTCATCTGCATCTGAAGTACAAGCTACGAAAAGACAGAAGCTTGATGGAGGTCTACTTCATAAGGTAGAGTCTTTAGTAACTTCAAAAACAATTTGATTCAAGTGTTTTGACTTGAGGCAGTGAATGAATATTTGCTCTTTTTCTCTTTTAAGGTTGCTGCAACGACGCAGGAGATGAGTTTTGTCCACAAGGCAGTCAAGAAGATTACTGTGCCTCAGGAGCCTGATTTTGCAACATCAGCTAGAGCAAATAGGATAAGGTTAGTGCCTAGAACATTGGCTTGTCAGTGACTTGTTATGGAAAAGGTCACTTCTTTACAGGCTTTGGTTATTTCAGGCACAGGAATGATGCTACAATAGAGCAGGACTCAGGATCAGTGTATAGATTCAAAGCTCGTCCCTTTAACCGAAAAGTTAGTAGTATCTCTGTTAATCACTTAACATGGAAGTCATTTTCTTGATTGTGTCCCAAGCTCAAGCATGTGTATGTGTTTGTCTGTAGATCTTTGAGGCTCCATCGTTGCCTATTCGGAAGAAGAGCACTCCTAAACTACCAGAATTTCAAGTAAGCATTTGGAAACTAGATGCGGCTTCAGTTTCTTACTAGGTTTGTTAGTATAAAACCTTATCTTGGGGCTTCTTATCAGGAGTTTCACTTGAAGACCTCAGAAAGAGCTATGCAACATTCATCAGCAGTATCAATAGGGAATCATCATTATCGTAAGGTTATACATCAACTGAACTTAAACGATTACTTCCATATCGATGTGTGTTCAGTCTCAAAGTGCTGATGTTAAAGGATTGAATATTTCTTCTTGACAGAGGTCAGATGATAAGGCGGATGTGACAGCTTTACTTGACGGTGTTAACAGAGAACCAAGGAGGTACTATACCTATTAAAATCACAGATGGTTTCTTGCTTTCTTACTCCAAAAGTCTTGTATGAAATAAATGTAATTACTCTGTGACCTTAACTTTAACAGACCAAGAGCTGTGGAAACACCCAAGGATGATGATAGAAAACAGTTTCTCAAAGCTCGTCCTCTTGACAATAAGGTATAATGTTTTAATTTTTTTTTTTTCGTGTTGAATTTGCTTGCTTCAGGCTTTTCATGCTCATACACGTTTCGTTTCTGTTAAACAGATGGTTTCAAGTAGACGAGACATTGGCTTTTTTAGAAAAAGCAAGCGAGAAACTGAAGTTCCCTTGCCAACAGACCTTTTCAGTAAGGTACAAGTCATAACTTCATATAATCATTAGGTTCCACTGAACATATTTATTTCTCCAAGAACTTGCATTTACAATAACAGTTTTAACCTTTTACAGCTCTCGATAAAATCCGAGCTCCAGCCAAACAATGGATCTCGCTTAAGATTTCCTCAGCCTGAACAAGAAAAGGTTGATCTTCATTTCATTTTTACTTTCTGTCATAGCTTTAGGAAATCATCTTGAGTTTGACAATCTTTTTTCTCTTGGTATATAAGGGCTCAAAGGAAAATAGACTCAACTCCTTTCAAGCAGGGAATGAAGTAAGCTAATTGATTCAATCCTCCAACTACCACTTACAATTGCATGTTTTTCTTGAATCATTTGACCAATAGTTAATACATTGCAGAGAACAAGTAGTGTGACGGGAAAACAACACGGTTTATGGACAACTAGGAGGTAAGCTACAAGCAGCGAGTGCACCTAAACTAACAAGTAATAACAAAAGAAGGTTGCTCTACTATTTGCTTTCTTAAATATGGATATAGCGTTGAGGATCATTCTTGTTTTTCGATTTGGCAGGAGTGTAGGCATTCGCTGATTGGTGACAAGAAAAACCGTTTTTATTATATGGAAGAGCTCCCTTGTTGTGTACATTTAAGACTTGGTTCTCTTTAGGGTGACAACTAGTCAAAGCAAAAGGCTAACATTATGGAGAAGTAAATTATGTTCTCTCAGGGGGATGTGTTGTGACAATTTATGGTCCATTATTTTTTGGCTAAAGGAAATGTATATTGATGGGATACTCATTCATTTCTTGATATGAAATAAAATACAAAAAAGAGATGTTGATAAAGTTCTAAACATTTCTCACTTGTTGGTTTTTGAGATATAAGATTTAAACGTATGGCATTGGTGGGGAAACCAAAAACAAAAAAACGTAACCGTGGTTATTAATAGCAAATTCAGATAAAAAGATAAAAAATGATTATGGCTTCGCCCGGGTTCGAACCGGAGACCTTCAGTGTGTTAGACTGACGTGATAACCAACTACACCACGAAACCTTTTTGCCCTTTTAGCTCATTTTGTACTATATACCAAAAATACGTTCATTTAGCTCCAGACAGAACTGAGAAGTACTTTGAGAAGTGTTGCCTTGTCCTTTCGTTTCATCGATGTCTGGCTTTAGCTTTACTCTTCCCGCACGGTTTCTTCTCGCGTGCCCCTCACGCGCTCTTCCTCTTCTTCATCACACGAAGCTTCTTCTCCGCTGCAAAATGTCTTCTTCTTCCTCCTCTCTGACTCATTCCATCACGCTTCCGAGCCAACCCACCAAGCCTGTCCGTGTCGCTGCGGCCGCGGGAGTCTCTTCCTCTGATTTCAGGCGAGTTTTTAGAATCTCTTCCTCTGAAATCCGTAGGTTTTCACTGTGGAATTCTCCGTTAATTTTCCGATACATGTGTGATGTAGGAATGCTATAGATTCATCTCTGTTCACGAATTGGCTAAGAAACTTGGAATCAGAGACTGGAATTTTATCTGATGGGACTATGACATTAAAGCAAGTTCTTATTCAGGTAAAAAAATTGATCTTAAACTCATTTCAGATATCTTTTGGTTCGTTTTTGGAGGTTTCTTGAATAGTTTTGAGAGTTAACATATGGTATCAGGAGTGGAATTTTATTTCTAAATGAAACAGCTTTTTATCTCTGTATTAGGGAGTTGATATGTTCGGAAAACGACTCGGCTTTCTGAAATTCAAAGCTGAAATCCTCGACAAGGAAACTGGACAAATGGTATCTAATCATCTTCTTGTATACTCTTGCTTTGGTACTCTTGTCTGTCTGTTTGTGGAAGCTAATAAGTCACCATTAGGTTCCAGGTATTGTATTTGCAAGAGGACCAGCCGTGGCTGTGCTCATTCTCTTGGAGTCTGATGGTGAGACTTACGCTGTTCTCACTGAGCAGGTACAGATCTTCATTCATTTTTCTGAATGATTTTTTATATAATCCAATGTGGAAGATATATACAAACAAAAATCACGTTATATAATGGTTTTTTGGAAAAGGTTCGTGTTCCGACCGGGAAGATAGTTCTTGAATTACCTGCTGGAATGTTGGATGATGATCATGGTGATTTCGTTGGCACTGCTGTTCGAGAGGTACACATCTTTCTTCTCTCTTTAGTCTCGAATTTTGAATGTTGAGATACTAAAACATAACTTAGTGTCTTTCTGATATACTGCAAGCTAAAGAAACTAGAGAATGGCCTGCAAAAATGTGATCTTTAGTTGTTTTTACATATCGTTTACTTTGATATACTTATACACATATCAGGTGGAAGAAGAGATTGGTATAAAACTGAAAAAGGAAGACATGGTTGATCTCACTGCTTTCCTTGATCCATCTACAGGCCACCGGGTTTTTCCTTCTCCGGTAAGCCGTCTTTTTCAAAGAATAATACTTTTCTGTAACAAGTTGTGGAAACTCAACAAGTTTTGTAGTCTTTTAGAATGTGCTTGGAATATTTGGTTGATTGTTTTCTCTCTCTGTTGGTTCAGGGAGGTTGTGATGAAGAGATGAGTGTGTTTCTCTACAGAAGGAAAGTGGAAGTAGAGACAATCAGAGAGCTACAAGGGAAAGAGACAGGACTGCGTGAGCATGGAGAGTTTATCAAAGTCAGGGTCATTCCGTACAGAGAGCTCTGGCGCAGAACAGCTGATGCTAAGGTTCTTATGAGCATTGGTCTCTACGAAATGGCTCAGAGAGATGGTCTCGTGCCTAGACACTGATACCAAACTCTCGCTAATGTCAAGTAGATGAGATAAGATTTGTTGTAAAAGGAGTTTTCTTTTCTTAAGGTTATATGACTTTGTAGTCTGCAACTTAGTTGGTTGTTCAAAAAAAAAAAAAAAAAAAGTCTGCAACTTGGTTACCATAAAAAAAACATTTGATTTTGAGAACTGATCTTTTAAACGAAAGATTTTACAAACCTAATTTTAGGTTTCCAAAAGCTTAAGCATTGCCATATTTGAAACTGTACAAGTTTTGGCAATAAAAAGAAGAAACTTTTACGTTACAGACCAAATGAACATGAATTACACAATGTGAGTATGACAACAAACTTCTCCATCACCATACTGTCAAAATGGCACTGACAAATTCTTGTGCGTTTTGATGCAATCTTAGTGGTTAAAGAGTATTGAGTTTGAATCACTATGATGAATCCCGTCCTCTCTTTCCTGATGATGGCCGGTGGTCTTTCGAAGAACCATTACTTCTGATAACACGGCAAACAGAGAATTTAAGAATATGCAGGCGAATAAATGAAGCTTTCTTTTGGTTCATGAGCAGGTTTCGTAAGCTTACACAGCATCTGTCTTACTTGATGGCTCTTGTGTGGCCCGTGATTGTGGAATCACCTGCACACAATAAAGAAAGGTTCAATCGAGTAAGAAGCAGCCAGTTGTCATCCTCATGAACTTACAAGTATCACATAAGAACATGACCAAAGCTATATAATTGTTGAGTGTATTCTCAGGTCAAGCCACATTAATTTTCAATGAATGTTAAAACAGTGATTGATAAAACATACTGACAGGAAGACCAAGTTGTTTCATGCATCTGCTGTGAGCGTCAAGATATTCTTCATAAGACTGCAACCAAAACAGACAAAAACACAATCACAAGACTTTGTCAATGATTAGACAACACGAAAACCAGACTCTTCTCAAGAAATAGAAGAACATCACTGTAGAAAGCAAAATTTTGAGCCAGACCCTGAGATAAATATATATAGTATGGATAAGAAAGAGCTCAATGAGAATGACTCAGAGATTGAAAAAAATAAATACTACAAATGTTTTCACCAAGTTTCCAGTAGCGTGCAATAATAAGCATTCTCTGATCCAACTAACAACATGGTTTACAAAATGATCTAGTACGAGAACAAGAAACTGTAATAGAATGATTTTTTCAGGATAAGTTACAAGCAGATATGCCACTAGTACCATGTTAAGAAAATCATCATCGGTTAAGGAACTCGCGAGAGGGCTCTCCAAAGGCAGACCCCATGAGTTGAAACGTAAAGTCTTTTCTTGCGCTCCATATCCTCCTCTCTGCTGTGCAAAATGGAATCTGCTGAGATCGTCCTGGTTAGGGTAAGGCATCGGCGTATGGCCCCACATATTGTTATTATACTCTTCGTCTCCTGAGGAAGATGGAAGTTCTACAAGAGACCTTTTCGTTGAATAATCATCCCTAGAAGAGCTGTGAGAGAATAGAATCAAGAACAAAGCATATATAAAGAGATTCTAAGAATGCAAACGTCGACTTATGGAGATACCTATTCAACAACCCATCATCACAGCTATTTTCATCAAGAAGCTCACAAAGTGCCTCACCAAGATCTTCCGGCAACTCCTAGCAAAATGCACACATTACAGAGCACTTCAGGTTAAGTCATTGATGCATAGACTCTATATGAGGTGGAAGCAAATATAAGAATCTTTAGGTATATACCTGACAATCTCGGCTAATCTTGACAGGCTTGAAATCATTCAGAGGATTCTTGAGATGAAGTGTTTTCTGAAAAGGCAATTCACTCAACCGCAACCATTTCACTTTAAAACTACGTCCCCAGGGATTGTTCTTGCCACCTCCTTGACTCCATATCTGGTCTCTTCTCCAACCAACAGCAGACAACATCTCTGCATACCCTTGGAAGAATCCACTCATGTTCACGCTGAAAATCAAAACCACTCTACCAGAATTCTACACACAAGAGCATAATAAAGTCAGTGACTCAGTATCATACCAAGTAACTACTTAGCGTAAGGTTATAGAACGGTACTTACATGAAAAGCACCTTCCAAGATTGGCTCATTCATGACTTGAGTAGCCCAAATCCCTTTCTCGACCGAGAGTTGAATGTTCTCGTAGTTTAGACTTTTGATGATGAAGTATCTCGTTTGATACCCCGGTTTTTTACTGTTCTTGTTCCCGTTAGAGCTTTCATGATGATCAGTAAAGTTACTGCGTTCGACTTCTACCTTGGAATGTTTACGATCTTCTTTGCTTATGTAACTTGAACTCTCTGTCAAAAGCAATCCAAACAAACACACAATATTTACAAGAAGACAAACAAACAAAAATAAACAAGAAAAAAAAAAAGCTACATTTAAACAATTATACCTGGATCATCAGAGTTTGCTCTATCTTGTTTCCAATCAGTCAGAGACGAATCAACAACAGATGCATTCTCCTTGGCATTATCACAAGACATGCCTCTTTATATTCAAAATCCCAACACACAAGAACCAAAAAACACTAAATTACACGGTAAAATAAAGCCTAAACATTCATTAAGTCCTGTATAGGACAATAACACTCAAATCACAGTGCAGAAATAAGCATAAACCAGAGAGATATTCACACTCAAATTTTACCAAAACAAATAGTCTACTTATCAGAAATTAGTGTAGTTAGAAAGCATTAGTATATTATAACAACAACAAAAACTAGTAATCATGAAACTAATTTAGGATGTTCATCAAAAGTAAGTCAAAGAGATGCGATTTATGATCAAATGCGACTTGTAATAAATAAAATTCACTAATTCAGCAACCTAAATCATTCTTCTATATTCAACATAAACAATATTCCCCAGAAGAAGCCTCAATTCGATGTAGGAGACAAACAACTAAGCCATTTCGATTAAACAAAAATTAATCCCCAGAAATCGATTGAACAGTCGACAGTTACACAGTAAGAAGTACAGTTAACAGTAGAGAGAACGAACCTTCGAGTTTATAAAAAAACGGTTTTCGGGGAAGAGAAAGAGAGAACGCACAAGTGAAGATGGTAATGACTGACTCTTTTTATTCCGTTTCTCTATTTGAAAAGCCCTAATCTTCTCTGTTCGGCATCCCTCTTTTTCAACTTCTTCTCTCTGTTTCGTATTATACTTTTTTTTCGTTTTTTTTTGTTTCTTCTTCTTCTCTCTCTCTGACTCTGGATTTGGTTCTCATTGTGGTAGAGTAACGTGTAGGTGAGGAAAGGTGTAAATTGAACGGACGGGATGCGATGAGAAATTAAATCTAACGGTACGTCATTTGGCTGTGAAAGGCTCACTGTTAACCGGTGGTGTACTGTAAAGTAGGAGATAAATGGGCTCAAAATTATCTAATAGGCCCACTTCAATAAGCCCTAAAAATGTAGTCGCTTGGTCTTTGATCGTTGACTCGTCACTCTCTCTCAACTACTTCTCCACCAAAACAATGCTTGATCTGCCTTTTGACCTTTGTTTTTTTAATTAATGAAAAACGTTGTGTATATATGTGTTTTTATCCTTTAGGCAAAGATGAGTCCTTAATGGAATTGAAATTTTTGTATTTTTGTTTTTTTTTTTTGGTTTTAATGTTAAGAACTTTAGCTAGTATTGATATGGGACGAGTCTTCGATAAGGTCAGTTTCTTCATCGAGGAGGAGAAGAAAGTCGTCATGGCTTTATATGAAAAAGCGAGGCGCAACAGAGTTAACTTCACTGGAGAGGATGGGTGCTTGAGAAGATTTGATATTGGAGCATGTAAAGTCTCAGGGTTCCGGGCAAGTGATTACTCTTATCATTAGTTTAGTGTGTTTCTCATGCCGTGTGAGCCTTTTTTGGTTAAAACAGAGTTATTCAGCTTTTGAGTTAGCTTCAAGAACCAAAGATAGGATGGGTACTTGAGAAGATTGGATCTTGGAGAATGTGCAGTCAAGTGAAGAAGATGATTAGTCTTAAGAGTATTTACAAACCCTTACTTTATGTCTTTTGATTCTCTCTTCTTCTCCTTAAAGGCTTGAACAAAGATTACTCTTATCATTATTATTTTTTCTTCCCATCTTATGCAACATGAACAAGTTTTTGTGTTACTAAAACCAAACTAGTTAAGTTAGCTAATTAGTTGTTTAGAAGCAAAACATAAGAATAGCAATTTCAACTTTGTTCCCCATGCCTAATTTTTATGAAAACAGAGTTATTGAAAAGACTGTTTGTACACTTTGACAAGTCTTTCATGGCAATCCTCAAGAACTTGCTCCACGACAAATTTTCCGTATCAATCTTAGTGGTAATCCATATATCAATCTTATAAGGTCGATAAGGATCACCTCTGCGGTGACGTAATGAAACCGCAAGCTTCTCTTCTCCAACACAAGATAAGGTCACATCTTCATAAGACCTAGCTGTAAACGGCAGACGCATAAACGGACCAAATCTCTCTCGTGTAAAATCAAAACACACTATGTGACACTCTTTTAGATAGTTCCTAGAACACCAGTAAGTGTTTCCCTTGAACGCCACACTCATCAAGCTTTATGTACCACATCTGTGCAAGGGCATCAAGAGTTCTCCATAAACCAGTTTCGAAATCATAGATTTCATAGCAAAAGAAATATTGCTTGAACAAAATCTTCAATATTTTGTGGCTACGACAGGATTTGTTCTTCTTATTCTCATATCCGAGAGCGTACATGTATTCGTTCGCAGCATAGTTTCCTTCATGAAGTCTCCGGGGATAACAATTGCGCTCGATCCACCTTGCTGGTCCCAAATTTGGATTCCGGGGACAACAACTGGGTTCGATCCACCTTGTTTGTCCCAAATATGGATTCCAAACCACAAGCTTATCATTGCCTTTCAAGATGCATAACAATAAACCCTCGCAGTGAAAAACTTTAGATATCTTAACTTGTTTGTCAAGGCAAGTAAGTTTTCCTTTAGGGATTATTGATGGATCATCATCGAAGACGACGCTACTTAAATATAGCTTGTAATCCATTAATATGATCACCTGAGAGACTCTTCTACTTCCTGCTGTTGCTGTTGCGTTTTTAGTGTGCATCTTTGTAAAACTCTGAGTTTTAGACAAAGTATCCCACTTTTTACAAGTTAACCGCGGTTCTATCATAGATTTCAACGGAACTCTTGATAGAATCTCATCTACCAAGTCCCTTGGAAGATTGGAGATCATCGTTATCGTTTGGATTGTGGTTTTTGTTTTGCTTTTCATCTGTTTTCTTGCAGTTGGGGGAAAGTATATATATGTATAACAATTAAAGACACAGCAGAAACCCTAGATGAAGCTGGGCCAATCGTGGGCTTGAGAATCCTCTACTTATCTTTTTCTTGGGGGAAAGTATATATATGTATAACAATCGAAGACTTGTTCCATATCCCTTGTCAAGAACTTGCTCCACGACAACTTTCTGGTATCAATCTTAGTAGTAATCCATATTTCAATCCTACAAGGATTACCACTCTGGCGCTGTAATGAGACCGCAAGCTTCTCTTCTCTAACACAAGATAAAGTCACGTGGTCTTCCTTCCTAGCAGTAAAGGGCAGTTGCATTAACGGACCAAATCTCTTACGTGTATAATCAAAACAGATTACGAGATGCTCACGTGGACCGAGTACGTTTCCAATAGCACACCAGTAAGTGTTTCCCTTGAGAGAAACGCTAATATCATCAAAATTCACGTACCATGTACGTTCAGGGATATCAAGAGTTCTCCATAAACCAGAGTCAACATCATAGATTTCATAGAAAACTCTATGGCAATGGATGGAGTACATTTCATAGACAATCTTCAAGATTTTGTAGCTACGACGACGAGATTTGTTCCTCTTATTCACGTAACCGAGAGCGTACATGTAAATGTTCGTACCTTTCTCTTCCCGCTGAGTACGTCTGGGCCCGATCCACCTTGTTTGCCCCGTATACGGATTCCAAACCACAACCTTGTTATTATTGTCTCTCAACTTGCATAACAATAAACCGTCACAGTGAAAAACTCTAGATATCTTAACTTGTTCGCCAAGGCAAGTAAGTTTGCCTCTATGTTTTATTGATGGATCAACGTCGAAGACGACACTCTTTAAATAAAGATTGTGATCCATTAACATGATCATCTGAGACTCTCTTTCCCTTGCTGCTGTTGCTGCTGCTTTTTCAAAGTGCATCTTTGTAAGTCTCCGACTTTTCAATAACGTATCCCACTTCTTACAAGTTAACCGCAGTGCTCTCAGAGATTCGAATGGAAGTCTTAAGACAATATCCTCACGCAATTCCCTAGGAAGATCGGAGATCATCGCCATCGTTTGGATTGTATTTTCTTGTTTTTGCTTTTCCTCTGATTTCCTGCGGTTGGGGGAAAGTATATTGAAGTCACAGAAACCCTAACTTAAGCTGGGCCAATCGTGGGTTTCAGAATCTAGCTACTATCTTTTTTTTCAAACTCAATCGATATGGCTAATTGCTGACGTGGAACTCTTCATCGCTAATCCTGAAACTTTCACAGAAGCATCCAAATCCCAAGTGTCTTTTAGTCTAATGACGAGTCCTTGTTGGAATGGAAACATTTAACGTAGTCATGAAAGCTTAGTCAAAGTGTACGAACCGTTTTTTCATGCAAGCAAATTGGAACCTTGTCTATTATTATGACATACAATTTACAACTCTTAGGTTCGTGATTCGTGAAAGCTACCTCAAGTGCTGAATAACTCTGTTTTAACTTAAAAAGGCTCACACGGCATGAGAAAGAGAGTAGAAATTGTTATTCCGTTTTGCTTTCAAAGATCTTATTAATTAGCTATTTCAGCTTTTAATAACCTACTATAACCTTGTTCATGTTGAATAATATGGGGAAGAAGCGAACAGAAGAGTGAATATAAAGACATAAACGTAAGGGTTTGTAAATTGAGACTAATCATTTTTTTTTGCGACTTTATTTTTGAGATTTTAACTAAGCTATTACATTAACAGTGATCAAGTTGCGACTAATCCCAACATTTCTTTCATCAGTTGACGAAATTGTGTTTGGAGGGAAAGAAATGCAAGAAGACATGGGGACACTCCACAACAAGCCTCTTGTCTTGTAACGTTCATCGACAAGATAAAGTCACATAGTCTTGAGAGCCAGCACTAAACGGCAGACGCATAAACGGCCGGCCCAAATCTCTCTCGTGTAAAGTCAAAACAGATTACGTGATACTCAAGTTCGCCCTTGTATTAAGCTCACAGCACACCAGTAAGTGTTTCCCTTGAGAGAAACGTTACTCTCACCAAACGTGATGAACAAGGCATGTGGAGGGACATCATGACTTGTCCATAAACAGTTTCAAAATCATAGATCTCACACGAGACTATAAACAAGACCAAATCGAAAACAATCTTCAGTATTTTGTGGCTTCGACAAGATTTGTGCTTCTTGTTCTCGTATCCGAGAGCGTACATTTATCTGTACTTAGGTTGTCAGAATCTCTGGGTTTGATCCACCTTGATTGTCCCCAATACGGATTCCAAACCACAACCTTTAGTATCATCATCTTTCAAGAAGCATAACAATAAACCTAAAACCTTATTCTGTTTTGCCTTCAAACATCTAATTATATATTTCGGTTTTTGTAATAACCTAAAATCTTGTTTGTTCATCTTGCATAAGAAGGAAAGAAGTAAATAAATGATAGTGTAATCTTTGTCCAAAGAGAAGAAGAAGATGAAGAACGAATGAAAAAACATAAACTAAGACTAATTATCATTATCCGATTCCGTTTTCTCTTTTTACCGGCTCCTTCACTTGCTTTTTCTTGATTGGCTGCTTTGTTTCATATCGACCAAAGTGCTTTGTTGCTTGACTTGCGTTAAACTTGGAACATAAGAGCACACACTTGCCCGACACCATGTGACTGAAGGTGATCCAAGATCAAATCTTCTCAAGTACTTATCCTCCCCACTAAAGTTAACTCTGTTGCGAGTATTGTCTCCCCGCTTTTTAAAAATACTCATGACGACTTTCTTCTCCTCCTCGATGAAGAAATTCCTGAACATCGCAAGGATATCGGATTCTAGTCTCATATCCAGTGTCAAGAACTTGCTCCACGACAACTTTCCGGTCTCAATCTTAGTAGTAATCCATATCTCAATCACAAAATGCATAGATCTGAGGCGCTGTAATGAAACTGCAAGCTTCTCTTCTCTAACACAAGATAAATTCACATGGTCGCTCATCCCAGCTTTAAAGGGAAGTTGCATAAACGGACCAAATATCTCGACTGTAAAATCAAAACAGATTACGTAATGCTCAATTTATCTTGTAAGAATGTCATAGCACACAGTAAGTGTTTCCCTTGAGAGAGACGCTACTCTCAGTCTCATCATGATTCAGGAACCAGGTGTGTGGAGGGACGTCAAGAGTTCTCCATAAACCAGAGTCCAAATTATAGATTTCATAACAAGATAAACGATACTTGGCACGTTCATTATATAACTTCAATATTTTGTGGCTACGACAAGCTTTGTTCTTCTTATTCTCGTAACCGAGAGCGTACATGTATATGTTTCCGTCATATAGTCTCCGGGAATGACAACTGGGCTCGATCCTCCTTGTTTGCCTCAAATACGGATTCCAAACCACAACCATAGCATTATCTTTCAACATGCATAACAATAAACCGTCACAGTGAAAAACTCTAGATATCTTAACTTGTTCGCCAAGGCAAGTAAGTTTGCCTCTAGGTTTTATTAATGGATCAACGTCGAAGACGACACTCTTTAAATAAAGATTGTGATCCATTAACATGATCAACTGAGACTCTCTTTCCCTGGTTGCGGTTGCTGCTGCTTGTTCAATGTGCATCTTTGTAAAACTCTTACTTTTCAATAAAGTATCCCACTTTTTACAAGTTAATCGCACTGCTCTCATAGATTTCAACGGAAGTCTTGATAAAATCTCCTCTACCAATTCCATTGGAAGGTTAGAGATCATCGTTATTTTTTGGATTGTTGTTTTTGTTTTGCTGTTCTTCTGATTTTCTTAGGTTAGGGGAAAGTAGTATACTGGAGACACAGAAACCCTAACTTAAGCTGGGCCAATCGTGGGCTTCAAGAACCTGTACTATGATACTATCTTTGTCTTCCTTTTTTATTTAAACGTAATCGGATGTGGCTAATCAAAAATAAGATATCTACTGCTGACGTGGAACTCTTCATCGCCACACGATCCTGAGACTTTCAAACATCACACTCTCACTCAATTCTAGACCACAAAATCCCAAACTTTTTTTTTTGTTCTTTTACCGGAAATCACAAGAAAGAACAATCTCTCAATTTCTGATTCCCGGAAGACAAACAAAGAAGTATGTGCAGTAAGATGGCGTTTACTCTAACGATCCCTCGATTTCACTCTGCAATTTCTCGTAAACCCACTTCCACTTGTTCATCTCTTTCTCCTTCGAGGTCTCAAAGTGCTTACTTCGGCCATGGAAGATCGGTTTCTCTCAGAAGAAGACTTTTCTTACTCCCCGTTAAAGCTACTACCGATCAATCAGGTCTTTGATTGTTCTGCCTCTTAAAAGTTTCATTTTTTACTGTAAATCTCGAATCGTTCACTTTTTCAGTGTGGATGTCACGTTTGGGAAGAAAATTGATATGTCAAAGTTTAGATTTTTTCAATTATAGAAGATAATTACAAATATTTGATTTTTTTGTGTAATTTATCGTATGTGGTTGCTTAAAGGTTTTACAGAGTAATCTATAAGTTTTCATGTCATCACTTTCTTTCTGATTTAAACAACAAAACACTCTCAAATTTCAAATTTTAGTTGAGTAATGTTGTTGTCTTTTTTCTCTAACCAACCTTTAGATTACTCTGCTCCTTAAGTTGAATTGAACTTTAAGTTTTCCAGTCATCACTTTCTCATCGAAACAAGAAACACACTCAGTCTTGAGCAAAGTTGTTATATTGAACATCTCTTATTGTAATCAACCTTTAGATTTCTCCTTGAAAGTTTCATTAGTGGTTAAAAGTATTTTCTTATACTTGTCTTTCAGGTCAGGTTGGTGGGGAAGAAGTTGATAGCAAGATTTTACCTTACTGTAGCATCAACAAGAATGAGAAGAGATCACTCGGAGATATGGAACAAGAGTTTCTCCAAGCGATGCAAGTAACACAGAGAATCCAAACAAAAGAGAACTTTTTTTGTTTTAATTATAAGTTAACTTGAATATGATGATGATGATAGAGAAGTTTTCTAAGTGTTGTGAGGATTGTTTTGTTTCTGCATTTCTTTTTGCAGTCATTCTACTACGAAGGCAAAGCGATTATGTCAAACGAAGAGTTTGATAACCTTAAAGAAGAGTTGATGTGGGAAGGAAGCAGTGTTGTCATGCTAAGTAATTAATGAAACTTCATTATGATTTGTAATTTCATTACTCCATAAAGGCTTAAACTCTTTATTTTGTTATGTAATGCAGGTTCTGATGAACAAAGATTCCTTGAAGCTTCAATGGCTTATGTGTCTGGCAATCCAATCATGAATGATGAAGAATATGACAAGCTGAAAATGAAACTAAAGGTTTGTTTGTCTCTCCTTAGTTTTATCCATCTTGTTGGATCCATAATATCATTATTGATTTCTTGTTTCTCTAGATGGATGGGAGTGAAATTGTGTGTGAGGGTCCAAGATGCAGTCTCCGTAGTAAAAAGGTAAAAGTTATATGATGAATGATATCAAGACATTAGAGAACTTTATTAAAGACTTGTGGATTCCTTGATTTTGCAGGTTTACAGTGATCTTGCTGTAGATTATTTCAAAATGTTCTTGTTGAATGTCCCAGCAACTGTTGTTGCTCTCGGGCTGTAAGTATCAGAATCACATAATCTCAGATCTTTTGTTAGTTCTTTGTTTGAATAACGTTGTTGTTTTCTTGAATTGTTCTTCAGATTTTTCTTCCTTGATGACCTTACCGGTTTTGAAATCACATACCTGCTTGAGGTAAAAACCTCTCTTGACTCATCTTTTATGGTTTGCAGAATTCGTAATCGTTCAGAGTTTTCTTGTAGCTTCCGGAACCATTCAGTTTCATCTTCACATGGTTCGCTGCGGTGCCTGCAATTGTGTATCTGGCGCTATCACTCACCAAGCTGATCATCAAGGACTCTTTAATCTTGAAGGTAAAACCATTCATCTTCTCAGATCATACTCATACTCATGATCATAAGCATCTAATTTGTGTGATTTTTGTTCTTATATTTCATTTAGGGTCCTTGTCCAAACTGTGGAACAGAGAACACATCTTTCTTTGGAACGATACTATCTATCACCAATGATGGTACCACCAACAATGTCAAATGTTCCGGGTAAGCAACTTTAGACTTGAGATCAATCGTTATAGAAAGTCTGTAAATGATTCTTGAAATCTTTTTGATTCTGGTTTAGCTGTGGAACGGAGATGGTCTATGACGCAAGCTCTCGTTTGATCACATTACCAGAAGGAGGCAAAGCTTAAACCTTTGAGCCAAGGTTTAAATTCTCTTTCTCAAATTTAAAATTTATGATCAAAGTATAGTTCTTGATTCCATAGTAAAACTTAAGATTCTTAGTTTTCTCTTCCTTCTTTGTTTTTTCAGGGAAATGTATGTAAAATTGATACTAACATATGAAGAAGTTGGATAAATCAAAGAAGAAGAAAAGTAGAAAAAAAAAAAGAGAGTTTATTTGTGTGCTGTTTTGTATAATCTTCAATGTAGCTCTCGTTAACTTGTATTGTGTTTGTAAGTAAATGGAAGCGCAATAAGAGAAAAACATTGTATGATTACTTCTTTGTGGAATTTTGCTCTCATTAGAAAATGAAATAAATCAGGAAAAGAAAAAAAGTCTCAACAATTACAGAAACTTGAATTTTTGTTGTTGTTATAGTTTTGTATGTGTCTATCATAGAAACTGATATATCTAATATGGTCCAAAGACTTTAAAGAATTTTTGTATCTCTACAATTTATCAATGTATGACTAGTAATAAGTTGAAACATGATTAAATTGGGGAACATGCAATAAGAGTTAGGGGACTATTGATCTTTAGAGAGTATACACAAAAGGGAAAGTCATAGAAGCATTATAGCATGCCAATCTCTATCTTTTTAATATGAAAAAGGAGCAAAGAATCAATGATCATCATCATCTTCTCTTGCCCCTATCATCATTATTCACCCAAGTTTTTCTCTCACCATTAGACATAGCTTCCACATGCTTTCATTAAGATCTAGCCACAATACTTGACCACATAGATTTTTTTTCCCAACGGATTAATTGAATTTTGAAGGATACACTTGTCACTATATATTAACATTTTACAGTTTTTACTATTAGACCGGACTTAAAAACAAAAAAACAAAAAAAAGAGATATTCTTAAAATGTGCTATATCATTCAAGAATCTTGCAAGATGCGGTTTAGATGTTAAAAGAAATGAGCTTGTTATATTATCTTAATTGGATCTAAGAGTTTATTGTTGTTGTTGTTTGCTTATATTTGATTTTGATGGAATGATGACATTTTTAGCAAAATTTTCTTCTAAACCTTTTTTCCTTTCTCTTGGCCATTCCTTACGCCATTAAAGTAAGGCTTTTGTATAAGAGTGTGAGGCAAAACATTTAGAAATGTATAAACGAATGAATGATCAGAGTATATAATCAAATCTTTCAGCAAAGAAATAAATTAATACAAGCAATGATCTTACAAGACTACAAATTAAAGTGTATAAAGCAATGTCACGAGGCTCTAAAAAAGTAGGATAGTATTGTAAGCATTATAAACATCGGTCATGCTTGTTCATTATTATGTCTTCAAAAAATACATAGTATATACTATATACTTATCATGTCTGTCTCCATAACACATGCCAACAAAGTAGAACACAATCAATCTCTTTCTCTTTCTCTCGTCTTCCTATCTCTCTGAAGAACCTTAACAATTCTTATTCATTTCAGAATCTTTTGGATCCTCTTCACATGGGCTCTATACCATTTATCTTCATCATCCTCCTCTTTCACTTACAGAAATCCAAATCTCAAACGATCCAATCAGCACATCTTCTTGATCTTATGATCAGAGATTACACCATCAGAAACTTCAACATACATTTCAAGACAGGCACAGTCCAGAAAATCAATCTTCCTTCGAATTTCTCATCCATTGATGTTGATACGGCTAGGTTTAGATGCGGGAGTTTGAAGAGACACGGTGCAAGAATCGGAGAGTTTCACTTTGGTCCGGGCTTGACGGTGCAGCCATATGTTGAGAGAGTGGTTCTGGTGAGACAGAATTTGGGTTTTAAATGGTCTTCTTCTATTTACTCAACCGGTTATAACTTAACCAGTTACAGCTACCAGCTAGTCTCTCCGGTTCTAGGATTATTGGCTTATAATTCTAACCCGGACGGTGTAGCTCCGAATCCTTATGAGGTTAACGTAATGGGAACGGAGCAAAACCCTATTCTGATTGATTTCTTCAGCAGCAAGGCAAGTGGTAGCCCTAAACCTAACACGAAGAAAAACTCATCTCTCTTGTGTGCTTGCTTCACAAGTAACGGTAACATAACGTTTAGAGAGCAAGTTTCAGCCTATGTTTGCTCGGGAACAATACAAGGGCATTACGCGCTCGTGACTAGAGCTCCACTAAAGGATCATCACGGTAACGGTGATGGTGGTGGAGTGGTTACGCCGTCGTCGTCTCCGTCAGTAAATGGTGGGGGGAGACTGAGCCGGTGGAAAGTGGCGGTTGGGAGTGTGATTGGGTCAGTGATTGGAGCGTTTCTGCTAGGGTTATTGGTGGTGGCGATGTTAGTGAAAGGGAAGAAGAAAGCGATGAGAGAGGAGATAGAGAGGAGAGCTTATGAAGAAGAAGCACTTCAGGTTTCAATGGTCGGTCATGTTAGGGCTAATCCTAATGCTTCGAGAACAAGAACTGTTCCAAGATTTGATAACAATAGGTATAGTAACAAGTAATAACAAACTTTAATTTGTTAGATCATCCTTCTTATAATTTGTTTTCCACTTTTTCAGTGTTAACTTAGTTCTTATTATGAATGCTGTAGTGTGACTTGTAAGATCTAGATAATTAATATTAACTGTTTAGAAAATGATGTAATTCAAAATGTTACTAATAAGCTGTACTTTGGGTTAATAAACCACAACAACAAGAAATATGTAACCGTACTCACCAAAAAAAAAATATATATGTAACCGTTACTAATTTATGTTTTTTTTTGTTTTAATATAAACACTGTCATGAAGTCGGAAGAACTTTTCAGAGTGTAAAAGAGAGACACACAAATTGAAGCGAAAGCTTTTTCTGGTCTAGAATGTTTTTATGTTTTTTCATTAAGTCAGTGAATTATGAAAAGAGGCCAACTCTCTCCATATTGTTAACACATGGATACATGAGAAAATGCCACATGTTATATAATTTTCATTTTAAAAATAAAAATCTAAAAGTTTAATATAACATTAATGCAACTTTTGGTCTTCTTTTGTGCTTATTGTAACTTACAAAATACATTTTTATATAATTTTCACTTTAAAAAAAAATATCCAAAAGTTTAATGGAATTTCAATGCAACTTTTGGTTTTCTTTTGTGGCCATTAGAACTATAAAATAAAATAAAACTATTATATCACTTTAAATTATTATCTTTCGTCATCAATCTTGAATCACTATTAAACATTTAAGTTATAGAAAATTGGATTCAGAAAAAAAATGATGGCAGAGAAGCATAGTGTGTTCCACGTAGCGGTGAATAAATAAAGAGTGGCAAGGGTATAAAAACATGTGATATTATACAAAACTATATATTTGAAAGTCTAACGAAGCAAATAAGAATTAAAATACGGGTGTTATTTGGGTTAAAAGATTATTCACAAATCTATAAGAATTAAGATACAGATGTTATTTGGATTATTTGGAATAATATTTTTCTTAAACTATAACAATAAGAAAACCCGCGCGTACGCGCGGGCATTGGTCTAGTTAAAGAATGAAATCAGCATCATAAATCATTTTTACATAAAATACTTTCGTTTGATCATTGCACAAGTTATAACAGTCCTTTATCTTTTAAAAAAAAATATATATATATATATATATACATTTATAACATTTGATCTCTTATTTCTACTGAATATAAAAAATTATGATCCTAATGTACTTCGAACCATTATTTTTTTATGATCGCTAAGATAATTTTTTTATTGACGGAGAGTGGTAATGGTTGTAGTAAAACCATACATTTGGAGGCAGGCCGAACAAAATACTTATTGGGCTAAACTTTATAACCCTTAGGCCCAATAAAACGGCCCATAAATACAAAAGGAATTACTCTGTCAACTATAGACCCTACCACACCTGATCTCTTCCTTGTTTTCGCACCAATTTTCCCTCACGATTTCTGTTTCCCCCAAGAATTTCCCGGGAAAGAAAAAAAAAAAGGAAAGCGAGAAGAAAAAAAAAAACAGAAAGGATTTTCAATCTCTACGCAAATCTAGAATCCTGGAGGAAAGAAAAAGCAAGAGAATGAAATCAGCCATGGAGGAAGATCCTCCAGGAAGCAGTCAAACGACGGCTTCTCAGCTGAATCTCCCACCGTCGATGATGAATCGACCGACGGTCTCACTCGAGACCTCCCGAATCAACCGTCTAATCGATTCCAACCACTACCACTCTCCGTCGAAGCCTATCTACTCCGATAGGTTTATCCCGAGTAGATCCGGGTCCAATTTCGCGCTCTTCGGCCTCGAACCGTCGCCGAAGAAGGACGGGAAGGAAGAAGCGGCGGGCTCTTACGCGGGTCTGTTGCGGACGGCGCTCTTCGGTCCGGAGACGCCGGAGAAGAGAGATGTGGTCACTGGGTTCTCTCCGTCCCGGAATATTTTCCGGTATAAGACGGAGACGCAGCGGCCAGTGAACTCGTTCTCGCCGTTTGGGTCTGATGAGGCTCCTGGTGTTAGCCGTACCCCCGCTAAGTCGCCGAGGAAGATTCTTAGATCGGCTTATAAGGTGAGAGTTTTGATTTCTTACGGTGTTTAGGGTTTAAAGTTTTGGGTTTTAGGGATTGGAGATTGATTTAGGGTTGATTAGAACTTAGAAATCTCTAGTTTTTGCGTAATCGTCTTGATTTTCTCGGTTGGATTTGAATCAATGGTTGATCTTATGAGCATTGTTGATAGATTTGGGTTTTGAGGCTTTCAATTCTTGATTCTGTTCCTAAATTTCATCTCTTTTCCTGCATTTTTATGTATCCGTACGGTCCACTCTTTATGTTAGAGAGAATCATATTTGTTCTTGTATTTCATTTTGCCCTGTGGCTGAGAGTAATGGCTTCTTGTTGTTGTTGGTTAGGTATTGGATGCGCCGGCTCTGCAAGATGATTTTTACTTGAATCTCGTGGATTGGTCTGCTCAAAATGTTCTTGCAGTTGGATTAGGGAACTGCGTGTATTTGTGGAATGCTTGTAGTAGCAAGGTGAGCTTTTCTTCTTAACCTTGTTACTCATTCATGTCCCAAGATGTTTTTTTTGACAAGAATGGCTTCCTTGTTTGTTTGCAGGTAACTAAGTTATGCGATCTTGGGATCGATGACAGCGTCTGCTCAGTCGGTTGGGCGCTCCGTGGAACGCATTTGGCGATTGGAACTAGTTGCGGAACTGTACAAGTAAGTTGAATATGACACATTTGGCTTCTTGAGTTTATGCATGCCTTTATCTATCTAGAGGACTTGCTCTTATTGGTTTTCTTTAGCTTTGAGGAAGGAGTGATGATCTTGTTATGGAGTACTTACACTTACTGTTTTCTTTTTTCACTAGATATGGGATGCGGCAAGATGCAAGAGAATAAGAACAATGGAAGGTCATCGACTACGAGTAGGAGCCTTGGCGTGGAGCTCATCGGTTCTGTCTTCCGGTAGCAGAGACAAGAGCATACTTCACAGAGACATACGTTCTCAAGAAGATCATGTGAGTAAGCTAACAGGTCACAAGTCCGAAGTCTGTGGACTCAAATGGTCTTATGACAACCGCGAGCTAGCCTCAGGTGGTAACGACAATAAGGTAAAAAATCTGTACTTTTCATTTTGTGTCCTTCAAAAACATGCTTTTTCCGAACAACAAGGAGGTGATAATTGTATGATCTTCTTGCAGCTATTTGTATGGAACCAACATTCAACACAACCGGTTTTGAAATACTGCGAACACTCAGCAGCGGTTAAAGCCATTGCGTGGTCTCCACATCTTTATGGACTTCTTGCTTCCGGTGGTGGTACTGCCGATAGATGTATCCGTTTCTGGAACACTACCACTAACACTCATTTAAACTGCGTAGACACCAACAGTCAGGTAAACACACTTATCATGGCTTAATTTGTTAAAAAGATGACATTTTGATATTCGGGTTTATAGGGCTAATGACTGTCTTTCTTCCTGACGCAGGTGTGTAATTTGGCTTGGTCTAAGAACGTGAACGAGCTTGTGAGCACGCACGGATACTCCCAGAACCAAATCGTCGTCTGGAAATACCCAACCATGTCTAAAGTAAAGCATTCTTCTATGTTCTTGATTTCGGTTTCTTCTTTTTTCTTGCTGAGTTATAATTGAAACCGTTGCTTCTTCTTCCTCTTGCAGTTGGCAACTCTCACAGGCCACACTTTCCGCGTTCTGTATCTTGCGGTCTCACCCGATGGACAGGTTAGTCTTTTCATTTTTTCTGATACGTTTGCTTAACTGCTTATGCACTTGCATCAACACACTCTCATGTGTATGATCTTTATTTGTTGCAGACGATAGTGACAGGAGCAGGAGATGAAACGTTAAGATTCTGGAATGTCTTCCCATCCCCGAAATCTCAGGTAAAGAAACGTGAAGCATCATTGTATATCCGAGTTTTACTTATCAATTCTGTGAAATGAACAATGGTTAACACTCTGTTTCTATTTTCAGAGCAGGGAGAGCAAAATAGGAGCATCCTCTTTTGGGAGAACAACAATTCGGTGATATCTTGAGCACATCACACGTCCTAACTTAACCTCTTCAGAGATTTTGTGCAAGTCTGTCTCATTAGGATGCAGAAATTAGTTGAAACAGATTAAGAATTATTATTAGAAGATGAGAGTTTTGTGTGATTTGGGTGGATTTTAGATTTTATTTTTAGATGTACAGATTGAATTTTCTTGTGTATATATATAATTTTTCTGAAACTTTTGATTACACCAAAGAGAGTATAGGGTTTAGATTTATATGATCTTTACCATCTACTTTGCGAAGCCATGAAATCAAGTAAATCAAGAAACCGGTTTGATTTATTGGGAAATTAATTAGTGACAAATCATCAACTTGAGTCAACGAATATGAGATGAAGCAGAGAAAATTGAGTGAAATCGACAGAAATGTGAGAAAGAAAAGAGAGAAATAAATGAGTTGTATTATTGACAATCAAATGTCACTTCTGAACTAACATTTTAACAAACCTGTGATTACTGATTACGAACCTAATTTCAGTTTTCCTTTTTAAAACTTCACCATGTTATGTTAAAGCGAAATGACCATCTCCCAGTAAACTAACGTGCTATACAAAACAAAAACTGCATTGTATGAAAAAGAAAATAGGTGAGAAAAAAAATTAGGGGGTAAAATCATATCTTCTTCAACACTTATTGCACTCTGCCCCTTTATCTACGAAAATTGATTAGGAATAAAAAAACCCTACAAGAATTAGACTGAAAAAATCTTATGTTCAAACAAAAAAAGTATGTATACGTATCAGGCAGATAAAACGAATATGCCGTTTTGATCACTTTGCTGCATAGGTCGCTAAATCTTCATCTCCGCCTAAACCCTAGTCTTAAGTGTAATTAATTGCAATTATGTGAAACCGTTTTAGCACCTAAACACCACCTAAAGAGTTGTTTACCCGGCTTTTTAAAACATTAATCTTAATAATATACGGGATGTCGCAACATAGGAGGTTTTGTATCTGACTTCCACGTTTTTTGTGTTTCATTTTGCAAAATTTTAATCTTTCTGGAATTTGTCTTCTTTAGACGATTTTTATATATCATTGGTTATGGAGGTGTCAATACTACCAACTAATTAAAAACAAAAACCCAATATGTCCTACATAAATAAGTTTACTGTTTTTGGTGAAATTTGTCTACATAAAGAAATAAGTTGGTGGGTCAACAACAAAGACAAGACTTTCTCTCGCCAAATAATTTCACCTCCACGTTTTCAATGTTATGGGGTTCACGTTGGCCAGTTCCTCGAATTATGAATTATGATACATATACACTCAAGCCTTTGTTTGTTTCCCTGATACATTTATAGTAATAAAATTAAATGCCAAGTCACCTTCTGTCAATAATGAAAAAGGAAGAAAAAGTTGCGTTGCACTTAAATACCATTATACCATTGTTTGTTTGTTGTAGCTTGTAAGTGGTAACCCTAGAATATTTTCGTTAATTTCATCTGAGCTAACATAACCGTGTTCAAATCCATTATAAATGAACCGAGTATCTACTACTATAATAACAAGAATGTAGGGTTTTTTTTTTTTTTCCCATCGTTCATCTTATGCAGGTGATCATTTATTATATTTTCGGAAAAGCATTATCATGTTACAATTGACGATTTATTGTATACAATCTAATCTGAAATACACTGAACGACATAACTTGCATAATACTGGATTAAAAAAAAAAGAAAAGCTTGCATCTATACTATATATATTAAAGCTTACATTATTTGTTTTTAAAATACGCCAACAGTTACATTCTTTACAAATGAAATTTGAAACGCTGATATTTCAGTTCTAGAGGGACCGGGGTCGTGATACATAATTGCATGCATGTGAAAATGTCTAACCGACCCTTTGATAATTACTATACATCTCAATTATTTTGCGTTACTATTTTCTCTTGCAACGATTATACGTATACTTGGTCCCGTGATTCCTTCCCACGATAGCTACATCTTCATCGTCTTCACCGTAGCTGCTATGAGAGTGAGACCACGGAATCGTGCTAACCGCCGGAAAACAACAGCTGCACTCATCAACGCAAGGACGTTCCGATATGGTTTCACACGTGTGAGCTCTACAACGATCATCTGAAGTCGCCTCACATAGAGGGCCCCAACATTCGACTTTGTTGAACTCAGGGATGTTGGAATGGAAGTAAACCAAAACAAGAGCTTCTTCTAGCTCAGGGTAGTTGTTCAACAAGTTTTTATCTCCATGGACAAAAGCTTTCAACACCTATAAATCATTATGGAAAATATAATTAAAAGACCACACACATTTGTTACATGTCATATGGAAAAAATATTATATTCTATGATTGTTTATCAGAATCCTACATCGAAATCTAAACTAATCTTTAAAGAAAAAAGAAAAACAACTAGGTTTTTTTTTTGAGCAAACGATTTATGCTTTATTCTTCTTCTTCCCTTGAATGGACATTATCTGAAGTACAACATACAATTTTTAAACTAGTACAAGACTTTCGAAATTCATGTGAACCAATTATTATGGATCTTGGTTATATTTGTTATGTGAATTTAGCAGTTATTAATAAGATGTGTGTAACGGAAACCGATCCATTCTTCGATTAACAACTCGGTAATTACTAGACTATCATTACTTGGTTAAAATAAAAAGATTTACCATTGGTAATTCCTTGCAGAATATGAAATATCGAAGCTCTGCAATAAGATCCAAAAGAAAATGGCCGCCACTAATGTGGCAATGAACGTGAAGCGACATTTTATCTTTCACCTTCCTCCACTCGGCCACTACTTCGTCTCGGTACACTCTGTTTGCCCATCCCCGTAACTGGTAAAACCGCGGGACAAAAAGTTAAATCGGCTTGTTAGAGCACAAAGCTACAAATTTTAAATACTTTCTTTGTGAACTCTAATTATAATGTTCTTACGTGTGTTAAACGGATGAGAAATGATGATTAATTAGTTACCTGAGAGTTATTGATAGAGTGAGAAATAGCTAGAGTTAACTTGGCGGTGATGTCACTATGAGTGAGAGTGTATGTTCTTGGGAGTTTTGATGGATGCTTCTTCTCATCAACTCCTAAGAACATGACATTTAATTTAGAAGCTTCGAAAATCGCCTGTCCAAATAATCTTGCAACCTTAAAATATTTCAAAGGAAAGAAAAATCAGATAGATAAATATATGTTCTTTTACCAAGAAAAAATGGAAGAAAAACTGTATTGTTATACTAAATCATTAAAAATTGAGTGTGAAGATGGATCACGTATACGAACCAAAAAAAAAAACGAGTGAAAACAAATCTGCCAAAACGTAACACTTCTGATGAAAAAGATTGAGAGTTTGAGACAATTACAGGAGTAGTAGATTGGTACTTCCTCTTGGATCCTTTAGTGGTGAGAAAGATTAAGCTACTGCTTTGTTTGTCTGAAAAACCTGGTTTCAGCTTTACTGGAAGCAAAAGATTTGCCATCAAGCCACACATTTATCTCTGTCTCTCTAAGAATTGAAGAGGCGACACACAAAAGGAAAAATGATCTGAAAATGAAAAAGAAGTCTGTGAAACTCGATGCCATTTCCTCGTATATTTATAAGTGACTTTTAGCCTCTTACGGAATGATTTAGAACGGTTGGTCTGAAGCTGGATTTTGTTCAAAAAGAAAAGAGAATTATTTTATTGCCGACCAGAAACATAAAAAACAAAGAAAAGACATATATAACACGTGAGTACTATTCACCTTATATATAATAATAACAGTAACAATAATACAAACGAAAACTGAACATACTGAGACTTGTGCTAAACAATTGTCACTTTCCTATTAACACCAAACAAATAAACATTCATCTTCTTCCCAACTTTTCTAACTTAATAGAAAGAAAAAAAATGTACATTTTATGAAATATTTTCTAATCACTTTATTTCTCCGAATTTGGCATTGAAATCCCTAACAGGCCATCAGCGACATTATCATCCTCTCTTCTATTATGTTGATAATAATGACGGTGAGACCAGGGGATTGAGCTAACTTCCGGAAAGCAACAGCTGCATTCATTGGGACAAGCTAGCTCCGGCAGTGTTTCACATTTTTTGCGGGTCCTATGTCCGTCGTGGTGGTGGTGGTCCGTCGCCTCCCAAAGCGGTCCCCAACATTCAACCTTGTTATACTCCGGTATATTTGAATGGAAATAAACCCACACAGGTGATTCTTGTAGCTCGGGATAGTTATTCAACAAGTTACCATCTCCATGGGCAAAAGCTTTCAATACCTAGGGTCCAACATAATCAATACAACACATTGAGACATTTCATAACAAATACAAGTCAATAACACGACCATAACCACTTTAGTCTATTACCAAAAATATGATTGTTCAAACTTACCACTGGTAATTCTTTGCAGAATATGTAGTATCGAAGCTTGGCAATGAGATCCAAAAGGAAGTGGCCTCCGCTAATGTGGCAATGAACGTGAAGCGACATTTTACCTTTCACTTTCTTCCACTCGGCCACTACTTCGTCTCGGAACAACCTGTTTGCCCATCCTTGCAGCTGGTGAAATTAAGGACCAAAAAATCAGATTAGTCTCCTAAAACGCTAAACCCTAAAACTTGCGTAGGAAGTTTTGTGATTTACCTGAGAGTTATTGATAGATTGAGAAATAGCTAAAGTTAGCTTAGCGGTTACGTCACTGTGAGTAAGAGTGTAAGTTCTTGGGAGCTTTGATGGATGATTCTTCTCATCAACTCCTAAGAATGATACTTTCAATTTGGAAGCTTCAAAAATCGCCGGTCCAAATAATCTTGCAACCTTTAACCATTCAAAACAGAGAAAGATTCATTATATTAAACAAAAAAAAACAGAGAAACCCTAAAAAACAGAGTATATAAACTAAAGCAATGAATTTTTGTTTTCATGATTTTCCTATAGTAATACATGTTAATAGATGCGAACATAAATCATACAATTAATGAAAATGATAGTAAGAATTTGAAGTGTGAAAACAGAGTGAAGGTTCTTACAGGAACAATAGATCTGTTCTGCATCTTAGATCTTCTATTGGTAACAAAGAGTGAGCTATTGCTCTGTTTCTCTAAAAAACCTGGTTTCATCTTCGATGGAAGTAAGAGATTTGTCGCCAAACTGCACATCTCTGCTAATTTAAAATCTCCGAAATCTGCAGAAACAAGAGATCGAGAGAAAAAAACAAACAAATCCTTTAAATACAGAGAGACCCTTTCACGAGAACTCTATTCAAATCTCACGCTATTCTTGCGTGTAAACCCACAAAAACCAAAGCTTGTAACTTTGAAATCCAAAAAATATCGAGCTTGCTTTCGCTTTCCGTTTTAGCTTCTTTTTCTTCTTCCGTGAATTTAGGGTTTTTAACTTTGTTTTTGTTCTCTTTGTTGCGTGTTGGGTTTAAAGAGCTACGAGTGAAAAAGAAGGTTGCTTCTATTTCTAGACTTTCTCAAGTCTCAAATTCTCTATGAACAGTTGAGTCTGAGAATGCGACGTGGCGTCCAGCTTCTTCTCTGCATGAGGTGTCAAATGTCGTCGCGTTAAGCATCACACGTGGCGTCGATGAGTTTCTCCGGTTCGTTTTCGGATAACTACTCACCGTTCCGGACTAAGAGACAAGAAGACTCAAGAGGTTCGGTTCTTTGCCGAATGTTGTTGGCTTTTGCCTTTTCGGTTCTACAAACGATTTCGTACAGTACGGTTTAGGGAATTTTCTATTTTGGCAGATATATTAGGAAGAACAAAATCCGACCGAACCAAATTCATCTCTCAAAAGTTTTTGTAATAAAACTGAAGATTTGTACACCCATACCGATTAATATTTTAAATATTAGTTGTTATGTAGGTGTAGATATAGTTTAATAAAAGTGACTTATGCCAATCATTAATCAGATCTGTAGTTAACAAAAAAAGGAAAGGTTATCGTTTTTTTTTTTTTTTTTTGAACGACAGGAAAGGTTATCGTTAAAACTTTAAATATAAGTGTATGTAGTTTGTTACATCCTTATTCTTTTTAAATGACGCCCCATAAAGAATGTGTGGAACTCAAATAATTTTGACAAAATGAAAATAGCTCATAAGTTTAAAGTTTAAACAGAGTTTCTTTGAGAACGACATAACGCAGGAACATTGGCATCAAAATTAAAACCCGTAAGGGTACTCAAAAAACATCAAGGGTTAAGGATTAAACATTATGGGTAAAACATTCCGTACAAAAATAAAGAGGTATGTTTTCTGTTGTTCAGAAGAGTCGGAAGAGCATCTCTAGAAAGCATTATGTTTATAATGGGAAACATTATCCGTAAGATATTTGCAAATTCTTCTAAAACGTGTTTAAACACATTTGCAAATAAATTATGTTTATAAGGGTTAAGACTTGCGGATAATATTTGAAACAAAATATTAAACAAATTCTTCTAAGAAAATAAAAAAGTAGAACGTTACAAGTCTAATTTGTAATAAATTCATAAACTTCCGTAATGAGTCCCTTGTCTCGCTCAAACCGTGTGAAGCCTTTATTTGGAGCCTTGACCTCTCGTCTCTTGGACCTTCCAAAAGTCAACATACTCTCCATCGATCCAAGCACTCTTCTACCAGTGATTAGTATTTTTTTTTGTTCAAACATTTCTTTCATTAGATTAAACCTTGAAACTACAACAAGAGGGAATATGACATCCTCTTTTGATTAAAGCAAATAAACATGAGCATCTAGAAATTAAAGCATAGAGGTTCCTATCAAAGGAAGAAGACAACAGATCCAAAGCAAGGCTCAGATGCGTCGGTGGAACAAACATGGCAATGCCGAAGTTCGTAAATTTAGTTATTTTTAAAGATGACGTTGAAAACCAAGTTTCACCTCCGAAGAATCGTCGAGACGAAAACGGTTGCTTCTTCTGACTCCGTAGAAGGAGCTACATAGGAAAACAAGTCGGTGAAGAAATTGGATAACATACCTCGGAATGAACTCGAGGGAAGCAACTCCATACTTGATAGAGAGCTCGATGGAGGTAAGATTCTCTCCTCTAAGGAGGAAAATGGAATACGTGATCTCTCCCATAGGGAGGAAGTTCTCTCTGTTACGACAGAGGAAGGTTCACAAAGCCACACGCCTAAAGATGTATCCAATGATGGAGCTGGTGTGGTGATGAAAATTCTCGACGAAGCACCAGAACATGAGACAATACACGTCACCCGGACGGAACTGCTCGGAGGGTACGCCAAGGAAGGAAGCTTAGACTTCTGATAAGTCGCCGGAGATGATACCGGCGGGACTGAAAGTGGAGCACGCGGTGGAGCCAAACGATGGCAAAGTCTCGACGAAGCACCAAAGACAAAACACGTCACATGGACGGAGCTGCGAGGGTACGCCAAGGGAATAAGCTTAAACTTCTGATAAGTCGCCGGAAATGAAGCCGGCGGAACTGAAATTGAATCACGCAGTGGAGCCAAACGATGGCGGACTGAAAGAAATAGCTTCGAGAGAGAGCTCCCTCCGAAGAAACCATGCTTCAATCCCAAAATTTTACAACGCCGGACCAAGATGTCCAAATTTACGCAACCGGGAATCCAAGATCCCGATGTCCCTTCACCGGCGAGGAGTAGGACGAGAAGCTTCCATTGGCCAAAGCTTAAGGAGATGGTGGATAGGAACGATAGATCTGGGAGAGTGATGGAGATAAAGAAGGATGACAGCTGAGATGAGTGTGAAGGGTAAAGAACCAAGGGTCGAAGGCAAATCTGTAGATCCGGAGGTTTTGGTGGAGGTTTCGGCATCGCCGTAAAGATGCTCACTCTGAGTGAGAAGGGCTCAGCGTACTGCTCCGGTAAGTTGAAGAAGAGAGGCGAGAGATCCGTCCTCGAGAACTCTGCAAATCCCGTCAATTCTGTCACCGGAGAAGAAGCACAACCGAGAAGTAACAGGAACCAAAAGAGTCTCGCCGATGAAGAAAGCGCCGGCGGAAAGAGAGCCAAATTCATCGGACGCCAAAGCAGAGCCCGGGAAAGAGGAAGCCGCGCTCCAATTTCAGGAAAGGAACCGCCGGTGAAGGAAGTTCATTCCGAAATCGGAGCAGAGCAACAGTCGGAGAAGGAGGAGGCGGACTTGGGAAGCGTGCATGGGAGAAAAAATTAGGGCGAACTTGTGTTTTTTTTTTTTTTTACCAGTGATTAGTATAGAATGGCGATTTAGCGACTCAATTTCCATTGCAACTAAATCAGCAAGGAAAACTTGTTGCAAGAAATTATCTAATCATTTAAGAAACTAATGTAGAAAAACTATAATAGAACATATACCGACCATGAAAAAAAAGAAAGATTTAGCTAAAGTTTTCCAATATATTTAAAGATTTAGCTAAAGTTTTCCAATATATTCCTTTTAAAATAAAAATAAAATAAAATAAAAGCTGAATTAGAATTAAAAATACTTACTTTGTCAGGGAGGAAAGTCTCGTAGGTCGGGGGTGTCTGGAACATCACAACCAAAGGGACTTCTGCAGATGGCCTCTCTATGAAATTGTCAAACTTCTCAACCTCCTCTGGATACTTCAAGCTTGTATGAAAATGCTGGACCATCCGGTAGTGTAGTTTTCCTTGATTGCACATGCAGCGTTCATTCCATTGAGAATTCCTTTTATGTTTTGTTGAACAGTATTTATCAACTTGATCCGTGAGTAATCGTTCGTTGGAAAGCTCATGGCATGCCGTCCATCTTTCACCATCCAAGCATATAAGCCTTCAGTAAAAGTCCAAGTCCAACAATCTCCTTCAGTTTTCAAGAAAATAAAAAATTAAATTTAAAACAAACTCCCTTTTGTACCACATGGATTTCAGATCGGAAGAAGATAAAGCTAAGTCTCCGAGCTTGTCATTTACATCGGTTACTTGTTGCTTAATCATCAAATAATTTTTCATCATGTCATCGATTTCCTCCTCCATTTTCTGCGCATAAAAAAGAATAAAAAGTATAAAAAATAAATAATACAATGAGTACATAGTGAAAACCATAGAAACTCAACGAAATGATAATCCATAATCAAAGAGAAACGATCGATTAAATATGGCAATTTATCTTCATTAATTGTAATGAACTGTAATTTCTTGTAGCAAGTTTTCCGTCCAACTCCTGCTGATTTAGTTGCAATGGAAATTGAGTCACTAAATCGCCATTCTGTCAGTTTGGTAAAAAAAAAAAAAAAAAAATTGTAATGAACTGTACAGACTCTGATCAACAATTATTAATTGTTTCTATAAAAAAAACATGAACATGCACGGGCTGTGCACTACGACTATACATGAGATTTGTCTAAAATGTTCCCTGATCAACAAGCACATGTGTGCACTCCTCACTAGTAGTTGCAATACCAGTACCTGAATATCAAAATATTCTAAGTTACTATGGAAACTTCACGAACCCCTTGACTTGCATTAGGCAAGATATAGGATTTGACTAACCAATTGATAAAACTCGATCTTGTACCAAGCGATTGACCTTAAATCATTTCACAGCTAATCAAGGGTGTAAAACTCCAAATTCTTGACTAAACACTAACACAACCACACTTTTCTAGCAAAACTCAGATTTTTTTTTGGTATTTTTCTTACATTTAGCAGAAAAAAAAAGTAAAAGACTCACTAAACATGGCATCCCTAAGTTCACTCAGCAAAATAAAAATTTGGGTATTTCGAAGAAGAAAACATAGTTGGAACTTGGAAAGTTCTAAAACAAAGTGCAATAGATCGAATGTAATGGTGACTTTGTCGACTTTGACTGTTGACCTTGACTTCTATTGTTCCTTTTAGCCTTGTTTTAGGGTTCTTTAATAACTCCTCTTCAATATTTTTTTGTGCACCAATTAAAACATTGATTTAGACTTCAGATAAGGTATAAACTAATTTTTTTCGTTACTTAAATTTTAAAAATAAATTATTAAACAACATAATAAATATCAAAATGAATCCATAATAAGGTTTATATGTAGATATTTTTTGTTTCCATAACCAAATATACAAAAAAAGAATCACACAAAAAAAAAAAAAAACAGAGCTTAATCGCCATAACGTGAAGACATGGGAGACAAAACAGAGCTATGCCCTGGAGACAGAGAAGGGGACAAAGACTGATTTGTATCTTCCTCTACAAGAAATTGAATACTAATTGCTGGTTCAGGTAAAGGAGTAGAGAAACAACTAAACCAATGAAGAACTTTATCTAAACTCGGTCTTGTCTCTGCGTTTTCGTCGATACATAGCAAAGCAATGTGAATGTATCTCAAGATTTCTCTTATCGAATCTCCTCTTTCTTGTTCTCTCATCACTTCATGGATCACATTGATAGCTTCTCCTCTGTTCCAACATCCCATAACCTAAAAAAGAAGACACGAAATACACAATTAAGGAAACAGCTTAAAACCATAGACAATTTTGCTTTAACGTATAAACTCACATATATAATTAGAGGTTCTTCTTCGTAATCATAATCCCTTCTTCTGCTGATGATGGTCAAGATTGTAACTCCAAAGGCATAAACATCAGATTTGACCGAAAAACGCAAACTTCGAATGTAATATGGATCTAAAAATCCCCTATAAATTATCACAAAAGGTTTTGTGTAATCAGTTTCTCAACTATCTTCAAAAACATTTCCCCTAAAAGTAGGTTAATCACAAAACTTGACTCACAAGGTACCGGAAATTTCTGTTGATTCAGCTTCGTTTTCGCCTTCTTGCATCAGCCAATCCAAACCCTCCAATTTTCGGTTTAAAATCTGAATCCAAAAAGATATTTCTTGGACCAATGTCTCGGTGAACAACGCGTAAACCGGATTCTTCATGAAGGTAACGTAGTCCTTGAGCTACGCCTTGAATAACGTCTCGACACATCTCCCAATTTAGCTGAGATGCTCTATTCGGATCTGAAGCATGTTGCCACAAAGAGTAAGAGTTTGAAACTTGAAAAGATTGGATTTTAGAAAAGGTATTCAATTTGGCTAACCGAAGATAAACCGATGGAGGTTTAAGTTAGGCATGAACTCGTAAACAAGACAATATTGGTCTCGTTTAAAGCAGAAACCAAGAAGACTGATCAGATTCTTGTGCTTGAGCTTTGACAAGATCTCGACTTCATTACGAAACTCTCTCTCAGTTCTAACCGAACTTTGAGACAATATCTTGACTGCTATTTCTTGTCCATTTTGAAGCCTACCCTGAAATTAACTAACATGTTTTTCTTAAGATTCTACACTAAACCAAAATGTGAACACAGATCCAAACATGTCGAGGATTAATTCGTAAAGATAAAAGACACAAACCTTGTAAACAGAACAAAGCCCCCGGGCAATCCGATTTGAGAACTCATCTGTTGCTACTCTAATAGTATCATAGTCGAATTCGAAAACTGCAGAAATTATCAGAGATGAGTGAAAATACATCTAACTTCTGAGTTTTTTTTTCAGTCATAGAGAACTGAGAAAGAAACCGTATACTCACTGTTTATAAACTCAGTAGGCTTCTTCTTTCTCCGTCGGAAAACGGTATCAAGAAACGAAGTAACGGCCATGGAGAAGATGATGACGGTGTTTCTCTGAATTTTCTTAGCAATGGAAACTTATTAAAGGAGTCTTTTTTCTTCGATGGTTGACTTTGTCGATTTCGATGGAGTCCAATTAGTTGACCTTGACTTTGGGTTTTGGGGTCGTTAATGTTCTTCTTCTTTATTCTTTTTTTCTTTGGGTACTAAACTAGCTAGGTACATTGATCGAATTAGTAGACATATACTATTTTCTAAATATTAATTCCTTTTTATGTCAAATAAAGGAACGGTAAGATATTGTATTTCAGAATTATTTTGGGTTTTCAGATGTTAGAGGATACAAGACAAAATACATATTTATAAAACTAGTTACATCAATTTTTCCTCCAGGGAAAAGCAAAGTTGTGAGATTATAACTTTTTCAAGGTAAGTATTTAACCATATACAGGTTGTTTAGTTTGGAGGAAATTTTTTGGAGTGTCGAGTCTCGGGAGGTCCAATGAACAAATCAGTCACCACTTCCATTTCATTATCATCATCTATGTCCAATTCTTCTGATGTTGATGATGATGATGTTCTTGCTATTAATGTTCCTCCTCTTACCATCTCATACTTCATTCACAGATTTCTCGAATTAAAATCTCGTTTAATATAGAATTATATAACGTTATAAAGTCTGGAGAAGCCGTATGTTAATAATAATGTATACCTTCTCTGTCAGCATTTTATTTTCTGCAACGAGGTTCCTTTCCTAAAATATTGACAAGGAACAGAAATATATGGTTTCATTAATGGAATATATTAGTACCTGATCAATACATAATGAAAATGTTAGAGAATGAGCTTTACCTTTTCTTTTAACTTCTCAATTTCTTCACGTAACAATTGGTACTGAATTTAAGAAAGAATCAAAGTTAAATTAACTGTTGAAAAAAGGTAGTATATAAGATCTTTCATTAAACATAAAATATAATAAGGTCACCTTCCAAGGAGTATTGGAACCATTCATTTTTTCTCATGTATATACATCCAAGTGTGTGCGTGTATGAGTGTATATTTTATTAGGATGATCCCATGACTATATGTAATCTACTGTACAGTTTATATAATTAGCATACTAATTGAACTTAAATGACCTAAACCAACAACACATACTACTCGTAAATCTCGATGAAACAACAAGATATAAATTACCTTTTTGGCTCGTATTCTGCTTAAGCTTCGGTCCAATTGGTTCTCCAATTGTTGTAACTCTTCAACAGAAGATGCTTCAAGTCCTTCTCCCAGCAATTTCCTGCAAATATATTTATCTTATCACAGTCTTATATATAAATATTTTGGTAAGTAGATAAAATGTCGAATTTTAGATTCATCAATTGTAAGTATATCAAATTCAGAAACCGTGTCGAAATCTCCAAATTCTCGATCTTTCTCGCCAATCCGTAGGTTTCATCCTTCGACTGCTGTCAATAAAATTTGGTCATGTGAAAATAACATTAACATAATCGGTAGTAATCGTTTTTTTTCCTTGCATGCATATTCTTTTTTTTTTAAATGGTTTAGTTGAGTATAACAACAGAGTAATGACGACAAAATAAATTGTAATAGAGGGCGGATCTCGATATAGGAAAAACGATTTCATGATAAGTATATTTCCGCAAATGTATTTGTGTGTACATAAAGATTTTTTTTTTTTTACCAAATGCAAGAAAATGAAATAACGAGTAGTGATTAAAAACCCATGATTACACTAAAATCTAAGAGAAGTTTGTTTACCTGTGAGTTATCATTTTTCTTATGGTTAGCTCCGAGATCTTGTATACGCTTTTGATATCTTTCTACTGTTTTTGCTATACTGAAATTTTTAGAAATGAAATTAATAATTAAAAAAAAAAGCAATATTCAAAGCTAGTTTTCTCAATCTCAAACATTAGTTATAATCATAACATATTTCACCCCCAAACATATTCCAACAAACACAAATGTACTGTAAATATCATATTATTTTTAAGGAAACATAACCATTTTTTGTGTCAATCTTCTGCTGATGTTTGGGAATCATTGAGAAAAACCTCAATAACGAAAAACTGAAACCAAATGTTGAAAATAGAAGCAACATCTAGTCATGTGGATATTACCTAGTTAAGTAATTAAGAAACTGGCTAACATGTAAATATGTGGTTAATAACAAACCTACTTAATTGTGATTAAATCCCCTCTCGGCTTGCTTTAGAAATACTAAAATAAATTATCATTTCTTATATTGTCTAATAAACTGTACGTACATATAATTAAATAATCACATAATAGATTAATAGGAGGCTTACATAGTCTAATTTATAACTACAGCAAACAGAGAAAGCATAAAAAGAACCAACATATTCTGATCTAGACCACATGCTAATGACTCCTTCACTGTCATCACTGAGATAAAGGCCTTTGTAATTGTACTATGTGAGTGAAAAGTGTAGCAAATGCTTCTTTGTTGCCACATATATATTATCGATACATGCATCCTTATATACACAATCAAAATAGTAAATGTAGAATATTTTATTTTCTTTTCAAAATCATATCTTTGTTATATACTTAGAAAGAAACTTTAACACAAAACTAATAAATAAAATAAACGTTGGACACTACTTATTCAGCCCTAGAAAAAAGGTTTTTAGAAGTTTGTTTCGGCACGTTTATCTTCGGTTACCATTTGATACTTCGATCACAGAGTGTGGTCGGTCATATATATATATATATATATATATAACTGTTCAGAACCATACCTAGCTGTCTGATGTATAACTACGTAGTTATGTACAGTAAATGAGCTTAGAAAAAGGCATATATATATATGTGTGTGTACTATATGTTATATCGATGCTAATGCAAATAAGCTTACCATCACATCAGAATACTCATATCTCACCAGTGAACACCGTTAATTGATTCATATACAAAAATATAGCATATATGATATTAGTAAATATGAGTAGCTAGTCTAATCCCATATCTTTATAATTACTTAATTAGTAATAAAAAGCTTAGCATAGTGCATGTGCTCGAGTGTTTGTATAGACTATAGGTATATATGTGTGTGTGTCTGAGAGAAAGAGAGAGAGAAAGAGAGAGAGAGAGACGGTACTTTGTGTGTAAGTTCTCCAAACATTATGCAAATACACACAAGCACATATATATAGGGAGACACACCTCTAAAGAGGGAAATTGCTTTTTCCAAATCTGGTCAGTAGGAACTAACTGAAAATAGAGCCTATCTGACAGTTTTTAGCCTAATTTGAGTAAGAACACTGTGCTCAAAATTATAGTAATATAGAACTATATAGTTAAATTTCATTCAGTTTTGGCTCCTCTTTTACAGAATGGTTCCAAGGAAGACATTAATTTACCCATGTGCAAACCACGTTTTAATAGTACTGTATTGAATCCTGACTTTCTATTTCTGATCTCTGATTTTTTTTTCTCTAAGATTTAAAATCTTCGTTTTAGCAAACAAAAACCTTAACCAATACAATCAATACTACTAACCTCGAAAAAAAAGATGGAAAAGCTAATTATGAAATTTATGAAAAAAATGCATCAGATTGAAATATAGCAGATCTTAATATTCAGGGGTTATGCAGATGATTTACCTGGAGGAGCTAGAGAACTCGTAGAGTTTGCCTCTAGGAGAGAAGATAATTAGGGCAACTTCAGCGTCACAAAGGACTGATAATTCGAAAGCTTTCTTCAAAAGTCCATTTCTTCTCTTTGAGAAAGTCACTTGCCTGCTCGTTGCGTTCTCTATCCTCTTCATCTCCGTCTTTCCCCTCACCATTCTTTTACCCTAATTAACAATCAACAATTCAGTTTGATTTTGCCCTCTTGAGAATTTAAAGACAAATAATTGTTAATTTTAGTTGAGATAGAAGTACCCATGAAAGAAATTTTATGGGATCTAAACGGAATAAACAATATTGGATTTAATTGAGTAGACATATTTCTTTCTACATCATCAAGTTTTACTACTGGAACAACATACATGAAGAACAAGAACAGTTTCAACCTTCAACCATATATAGAAAATAGACAGATTTAAGAGAAATGAGAGAAAAAATAGTTACCCTCTTTGTTTTGGTGTATGCGTTTGATTGATTTGTGTCTCTAAGAGAGAGATGAAGGAGAGAGAGAGAGAGAGAGTCTCTCGGAAGAGTCGGCAGGAGAGAAATGAATTTTTTTTTTGGAAACCCTAAATATATGAATTCAGGAGCCAATAACAAAAAAAAATAAAGTAAGTAAGAATTCTTTTGTGCTTAAAACTGATACTTTATTATCTTTGAGGGGATGATGGTATTCTATCTTTTGCCATTTTTTCTCTATACCTATGAATCTATAATCCTAGACCAAAGTGCTTAACTAAAGTACATGATTATACATAGCTATAGAAACATCTTAAACAAGATATATCCCTTCTTCTTTTGGTAAAAATGTGATATAATAAGAGCAAAAAAAATTTGTGGAGAATAAATTCCAATGCCCTGTGGTTAATTTAATCATTATTTGAAAGTTTCTAAAAGTTTCACATATTTTATTGTCTATAATAGATTATCTAAAAGACGATAATCTGTTTGAAACTATACATTAAGAAACTTTTTAACAACAAATGTAGATATATTTAACAAAAAAAAACAAATATAAATATATCAAACGTTTAGTTTGTTATTAATTAAAGTTTGACAATTATATGCACACGCTCCAAGTGATAATAATTGTAGTTCAAGTGATTATAATACAACTAACTACGTGTGTATGTGTACGTTATCACTTACGTCACAGGTGCAAACCTTTACATCATTACCGTAATTAGAAGACAACGTGAATTTCTTCAATGCTAAACGGTTGTGATCACGACACGTGTAGTTTATTACCGACAACCTTCAGATCCGGTGTCCGTCAAAGTGTGTTAGGCAAATGCAATTGAAAACAGGCAGCAACCTTGTCGGTTGCCAGCTCCTCCCAGACAAGATTCTTCTTCACACTCGCCGTTTGATCTCCGTTAGTCCGTTACCAATATAACCATTTAGAAGAACCTCTTTTATTTATTTTTTGTAAAATATTTTTAGGAAAATGTTGTGTGATTTAAAAGGGTATACTACTTGTAATAAATCGCAGTGGTGGAAACCTATAGAGATCAAATTTGAAGGTAAAATTAATGCAGAAAATGAGCATAAACAAAATAATTTAAATGTTCAAATGGCATGAAGAAAATTATAATGATCTGTTACATTCACTTTGATGGTATGATATACGACGTTAATGTTTTGGATATGTCACCGTGCCTACCAAATTCGATTTTCAATAAAACCACTAAAGCATGGAAACAAACGACGTACACAAATTACAGTGGCTTATTTAAATGTAAGCGTTACATTTACTTTCTATTGCTGCGGATTTTACCATAATCTAACATCGTTTTTTTTTTCTAATTATTCTTTTGCTGATCTATACACCACATAGAAACAACGATCATGAATAAATAAGAGAGAAACCCTAGGATATAGGAGTATCGTATATATCAAGGGATTCTTGCACTTCTAACCCACAATTTGAAGTCAATGGCAAAAGTAACCTGCTGTTTTTTTCATTTTAGCTTTACCCAGTTTTTCCAGATAATAACGAAAATGCCATTACTTTTTCTCCGTGGTCTACGGCTGAGGTCTACGTTCGACCAGAAGACCAACAGAACCTCATCCTCTACACTTATTCACGAAACTGCCACTCTCATCAATGAACTCAACCACCATTTTCAACTAACTTCAAGCTTTTAATGCTTGATACTAGTAATTGTGATACTCCAAACATAATTGCACATCCCATACATCTAACACTATCATTTTCTCCACATTTTCATCCCAAAAACTCTCTAATTCTACTTTTCATATTTCAAGTTCTTGATTTTCTCAAAATCGGGTTTGTGGCTTTCCTCACCACCGCCGAACGGTTGTGAAGGCTTAAAGACAAAGTTTCATCCCTCGGCGGCCCTAAAGACGACGGCCAGGTTGTGGTTTACTCCATTTTCGTTTTTTCAGATCTGAGTCGATATCGTAGATCTCAGGGTTAGGTCTATAGGTCAACGCAGAGGTTAGTTTTGCAATTGACTAAGACAAATCTGTGGAGTTAGACCGCGTAGAGAGTTCTACATAATCCCTTTGAAAACAAAAAAAATATCGTAAACCTCAAGCAGAGGTCTATTTTGAAAACAGGTTAGTTTTGCAATTGACCAAGGGAGGGCTTTTTTTTTGAGGTCTACAGATGAGGTCTATTGGTCAAAGAGGTTAGTTTTGCAATTGACTGAAGTTCTGGTTTTTACCTTAGACCTCTTAATGTGGTCTATAACAACAAATTTTAAGCTGACGTCTACGTCAGAGGTCTACATAGGTTTTAGATCTCAGTCTTAGGTCTACCTTAAAAAGTTGGTCAACGCAAAATAATAGGAGGTCTACGATAGTGGTCTACAGGTGGAAAAAAATTTCAAACAATTGCAAAAGTAACCTGTCTGAGGTCTACAGATTTCGTAGACCTCCCCAGTAGACCGTATAATTTTCTAGACTACAGGTTGAGGTCTATTTTGTTCGTGAGGTCTACCCAAATTTTTTGGATGAATTGCAAAACTAACCTCTTTTTTTGTAGACCGCATTTGTAGATCTCAAAAAAGTCTTCCCTTGGTCAATTGCAAAACTAACCTTTTTTAGACCTCTTTAGTAGGTTTACGTCTAGATCTGGTTTGGAGGTCTACATTTTTTCCGTTTTTTAAAATCGATTTTCTGCGAAATTTATAATTGTTTTTGTTAATTTTTTTCATAAATACTTCTGTTAGCCTAATAACTTGTCCCTATGAGAGTTTTGCATGCTAATGTTATGTAATGAAGGTTGTATTAGATTTTTGGTTAAATTTGGTAACTTGGTTAAACTCTGTAGACCGCAGCCCAATGTGGAGGTCTAACGTTTCCGTCTACAGGCATCCATCAATATATATTAATGTGTTTTCCCTTTGGTTTTCATGCAGATCATGGTTTGTTTGGCATCCGTGTATGGAGTGTGAGACAGAAAATGGTATTTTGAGGTTGATAAAACGAGAGGAGGTAGAATGTTCTACCTGCAGGATGATTGTAAACATGAAGAGCTGGTTGAAATGGTTGTGAACGACTACATGTTGCAAGTTAATGGCGAGCTGCTGGAGTTGTCATATCCATTACCAGCTGCTATGATGGAGAAATTGCCAACGGATTCACCTCCTATGTATGTGACGAACGACAGACAAGTTGGGAGCTTGGTGGAGTTATGTAAGGAGCATGTGGTCCGTCTTTGCGTCTCGACCCGCGTTGGTATGGGAAGGAACTACAACGAACCAATACATGAGTGTGTCCAAGAAGAAAAGTCTGAAGAGGTGGATAAAGAAGACGTGGAAGAAGAATTCGGTGATGAAGGCTGGGATGATAACGAGTCTGATGATGTAAACTGGAATGACAAAGCATGGGATGTAAATTCAGAAGATGAATCTGATGATACTCATGACAATGATAGTGCTGATGATGTCGACAACCCCGACGATATCGATGCAGATTATAGTAAGTATGGCAAGGTGAAAGATGAGGAAGAGGGTGAAGAGAGTTTGTCTTTCCGTGAAAGGCTCCGTAGAGGTGTTTGGAATGGTGGAAATGGAGGGTTCACAGGCACTTGGTCTGACACTATTCTGGTAAATCACAGCTATGCCTCTAAAGAAGCCCTTCTTTCTGAGTTGCGACTGACGGCTGTGATGGCAAGATTCGCATTTAAAGTCTACAAGTCCACTACGGATTTGTTTGTGGCAAAATGTGTTGTCAATGGATGTGCATGGAAGTTGAGAGCAGCTGTGAAGAATGAACCGGATTGCTTCTGGGTTACCAAGTACGTAAAGGGTCACACTTGTTCAATTATGGACCGTGTAGCTCACCGTAGACGAGCTACTCCAAGATATATTGGACAATTGTTTGTGGAGCGGACTGGACTCATAGATGGAATTGTCCCTCGACAAATTGCAGATTCGATGAGGATCATGTTTGGCTGAATCTTACCTATACAACGTCATACCGGGCTCTCAAATTCGCTCAAGTATTTGTCAGGGGAACTCCAGAAGATGGATATGCTAACCTTCCTTCCTACCTTAGAAGACTGAAGCAAGCAAACCCTGGCACTATAACACACCTGCTCTGTGATGAAGAAGATCGCTTCAAGTACTGTTTTGTGGCGTTAGCGGCTTCAACAGCGGGATTTCAGTACTTGAAGAGGGTTATTGTGGTTGATGGAACACACCTTACTGGGAAATACGGAGGCACATTACTCGTGGCATGTGGACAAGATGCAAACTTTCAAGTATTTCCTCTAGCATATGGTGTTGTTGATGCGGAGACTAATGAGTCTTGGGGATGGTTTTTTGATAAATTACAGACTTGTTTCTCACCACATCCGATGGTCATTGTTTCAGACAGAGCATTGTCCATTGAAAATGCTTGTGTGAATGTGCTTCCATGGGTCACTAGAGGAATATGCTACTACCATCTTCAGCAAAATATTATCAAGACATATGGTGGTAAGGAGCTTATGTATCTGGTTAAAGGAGCTGCTTATGCCCACACTCTAGCTGAATATAATCGGTGCATGGACTCACTAAGAGCTGCGCACCCAGACCTCGCAGCATACATGGAGTTGGCCGACCCTAAGCTTTGGTCTAGAGTACATTTTCCCGGTGATAGGTACAACATCAAGACGAGCAACATTGCTGAATCTATCAACTCGGCTATTAAAAAGGCAAAGGGTTTTCCCATACCCTCTCTACTCCAGTTTATTAGAGAGATGTTAGGGCGGTGGTTCTACAAAAGGCGTGAAGATGCTTTAAATCTGCAGACACCATACAGCAAGGGAGTTGAGTATATACTGGCCATCCGTGAACATTACGCTCAGTCAATGGATGTTCAGCGGATAGATGCAACTAGTTTCCATGTTGCTTCTGGACGTTCGCACTATGTAGTTGATCTAGAACAGGGTAAATGTGAGTGTGGAGTGTTCCAAGTCGAGAAAATGCCCTGTACACATGTCCTTGCAGCGCTTGCCTCAGCTGGTGTGCACGTCTCACACCATACATGTGACACATACTCGCAGGAATGCTTGTATGCGACCTACGCCCATCCTATATATCCTGAGGAGGAAATTGACAACCACAAGAAGAAGAGCGAGCGGTGCCGACCTCCAAAACCGAAGGATGGGCCTGGTCGTAAGAAGAAATCAAGATGGCAGTCGTGGCTGGAAATTTCTAGGAAGTCTAAGAAGAAAGGCAAGAGTCGAAGGAAGAAGCCCAAAGTTTACAGCTGCTCCAAATGCAAGCAACCAGGACATACGCGCCCGTATTGTGTAAGCTTCGTGCGTCCCGCATTCCATTAGTTTTCATTACACAACCTCTGTAATTTGTTTGCTCTTCACTAGGTGTCCAAGCCTGCTGAGAAGTAAACTCGGCGGTCTACGAGCGGTCTTCCGGAGGTCTACGAGGCTTTCACGTAACTTCTCTGGAGGTCTACGAGGCTTTAACGGAAATTCAGTGGAGGTTTACGATGCCTACTAGACGTTATCTCGCGATCTGCTTATACATTCGTGGAGGTCTACGAGATGTTCTCTGGCGGTCTATTATTGCTTTCGTACTATTTGATCATTATTATTGTTTAATACTAAGTGATGATTTCCTTGTTCGAGACAAGCCCTAATACTAAAGACGGATTTCATTTCATTGCTTAATGCGAGTCCGAATAGATACATCCGAAATAGTATACAAAATAGTTATACAAAAGGTGAGATCAATGTTGTCAAGAGGGGCCTCAAAAAAATATAAACCCTCCCTTTCACCGTTAGTAGAGGGGCACAATAAAATTAACCCACCCTGAAGCCGTTACTAAAGTTAGATCAGCATCTCCCGTCGAAAGGATCAAGACCGTCCCAGTCACGGATCCTCGGTCCCTTGCAATCGGTCTCCTTGAAAATGTCACAAGCATACCTACTCCGAATTGCCTTGACGTTCTTGTTGCACAGTGAAGAGGCTGAAAAATCGTTTCCAGTTGCGTGACACTCGATGTATTTCAGACAGTAGACACCGCAATCCCCGGGACCCTTTTGCTCCGGCACACCAGCAACCCGTTCGTGAGTAAATTTATCGAACGGATAGTTGTCACGTTCTTCCACCAGTGCCATCTCGCGTAACATGTACGCCATCATCACAGCCACGGGTTCCACCTCCGTCGCCAGTTCTTCATCGTCCATACGGCAGGGATAACTATCCCAGATCGTGATGTGCCTCTTCGGTAAGGAGATGAATAGAGCAACCCAGTGGTTCTTCCCAATGTTAAACGGGAGATATAGGTCGTCAATGTCCCTGCACCATCGTTTATTCGTCTGGCAGAATTCTGGTTTCGTGCCTTGGAAGTAGTCAAGTGAGTCAGGTGGGAGGTACTTCCCAAGTCCAAAGACATTAGGCTCAGACTTCTTGAAATCGTCATACTTTGCCGTCCAAAACAGACTAAGACCACTATCGATGAGACAAAGCCTGTCACTTCTAAAGCTGTGCGGTTGTTCTTTCATTCTGAGCCGCAGCAGATTGATGACCGCGTCCATGTGCTGATGAAAAGAAAAAGATTGAATATTGCATTACAATTACACTAAACCTCAATATGCGGTCTACAAAAGAGAATTATGACAGAGGTCTACTCATGCGGTCTAAACATAGACCTCTCTAAATGGTGTACTAATGCTTACCGAGTCCGATAGCCATTGCGGCTGCGTAATGAGTTCCCACCACCAATACCACACGGGAAACTTATCCTTGTCAAGCTTTGGATACCCACTAAAGCAAAAGTGTGTAATTAGTATACTAATCACAATAATCGGAATTATAAAGAAGTTTTCCAGAGGGTTACTTACGCTGTAGACTTCAGGAACGCCGTTAGTTCCTTCCGAACATTCTTGTCTTCGGGCAGATACGGATTGTAGACCGCTAAGCGCTGCTTCTTGTTACGTATGAGCTCCTTAACCGTAACGTTTCCCACGAACGGAGACTTTTGAGATGGGGCCAGTTTCCTTTCCCTCTGATCCTTAGCCCTGATACTCATTAGTTTCGCGTTGAACTTTCGCTGATTCTTCCTGATGTCTGCTAGGCATTCTTCTTTGCTTGGCACATAGGTCTTAACATATGCGACGCTGCTGTCGTCCCGGTTAGCACTGTTTGATGGACCGGCGTTTTGGTTCTGCATTTGAGGACAATTTGAGTTTGAAAAACAATTCAGACCACAACAAATAGGCACAAACACTCTCGGAACATTTATTGTAAGTCAAGTAAACAGGTTCATTAAAATTACACACATGATTTGCAAGGAAAGAAAAACGTGACAAGTTTGTGTTTATAGATTGAAAAAAACAACGGATTGGGCTCTACTTGGTCTTCAATTTTCTAGGTCGAAGGACCCTATCCTGGTCAGGCTTAAGTTGCACTTTACGCTTAACTTGCACTTTACGCTTATCTTGCACTTTAGAAGAGTTGGGAGATTTGGGAGAGGGATCAGTACTAACCGGTTGAGCAGTTTTAGCTTCTTTGGCGCCGGTCACATCTTCTTTGGCGCCGGTCTCATCTTCTTTGGCGCCGGTTTCATCTTTTTTGGGAGAGGGATCGTCGGATCTACGCTGCTCCTGAAGCCTTACATCCATCAGCTGCTTCACACTACGCTCCAGACCAGCAACTGTCGAGGTAAGTGCAGCTAGTTGCCGGTCATACTCTGGAACCCTGCCTTCAGATCAGCAGACAAGGTCCGGGTGCAGTCAGAAATCAACCTCTGCATCGTCTCCTCGATATCATCATAGTTCGATGGAGGAGTAGGACGAGGTCTCTTCTTCGAATCTGTGAAACTAGCCTCCACTTTTATTGGAGGCTTCACGTCCACTCGCGGGTGATTGGAGACCAAGACACCTTCCTCGTCCCAGTCGCTTGGCTTCCACCTCCACCGACCACCTAACTCCCCGTAGATTGCCTTGATGATGTTGTCGACGTACAAATCTTCTACATCATCATCCCAGCGTGGATAAACTTCTTCCCTATCGACTAGCTCACAGTTTTTAAAAACAACCTGCAAAAACAAAACAAAATGAGTCCAGGTCTATCTACTAACTACTACTTGCCAGCAAGTTACTCGATTCTCAGATTTATGTTTACCTGCTTCAGCATTGCCTCCGCGATGTACCTTTTGCCTTGAATACCCTTGTACGCAAGGAGCGGTGGTGATGGTTTAGATGGCAGAGGAGCACCGTATTTCTCTGCAAAATTCGGCATGCTCTCAAAAGCCCAAATTTGGAGAACCTCGATGAAACCCTCCAGCACATAACCCGACTTCTCCAAATCCACTCCTTTAATGGACTTGATGAGCTGCAAGAAACAAACTCGGCCCCACGGGTATTCCTCAAACTTCTCCAAATCCAACACAAGCCTAGCTAGCTTGACAGGTGTCTCGGCAGCGGATCTACGGGCTTGAATGAAGCCTGCGTATATGGCTAGGTAGCCCAATCTAAGCTTATCCTCCCTTGGCCACTCGCCTGCCCACTCACAAGCTTCAGCCAGCTGGTCAATGCTAGGCCCTACCTCGACGTTGACACCCAACCTCTCCCAGAACTCGCACACGGCATCCGTTGCTGGAGCATCAGGTGTCTCTAGGTTCTCAACATACTCGCAGTTGAGGCCGGTGATGGCTGAGAACTCGTGCAATGAGAATCTTATCGGATTTGCCCCCACAGCGCTCCATATCTCATACTTCTTCTTGCATACAACCTGGAAACAGAGCATGGCATGCGCAATCCGTGAAGCCCACTCGAATTGAAGGTCACGGAACTTTAGGAAGATACCAATCCTGGAGTCACTGATTTCATTCCATTCGTCGTCGGTGAGGAGCTTTCGGAGACTATCAAGAGCTTGGTGTTCTTGCTACACCTGGAAATGCTTTTCCCTGCGTCCGGATCGCCTCCTTTGGTGTAGAATCTCCTGGGGAATGTCGGCTTTGACATCCTACAAAAAGAGTAGAAGCTATTAAGTCCAATCAGTTGAGGTCTACCAAGGAGGTCTAAGCTCGAGGTCTACATTTACTTATCAACTACAGTCTAAGTATGATGGCTATGACTGAGGGCTATCACTGAGGGCTACGACAGCGGTCTACAATACAACATTAAAAAACGGTTTTAAGATACCTGTTGTTCGCGAAATCCCAACGCCTAACGCCAACGAAGATCTGGAAACCTGATACAGTTTTTTAAACAGAAGGAGTATTACCATATCGAGTTTCGTAATAATAGCAATTTTTCAATCAAAATTACCCGTGAAATCAATGTCGGAAACGAGACTTACGGGGTGAAGTATTAAGGATTAGACCGCGGCGGAGTAAGGAGTAAGGATTACGGATTAAACCACCACATGCAAAGGCCAAAGAACTCTCAGTGGGAAATAAACTTAAAGTAGTTAGAATTTCACTAGAATGAAGAACTTACCGGCGGCAGCGGGTTCTGTAAGCGGCGGAGACAGCGGGTTGTGTAATCGGCGGAGACAGCGGGTTGTGTAATCGGCGGAGACGGCGGTTGTGTATTCGGCGGAGACAACGAAATCGCCTCTAGCGGAGAGCGAAAGGTCAGACACAGATTAGGGTTACGAATGAGGCTTACCACAGCGGTTTTCCGTATATATATGTCGGTTAAATGGTTTAACTTGGTTTTCTTCGGTTCGAATTAACTGAATCGGTTTAACTATACTCGACTAATTTTTCCATTCGATTTGGGTTTATCTTTTCTGATTTCTTAGTGTTTACGGTTAAATTACGGTTTCCTCTTTTCATATAACTTTATTCCCAACTTTATAGTCCTAACGGTTAAATTAGTGTTTAGAGGTCTCAATCACAGTGTATACGTTTGAGGTCTACGTTTGAGGTCTACGTCTGAGGTTTACGTATGAGGTCTATTTGGAGTTCTACGTAAGAGGTCTCTGATTAGGAATACGATGATTTGCAATACGCACAACCAAATTAAGTGTTTCAACCCGAATAGCTACATTCATCAACCAAACACAACATAGCTACATTCAACAACCAAACACAAAGTAGCTAATGAGACAGACAAGCACGGCAATTACAGTAACCGCCGTCGTCACCTCGACTCTTCTTAAACGCTTCATCTTCAGAACTTGGTTCTTCACATCAGTTAACTCTGCCTCAGTCCGAAGCAAGGTTTCGCGTTCTTCAGATTCAGGTTGGCGAAAGCCAAAACGAGGGTTGTCGACGGCCCATTTGAGTTGTAGAAACTCCTCCATCATAGCCTCGTCCCACCATTTCATAAGATGTGGGAAACCAAGCTACAATGATGAAAAAAACGAATCTCTTCAATATTTTTGGTAAAACAAAGCCACATAAGATGTCGAAAACTATTTACAGTTAACATTACCTTATAATTCTTGCATCCAAAAAACATCCGCCCTGGATGCTCGTCCGTATGGTCCATCATTTTCAGCGGAGTTAACAAACCGCAGTAGCATCTGCTCGGTATTCCATAGCTTATATCTCGACTGGTATGAGAACTCACATCTTCTTCGTCCTTACTGACTACCCTAGCAGAGCTTCGAGTAGCCAGCTGGTCAGAGCTACTCGAACCCTCCGTTAACCAGCTAAAGCGCCCCATTCCTGTGTACGATGAGAAGATATCAGTTATTTTAAAAAACAGTAATTATTCAATGACCAGATCTCACCCACAAAATGAAATAGAAGCAAACCTAACCAATACGATCGCCGGAACACTTGATACTGTCGACGGCGGCAAAGAAGACGGATGAGAACAGCGGCCGGAGGATGAGCGGCGGAAGGATGAGCGGCGGAAGCCAAATAATTTATTTCTAGAAAATTAAAATTAGGGTTTACATCTCTATTTATACACCCGAGGGAGCTGCGGTCTAGTACTGCGGTCTAAGATATTTGAAATTTTGGTTCGCGCTCATAATTCCCGCTCGGTTCTTTTAAAAATTTTGAAATTCCCGCATTTGTTTGTTTTCGCGGTCTACAACTGAGGTCTACATAACCCTAAACCACAAATTTTATAAAAAACATGAACCAAATATCAAATTTTGTTTGCCATTTACAATATTTATGGTTTGGATAACAAAACAATTAAATATAGACAAAAAAACCAACCAAAAACAAAAATACAAATTGAAACTATCTAAACCCTAAGAATTGGACAACTAAACCCTAAACTATCTATCCAAACTCTTATCAATTTGAAACATTTACTCATGACATTTATAGACTGATTCATTTTTCGTATAATTTATTTTCAATAGATGTCAAATGTATAAGAATTAATTATGCATACAAGTTTTTTATCAAATTATTTTTTATCAATTTTAAAAATTATTTTTAAGATTTCATTTTCCTGTAGACCTCGTTGTTAGACCTCTCACGGTTTTGCAAGTTTCTAACCTAATTTGTTTTTGTCAACCTAAATTCACTTATTAACATGTATGTTTATTTTATATGGACTCTAATTGTCTTTGTCTTGTTTATGAATACAAATTTTTCATCTAAATATTTTCTATTTATTTTATAAATTAAAAGTTTCATTTAATTAAACCGTAGACCTCATCCGTAGACCTCTTACGTTTTTACAGCTTTCCAAACTAATTTGCCTATGTTAGTTTAATTTGACTCATTTGTATGCAATTATAATTTTCCAAGATGCAAATTACTATTTATGATTTATGTATGCAAATGGTTTCATCAAAATATTTTTTTTGTTTTTCCCAATTAAAATATAAAATTAAAATACAAGGTAGACCGACTATAAAAGTCTATATGTAGACAGCAAGCGTAGACCTACGCTCCGGGTTAATTTGGTAATCGCGGCAAATTTTTTTTGTTTGTTCATGAGGGTGACCTTTGTAATTTCGCTACCCAAACAGGTTAGTTTTGCAATACTTTCAAGTTTCGGGTTATGGTTATAGAAAAAAGCAAATTTCGGGTTATATGTGGAAATTCTCCCGTATATCAATCATCGTCATGTTAGGTCGTTGAGTCTTCACAGTGTGTCGAAGATATTATGATTTTATAGCTCAACAAGATATAGATGAAAAAGAAATGGTGGAAAGAAAACTCATTTCAACAATGATTTTTGAATTACCATCATATTTTTTTTCTTTCTATTGTTAGGTGACCCTCTTTTTACGGTATAGAACACAACTTAATTGTTTTTACTTATATGTTTTGTTGCACAACTTGTATACCAAATTATGTACATTATGCAAAAAATGCACTCTTTTATTCCATCTTACAAAGAACGAACATAAATTCGTATGATGATTTCCGTACGAATTCACATGGCTACTCTTTTCTCTCTTTTATTTTTCTTTGCACTCATGCCCACTCCTCTTAATTAGTTTTGGTGCCTTTCTTAACGCACTGCCTCATGTTTACTTTATTCTTTTTCCCTTTTGCCCATTTTGATTTTTGTATAGTCTAAGTATTGTTCTACTAGCATTTAGCAGGTGCTTAGCCACTATTGGATGCTTTAATTGTTTAACTAATCAGCATTTATTCTGATTCATCTTTTAAAAATCTCGGTACAGGTGTTGCACGCTGGGAGGACCACAAGCTTTTACCCACAATGTTTATTCAATTGTTCTTTAGTCGCAAAATTATTTGGAGATTAGTCTGTTTTCAGGATAATGCATTTTTGCTTACTTGCAAACAGAAGGATTCAAATCTTTACTGGCTTTGTTTTCTTATGTGAACATATGCCAAATTTAAGTCGTAAAGTTAGACAAACTCGTTGTTGTTCTTATATGAAATATTAGTTTTGTTCAATAATAAGCCTTTTACTATATCAACGAAGTTTAATAGTCTAGTGTTAATTTTTCTATATCATCTAGTCAGCAAAGCTTGATTTCGAACCTCGTTTTGTGTGGGAGGTTAGAAAAATGTGGCTTTGGACCACCATGGCAGATGTAAATCTTATTTAAAAACTAAAAAAAAGCAATGGTCCAAAATAAAAAACTATCACGGTTATTCAAAAATATATATTTAAAAATATGATTTAGATATATGAGCACATGCATGTCCTTTATTTTTGTTGTTGTTACTTGTTATTATGATATAAAGAATGTTTTGATTGGTAATAAAAAAGTTGTGGATATGGAACTTAATTTGTTTTTGTCGTTAAAGTTGTGGAATCCTACAAAGAACGAACATAAATTAAAATTTATAGTTGTGTAATTGACAATTACTAATTGCCTAATTGGTAAGAAAAGCCGCATAGTAATTTCGTCCTTAAGCATGTTAGAAATCACAACCTAAAATACCACGCGTGTAAAAAGAAATGCATTGATTAAAGATCATACAGTTTCCCAAATGTGTTTATAAAGATAGGATAAATCACATATTCCTTATGGATCACCAAAAACTCACAGTGTGTGATATGCATCATTTAAGGGAGATTTTATTACTTTTTTCGAAAGTTATCATGTTGCCTTTGTCACAATGTCACTATTATAGAACAATGAGATATATATATGAGAAAAATAGATATTGATCATCTATAGACCTGGTTGTATAATAATTGGGTGTCAAATGGGGCTTTTCACTATTAAATTTCGGCCCATGTGATAGCCTAACGTAAAAATAACTCTATAACAGGCGCGCAAACGCCCAGTGTAACACTGCGGTTTTGTAAAGAAAATATAAATTCTAAAATTGATTTCGATCCAAAAACCTAATCAAAAATTTTAAAACCCAAATCTTTTTAATATGTCTAAACCCGGAAAACCGAAATCCAAAAAATCTCGAAAACTCTGAATCGAATAAAAAAAACTCGAAAGTTTTTCACCCGAAACCCGTGAAAAACTCTAAAAAAAAAATGCCCAAACTTTTTTAATATGTCTAAACCCGAAAATCTGAAATCTGAAAAACCCTGAACTAAACCCTAAAAAACTCGAACCCAAACCAATCAGAAATTTTCAAAACAAAAACCCCGAAAATCCACAATTTGATTTAAATTAGACCTATTTCTACTTTACTATTGAAAATTTTCAAATATCATTTGATCATGTTCTATTGATTTGGTATCAGATTTTTTAAGAGTTTGTAAATGTAAGTTTTCTAAACCATCGGTTTGTTTTAAGTTATTATTTTTGTATCCAAACAATTTTTTTTCTATTTATTCTTCTATCCAAATGGATTTTTCTCTTATTTTTGTATCCTAGCATTGTTGGGTGATTTTCTTGTGGTCAACATATCGATTAGAATTATTTTTGAAGCCAAATGAAAAACATTTACATTCATATACAGTGGTGAATGCACTCTTAAGGTGCCAGTTGACACCCTTTAAATATTACTATAATTTATCTAAATGTTCAAGAAATATTATAAATATTACTAATTTTTTTCGGTAAAATTTGATTATTGAATCCATAAAATCTGGGTTCAAGTCTCACATTGACATTTTAAATATATTTTTTCTCTTTAAATTAATATTTTCACCCTAAGTGAAATGATTCCTAGAATTGCCACTGTTCATATAACTTGTTTGCTACACTAAAAATACACGTTTTCAATGGAATCTGATCAAGTTTAGCTGATAATCACTCTACTAACCACTCTATTTGTTGAATTGGTTTAAGTTCGTTACTGTTTGTTGATGTTTCTTTTAACTTTTGTATCATTTTCAGGTTTCTTGTTCGACTTGATTTAAGAATTCATGATAGACAAAGATATCAACAATTGAAAGATCAAATAACAATTGAAAGATTATTTGATTGAGCATATATGATAAAATTTGGAGATATTCAAAATTTCGATTGAGTTTTTGTTCTGTTTATGATTTCGAAAGATATATGTTTAAAATGTTTGTTTGTGAAGTATGTTTCAAATTTCAATTTATGCAATGTATTTTATGTTTTGTTAATATATAAAATTAAAAATTACAATTTTTTTTTCATCTTTAAGCACCCCAACTAAGAATCTCCCATTGGAGCATAAAAAAACATAAAATTCTTATATGGGTGCTAACATATATACTTCTAACAATAAACAAAAAATATAAGCACCTCCCTAAGCATTCCCCAATGTACGGGCTCTAACATGGACTCCATGCTTAGCAAATACTTTCGTGGTGAATTTACCTTTCAACTCACAATATCTGACTACGCGCGTACCATTTTTAGAACGGACCACATTGGCAATATTACTTTTGTCATTCAGCCTGATTTAAAATCAAGCCAAATCTTCTACTCCAGCAGGGATATACACGTGAATGATATCTCCAAAGCCTTTGTATGTGCTCTTTTACATCTTCGATAATCTCTTTTGCAGTCAGAGATTTTGAAAAACATGTGACGCAAAATGATTCATACTTGTCTAACAAAATTCAACTTGATTAAATAACAGTTCTCATAATTTTTTTCGGTAAAATTAGATTATTGAACCCATAAAATCTGGGTTCAAGTCTCACACCAAGTGAAATGATTCCTAGATTTGCCACTGTTCATATAACTTGTTTACTACACCAAAAATGCACGTTTTCAATGGAATCTGTTCAAGTTTAGCTGATAATCACTCTACTAACCACTCTATTTGTTGAATTGGTTTAAGTTCGTTACTGTTTGCTGATGTTTCTTTAACTTTTGTATCATTTTCAGGTTTCTTGTTCCAGTTGACTTAATGTTAGCAGCTGAAATGTCATTCTTTTTCGTCAAAAACAGTTTTAAGTTTTAAGCTATCCTAAAAGGTATTTTCATCAAAATCAGATTTAAGTTTGATTTTTTTTTTTTTTTGGGGGTCAAATGAAACTCATTTACATTCATATAACATGGTTATATGTTAGTATGATTATACAAAAAATAAACGTAATGTACTACTAAATTCATTCCTAAATGTATGTATACTGATTAAACAAAAAACAAATATACCATGGTTATACCTACTTTTAATGAAATATACCCGTTGGAGATTTTGTTGTTGTCAACAGTATCATAAAGACTTTTTTTTAACACTGATTGACTAATTTAGTATTCCCTCCGTTCCTTATTATTTGATGTGTTGTAGTTTTTATATAGATTAAGAAACAATGTTCAATGTATTACCTTTTATTTTAAATAACTATTAGCCAATAACATTCATGGAATTGTCTTGAAGTTTACATTTTGGTTGCATTAATTAACTAAAAGTACATTTAATAATCTTAAACATCAAGTAATAAGGAATAAATAAAAAAAGCGAAAACATCAAATAATAAAGAACAAAGGGAGTATAAATTATGAGAACTGTTATAAAATAACAAATGATTTTTCCAATTTTAAAGGGTTCACTACTGACTGCTCCACGTACATATGTAGCCTCTTGTAAGCTTGCCTCTATTAATCTGTACAAATTATTAGTAAATTGGGACTGGAAACCTAAACCTTTTGCTGTATAAGCATTAATTCTCTTAATTAATCGTTAGGTTAAGGCTTCAACAGACATTAATTAGAAATAAAAATTATTCAAGGATTTAAATTTAATTATGGTTCACACCAAAAATATTTGATTATGTCTTTATAAAGAAATGACGGTGTACATGATAAGAATTTTAAATTGACCTTACCCCGAGAAGATACGCCTTAAAGATACCGGTTTATGAAAATGGTTTATCTTAACCGTAATGGTCTAAGCTTATTCTTGCTCATAAATTAAATACCATAACAAAATGGGAACAGCCTGGTTTGGTAATGTTCTCAATAGTCAATACATAAATTTCTTACTAAATTGCTAAACAATAGCAGCAATTTGATCATACCGGATTTTGGTTTGGTACGTATCGGTTTGGTTGTGATCCACTTCAATATCACTTGAATATAAATTAAAATTCCTCATGCTCGCTCACTGGCTCGTTCGATTTGGGATCAGAAAAAGAAAATTTCTTTCGGAAATTTCAATAAATTTTGTCTTCTCTGCTTCTTCGATCGATAATTTGACTTTTTTTCCGTTTGCTCGAATTCGAAATTTGATCTCTTTGGTTGGATCATCAAATGGCGACCGCTTCATCTTCTCCACCACCTCCTTCTTCAGACTCTCCAAGCGAGGAAACGCAGACTAATCAAGAGGCGATGAAGCAAGATGTGCTCAATGAAACTACAGAGGAGGTCACATACAAGACGAAATCGATTCAGTTCCTTGGACGAAACACGCCAATCATTCTCCAGAACGAAAATGGACCTTGCCCTCTTTTAGCCATTTGTACGTTCTTCTTCCTCAATTTTTCTCCTTCTCCATTTTCGTACCACTTTAGGGTTGATAAACTCAATTCAGAGCATAGAATAGGGTTTGAAAAGTGGAATTTGGGTGTTCATATCATGAATTGATTAGATTTCCGTTACTGATTTTCTGAAATCGTAAAGCTAAATTATGAATCGGTTTTAGGTTTTGGTGGTTTGGTATAATGTGACACCAATAGTGAATGTCTTACTGTGTTTTCTCTGGTAATTGATTTGATCCTTATGTGAATCGATCATCAGATTTTGTTGCTAGCTTCTCGTAGAATTAACACTAAAAGTATATTCGTACTTTAACGTCTTGAGGTTATAATTTTTTCCTGCATTTTGGGATGTAACAGGCAATGTTCTTCTGTTGAGAAACAACTTGAAGCTAAATCCTGACGCTTATGAGGTTTCGCAAGAGAGATTGTTGTCCCTTGTGGTCGACAGACTGATTGATTCCAATAGTAAAGTCAATGTAAATTAAGCTTAGCTTCTTTCTTATTACTCGTTTCTTTATTTCGTTTGGTGGCCTGACCCTTTGTGGTTAACCTTCGTTTTTTTGTTTTGTTTGTCATGGCAGAACAAAGAAGAAGGGTATATTGAGAATCAGCAACAGAACATTGCTGATGCAATTGATCTTCTTCCACGCCTGACGACTGGAATCGATGTCAATATTAAATACAGGAGGTTAATACTTTTGTGATCTGTTTATGGTTCTACTATTTACAAATTCTTATTCATAGCCATGAGTTGTTGTTACTTGGTTGCAGGATTGATGATTTTGAGTTCACACCTGAGTGTGCTATATTTGATTTGCTTGACATTCCCTTGTATCATGGATGGATAGTTGATCCTCAGGTACTTCATTTTGTTCCATACTTCGTATAGGCCGTTGACGTATTTTCATTGTTTTCTTGTCTTTTGTGATTTTGTGTGTGGATGTTTGGGATGTGGGGTCATCTTTTTCCTTCTTATGATACAAAACATAGGCTACTTTATTCTTTATATCCATTGTTTGGCTCGTTATGAATAGGAACAGTGTTCAAGAGCACTTTCTCTTTAGATTGTGTCTTTATCTATCTTGGCTCTGTAGTAAAAGACTTTGATTCCATCGCTTTCCCTTTGCATTACCTCCAGGATGTTGAAGCAGCTAATGCAATTGGAAGCAAGTCATATAACGCATTAATGGGTGAGCTCGTTGCACTGGAGACGCAGACTGTAGAGGCTCAAGGTCAAGGGGATCAAAATCCCGGAGAAGATTCTGTTGATTTTGCTGCGGCAACCACTGCAGCTTTAGGGGTTCCTTCACCATCTCTCACGAAAACAAGATCTTTTGATGATTCTCCACCTGCCGCAGTAGAGCACCGTAAACTGAGAAAGGGAGATCTTGAAGAAGAAACAGAGTTATTGCAAGCCTTGCAATTATCACAAGGGCAGGGGGATGATTCTGCACCAAACACTCACGGAGACTCAACTAATCTTGATTCTACATTCACCTTTTCAGATCCTAATCAAACTAGTCCCCGTGCTGACAATATCAATCACAGTCACCTGGAACAGTTTAAAAGTGACAATGATAAAGCTGAAGCATTAGAAAATGACGAAGTTGGGGAATTCCCGACATCGGTTACAGTTAAAAATGGGGATCTTGACCATGATCAGTTATCTTCTAAGGAATCTGGACAAGAGACGGGACATGATGTAACTTCTTTTGAGTCTCTTTCAATGGAGAAGACTAATCTGGAGTCAACCAAAGTTGAATGCACTTCTGAGAGTCTACCGAAGTCTGATGCAAATTCTGTTAATCCAGGTAGTTTTTATTCATCCTTGGATGGAGTAACCTCATTAGTGTCTTTTTACATTATTAATCTACTCCTCATTTGATATTGTTTTACTGGCTAAAATTACATCTGAAGATGATCTTGGAGATGAATTCTTACTAAAAATGCCCACTTCATCTCCAGATTTTAGCTTTAGATTCCAGAATGACGATGCACCCGATGCTCTCACGTCACCCTTATCTACTGACGAACCCATGTATGAAGGTGAGGAATGTGTAAACGCAGTGGCTCCAGTTTCTGCAGACAAAGAGCCTGTTTATGAAGGCGAGTCACTTCTTGGTAAGAAGAGTGTTGCTGATTGTTCTTCTGAAGGAAAGCCTACAGATGGACTCACAGCAGAAGAAGGTAAATTATATTCACTATCTGATCTACTTGGGATGTGCTTGTTATTGTGATTCACATGTTCCCATATATTCTTGAGATATTAATTCATGATTGTTGAGTTTTGTCAGGTGAACTAATCAGGAATTTCATGAAGAATAGTGCCAGTCAATTGACATTTTGTGGGTGCGTAATGTTTGTTATTCATGGTTGGGAAGTTATATTCTCTTATTTGAATACATTGGTTTATCTTACATTTATTATTTTGATCATATCTTACAGACTATTTCGCTTGCAAGAAGGCCTCAAAGAACGTGAACTCTGTGTTTTTTTCCGCAACAATCATTTCTGCACCATGTTCAAGGTAAGTTTAATCTTCAGGGTATTTCCATCTGTTCGATTCTTAACAGGTTAATAATTCCAATTATACTTATTTGTTGCCGTCATTTTTGCAGTATGAAGGTGAACTTTATCTCTTGGCTACAGATCAAGGTTACCTGAATCAGCCTGATTTGGTTTGGGAAAAGCTAAACGAGGTATTACTCATCATCTGTTTTAGCTGCTTACTTTGGTCTCTCTATATCATTATAACCAGAGTCTCTTTCGTGCTATTGGTTTCAGGTTAATGGTGACACAGCGTTCATGACTAGCACCTTCAAGGACTTCAAGATTGACAGCAACACGACAGGCGCTAGTGGCACGTGGGATGAACAAAACGCAGTCACAAATACTGCTGTATGTTCTGTTCTCTCCTCAAAACATAGTCACAATATCTCTTTCTTTTAACATCTGAACTTTTTTTCTTACCTTTCGTTTTTCCTAACAGGATTATCTTGCCAGCATCAACAGTGTCCAGGACACAGGCATAGATGTCAAGTAAATATCTCTTACCTTTCTCTTTTTACCAATCTTTACTGAAACCCAATCCCACCAAACCCCATTCTCACCAGCAAAACACATTTTGTCTTCATATTTTTATGAATTCTCTTACAATGCAGCTCTGATCTACAACTGGCGATAGCTTTGCAACAACAAGAGTTCGAGGACCAGAGCCCACGCAGTAACCCAACTCCACAACCAACGGGTGTTGCTGCGTCTCGACTCATCACTGGTCCACAGGTATCTGATTCATACTCATAACACTATAATTAGATTAGAAAACAAATACACAGTAATCTACAGAAGTTGGAGCTAAACACAAATGCCATATAACTATGATTTGTTTAGTACGTATTTTTTGTGACATCGATAATGATGATTAGTCATTACCATAATCAGAATCTTACTGAAAAGTGTAGCCTTTGCTTCTTTGGTGTTTCTATGAATGCTAATTATGAGATGATATTGTGATTAATCGTTGAAGGTACCAAGGAGCAGCAACAGGCCATCATCAGCTGCTTCGTCTGCGTCTTCAAGACAAGAAGGCAAATCCCCTAAAGATAGCAAATGTAGAATCATGTAAATCCTTTTACGCCAATTCTGTAAATTCCCAACCTTTTTTTTTTCCTAACTAATTATTTTCCTTTTAAGAGCTTTTTTAGTTTATCTGACTTTTTAACCCAAAAAGAAAACTTTAATAAACTGTAATTGCGCTTTGCTTAAGAATTTATTATTTTTGTTGCTCGCAAATCAGAGCTTTTTCTTTTTGATCCTTTTGAGTTATTGTGACCAAATAATTGTTTGAATACGCTTTGTTCTTTGGCTTTCGTTCTGTTAACTGAGAATGCCATCCTTAGTTAATCGTAGTATCGTACAGTTTAACAAATCTGACTAATTAAAACAATCAATCTAGAAACAAAATTGCCATAGGGGTTATATTATTTTTCCTCTATTCAATGTACAAATTTGTTAGGTAATCAATGATATGCTATGACCGAGACTGATAATTTGAATTTACAACTTTGAATTTGAGAGTTGTTGAAAAAGAGCTGTTGAAAATTACAGTTCTAGTTAAGGAAAAATTCAACGATGAAATTTCTTCCCCAAGCTTACATTCAATTCAAAATGTACTTGTCTTTGATTTCGACTACACAATTTGTACTTCTTTATAAGGTCAACTTTTGTTATATTCTTTCTGTAAGACAGTGATATGCTACGACCACGACTGAATTCACTATATAAATTATCTATAGAGAGCTGTTGAAAATTACGGTTCATAGTTAAGGAAGATTTCAACAATGAAAATGTCTTGCCATTAAAGAAAACTTCAAAGATGTATTAATTTAATTACCCTCCTATGTGATTTAGGGTGTATTGAACTAAGGATTTAGAATTATTTAAGGTGATTTGATTTTTAGTAAGTTTTTAGATGATTTTGTGTGAATCAAGGAAGTTTAAATGATTTTAGTTAAATCATTATGAAATTCCATCTAGAATCATGTAATTTCAAGTCTGTTATTTTTAACAAGTAAATCTAACCAAATGACTCTAAAAAAACCAAATCTATTTTTGAAAATCCACTCTTAAAAATATTTCCAATAGCAATGGATTTATTTTTGTTTTTTTTAATTATAAACCAATAATACTTGATTATAAAGTTATTTTTAGGATTCAACTTTGAATAAGAGTAATTTATCATTTTAATACAAATCACTTTAAATCAGTCCAAATCCCAATTTCACTACACTAGATAAAGATGATGTCGAATGTTTACTTTTCTGTTCAAATATAAATAGTAATACATCTCCAATCAAAATCAAGTTCCATCATCAAAAGGGACGTCCTCACCAGAGAGGGACCAGATAAAAAGAATCTCGTGACTTCGTGAGCAGCCGAACCAAGAGTGGAAGTCTTCTTCGTCGTCACTAAACAAAAATCATTATTATATCGGTTAATTAAGAGTAAAAGAATTAGTGTTAAGTGGGTCATTAATGAGCTAAACTTAGAAAGAGTCAACAACGGCAGCCAAATCTTAAAAATCCCACCTCACTTTTCTGATCCTTCCGTTTCAAGTCAATGCTCCCTTCGTTTCCTCCCACCTTCTTCTCACCATATTCACATGAAAATTTCATTTGAAATACCCACATTTCTAGATCTCCCTTATTCCTAGTTTTAATCACACACCAAATCTCAGAGTTCTTGATCTTGATCGCCCGCCAAGTGTTCGATCTATAGCCTCACTGAACGAAAGTTTCCTTCTTTGAGATTTATTCTGTGTTCTATATTCTGGGTTTTGCTTAAGATTCGACCCCACCACTGAAAGTTTCCTTCTTTGAGATTTATTCCGAGTTCTGTGTCCTGGGTTTTGCTTGAGATTTGACCCCACCACTGAAAGTTTCCTAATTTGGTTTCCATGGCGTATCATCCGGCTTACACCGAGACTATGTCAATGGGAGGAGGTTCAAGCCACGGTTTTGGCCAGCAATTCGTGCCCTTTGCTACGAGTAGCGGATCTCTGAGGGTAGAGTTGTTACATGGCAACTTGGACATTTGGGTTAAAGAAGCTAAACATCTTCCTAACATGGATGGTTTCCACAACAGACTCGGTGGGATGTTATCATTTGGCCGGAAGAACAAAGTAGAAGGTGAGAAATCCTCCAAGATAACTAGCGACCCTTACGTGACTGTCTCAATCTCAGGTGCTGTGATTGGAAGAACTTTCGTGATCAGCAACAGCGAGAATCCTGTGTGGATGCAGCATTTCGATGTCCCTGTGGCTCATAGTGCTGCGGAGGTTCACTTTGTGGTGAAAGACAGTGACATTATCGGGTCACAGATCATGGGAGCTGTTGGAATCCCAACGGAGCAGCTTTGTTCAGGGAACAGAATCGAAGGTGTTTTTCCGATACTTAGCAGTAGTGGGAAGCCTTGTAAAGCAGGTGCTGTGTTGAGTTTGTCTATTCAGTACACTCCAATGGAAAGGATGAGACTTTACCAAATAGGTGTTGGTTTTGGGAATGAGTGTGTTGGTGTTCCCGGGACGTATTTTCCTTTGAGGAAAGGAGGTAGGGTTACTCTGTATCAGGATGCTCATGTTGATGATGGGTCTCTTCCGAGTGTTTATCTTGATAATGGGTTGCAGTATGCGCATGGTAAATGCTGGGAGGATATGGCTGATGCGATCAGGCAGGCGAGGAGGTTGATTTATATCACTGGCTGGTCTGTTTTCCATCCGGTGAGGCTGGTTCGTCGGAATAATGATCCGAGTGAAGGTGTATTGGGGGATTTGCTTAAAGTCAAGTCTCAGGAAGGTGTTAGAGTGTTGGTTCTGGTGTGGGATGATCCAACTTCAAGGAGCCTTCTTGGGTTCAAAACAGTAAGAATCTCTACATAACTTTTTTCTCTGTTTTGCTGCCTAAGAATAAGATTTGCAGATATTCTCACTATGGTAGTAGCTATAAATGATTTCTATTTATGCCCCTTGCCGTTTTTGGATCCTAACTTCTGATGCTTGCGCTGTTAATCCTGTTGAAGAAGATGATTTTGCTTTGATTTGAATCATTTTTGACATGTTTGAGTTACTAACTGAAGCAGAAGTCCTTCTACTGTGTTAACGAAAGATGGTGTTTGGTGTATGTAGCAAGGAGTGATGAACACAAGCGATGAAGAGACTCGCAGGTTTTTCAAGCATTCGTCCGTGCAGGTCCTTCTTTGTCCAAGATCTGGAGGGAAAGGTCACAGCTTCATTAAAAAATCTGTAAGTTGCTCAATTAGTTACTGTGGTTACTGCTTAAACTCTGGTATGTTTAGCTTCATCATCTGAAATCTGAGTGTCATTATGATTGATCAGGAAGTTGGAACTATCTACACACATCATCAGAAAACTGTGATTGTAGATGCTGATGCACCTCAGAACAGAAGAAAGATCGTAGCGTTTGTTGGAGGGCTAGACTTGTGCAACGGACGATTTGATACACCCAAGCATCCTCTCTTTAGGACATTAAAGACACTTCATAAAGATGACTTCCATCAGCCAAATTTTGTGGTAACCATTCAAAGAAAGATCCTGTTTGAGTTTCAGATTTGGAATTAGATACTACTGTTCTTGATCTGTGTGGATAATCTCCTTTTCGTTTTAGACTACTGCGGATGATGGTCCAAGAGAGCCGTGGCATGACCTGCACACTAAGATTGATGGTCCAGCTGCATATGATGTGCTTGCTAATTTCGAGGAACGCTGGCTAAAGGCTTCAAAACCTCGAGGAATTGGGAAGCTAAGATCGTCTGCTGATGATTCTTTGCTTAGGATAGACAGGATTCCCGACATCATGGGACTAGCAGAAGCTTCTTCTGCTGATGAGTTTGATCCAGAGTCTTGGCATTGTCAGGTTAATTCAGCAAACCTCATTTGTTAAAATATGATGATAATTATCTTGATAACTCAGTCATGATCTCATTTCTTTCCATGAATGAATCTTGTAGATTTTCCGTTCGATTGATTCAAGCTCAGTCAAAGGGTTTCCAAAGGACCCAAAGGAAGCTACTGGAAGAGTAAGCACAATTCTAGACACTTTAAACTTGTCATTTTCAGTCACTACCTTGTTGCTAACTCTCTGCTGATTTATAACTATATGTGAACAGAATCTTCTCTGTGGGAAGAACATACTCATAGACATGAGCATACATGCTGCTTATGTTAAGGCCATACGATCTGCTCAACACTTCATCTACATTGAGAACCAGTATTTTCTTGGATCATCTTTCAACTGGGATTCAAACAAGGACTTGGGTAAGGAATTGTAAGTTTAGTACAAAAATTTAATCAATGCGTGCAGTAAGTGATAACCAGGAGTTTTTGGCATTGCAGGTGCTAATAATCTAATCCCTATGGAAATTGCGCTTAAGATTGCTAATAAAATTAGAGCAGGAGAGAAGTTTGCTGCTTATATTGTCATTCCAATGTGGCCAGAAGGTGCTCCAACAAGCAACCCTATTCAGAGAATTCTATACTGGCAGGTAAATACTTTGTCCATTGTTTGCTAAATCATCTATGACACATAGTCTCTCGCCTTCTCTGTAAATGAGTCTTTTCATGATTCACTGCAGCATAAAACCATGCAAATGATGTATCAAACTATCCACAAGGCACTTGTGGAAGTTGGCATTGATGGTCAGTATGAGCCACAAGACTTTTTGAACTTCTTCTGTCTTGGAACCAGAGAGGTTGCTGAAGGGACACTTAGCGTATATAGTCCTCGAAAACCACCTCAGTCAAATGCAAACGCAAATGCTACACAGGTATTATAGATGTCTTTCTTTGAAATCTCTGAGTTTCGGTTTAATGGCATAGTTTACTCACTGAACCAACAAACTAATTCAGGTGCAAGCTTTGAAGAGTCGAAGATTCATGATATATGTTCACTCCAAAGGTATGGTAGTGGATGATGAGTTTGTCTTGATCGGTTCCGCGAACATCAACCAGAGATCCTTGGAAGGGACTAGAGACACTGAAATCGCCATGGGAGGGTATCAGCCTCACCATTCATGGGCTAAGAAAGGTTCTCGTCCGCGTGGTCAGGTAAA